GCCGTGCATACTTCTTGTTCACTATATTCACACGTTCCTCGAAATATTTCTTTCGTTTTCTGGGCCATTCAAGAGTCTAGATCTTGCATCTTTGTGCTTCATTTTGCATGAACACGAGTGCACACCCATTTTACGTGTTTTCGAGTTGATGCAGAATTTGAATTTCCTGCAATTCGGATGCACACACTCTGCGTCACGCCATCGAACTCATGCCCACGTTCGTTCCTTGAGGTTCGTTTTAGAGGACGCCATTTTCTCATGTTTAAGGGACAGTACAGTTTTAATGGGTTAAAAACACTATTAATGGTCGACCAGTAATATCTCTTGTAGAATGCCTGGCCATTCCAAACTTTTTTCCAATCCTTACAGGGAATGCGTACATGCCCTCTGAAGATCGTGTGCTTACTTGCTGGATCTGCAGGACATTTGTAGCCTGCTTTTTTTGGTACAGACACAGATTTTACCTCCACATCTACTGCTGCTAACTGAACTTTGGTAGCTTTCCGTGTTTTCTCTTCAGATGCCTGCACTAGACTTTCAACATCACTGGTGTACTCGTAAATCTCTCATTCTCTGTCAGTTCCCCACTCTTTACTCACATCCACGTAATCACTACACTCAGGTTCACTATCACTAGCACCTTCTGAACTAGTACACGGTTTGTTAAGAGTTCCAGAACCTTCTTTCAATTTTCCATCTTGCTTCTTCTTCATGACTTGAAGACTCTTCCGTGGATCATAAAGAAATTCTTTTCCTTCACATTTGGATTCTTTTTTCCTGGAGTCTCTTGGAGCACTTCTTTTTTCCATGTAAAACTTTTGGTTTCTTGCACACTCCCGATGGTTTGCACTTAGTTGAATCACATTTTACCTCACTTCGCGGAGGACGTTTGGCTCATTTACTTTCAGATAACACAGGATCACTGTCACTACGTTGAGGATCACTAAAACACTCATTTTTCTTTGTTTCAGAATCAGCTGAACACTTTTCTTCACTTGTTTTAGGATCACTTTCGCGTTCAACACCTTTTAAACCTGAGATATTGCACTCCATCTTCATTTCTGCTTGAACCATGTATCTTTTCAAACAACCTCTACAAGACATTAAAATTCCTCTCAAACGTTCTAGCTCATGCCGGAGATACTCAAGTCCTACAAACTGTAGATTTCTTAGTAGTTTCTCTAGGCGCTTCAAGTCTTCAGTCGGAGTGAATCCAAAAATGTTGATAAGAGAAGATATATATTTCAAAATGTAAGGCATGAAAGAAAAAACAACATTATTCTGTCCGGCAAATTGGGATACCCAATTATTCTGCCGGGTCAGACGTCATAATAGATACCAATGATAAAAATAAAAAGTAATTAAATAAATACGGCAACATAAATTAAAAGTAGAGTAAGACACAACTATAATAAACATAAAAAACAAAAACAAAAATGTAAATCATGAAGCACTTCTCTAGGCGCTCCTAGTCTTCAGTCGGAGTGAATCCAAAAATGTTGATAAGATGAGATATATTTGTCAAAATGTAAGCCATGAAAGAAAAAACAACATTATTCTGTCCGGCAAATTGGGATACCCAGTTATTCTGCCGGGTCAGATATCAAAATAGATACAAATGATAAAAATAAAAAGTAATTAAATAAATACCGCGACATAAATTAAAACTAGAGTAAGACACAACTATAATAAACGTAAAAAACAAAAATGTAAATCATGAAGCATTTCTCTAGGCGCTCCTAGTCTTCAGTCGGAGTGAATCCAAAAATGTTGATAAGATGAGATATATTTGTCAAAATGTAAGTCATGAAAGAAAAAACAACATTATTCTGTCCGGCAAATTGGGATACCTACCCAATTATTCTGCCCGGTCAGACGTCATAATAGATACCAATGATAAAAATAAAAAGTAATTAAATAAATACAGCGACATAAATTAAAACTAGAGTAAGACACAACTATATTAAACATAAAAAACAAAACTTAAATCATGAAGCAAAAATCAACTCATCATCTGTCATGGCTTCTATCTCGCCATTTTTCCATCCTCCATGTATCTCATCCATATGTCCAATGCTTCTTCCTCAGAATCAGATTCACAGCTAGCACCACTGTTACCTGTTGCCTTCTGGCTTCCTTTGTTGAAGGGCATATCTTCTTCGCCATGGTCAGGTTGTGCAGAACCATGATCTTTACTTATGGGGTCGGAATTCTCTTCAATGCTGATCCCTAAGATATCAGCACCATCCTCACTTTGACTCCTTTTGCAGTCCTCTCTGCAGTTGTTCTTCTTTTCCGCATTGTTTCCTGTTGAATTGCTGCCACACTCATCCTTCAACAACTTAGCGTTGTCTCCAGTTGAGATTTCATTTTGACTCCTTTCACAGGGCCATAGGGTTCTTCATAGATATCCTTTTTTATTTTGTTGTCTCTTGATGAGTTGTTGCCACATCCATCAACAACTCTGCATTGTCTCCTGTTGGATTACTGCTACGATTTTTTAACAACTCTTCGACTCTTCGGAACAATAATAGTTTACTCTTTTTCGTATTCCCAAGTTTGAGGTGGGTCATTAATTTTGCTACAGACGCAGATGCCTCTAAACCTTTGGTCAAATCTATACTTAATGTCTCAACTGCTCCTCTCAAGTCTTCCACACTCAATCCTTTTCTTGGACGCCCTTTCCTACTCATTTTTAATAGAATAAAACAAGTTATTTTCAAAATATGAACAACTGAGGGGAAAACAGAAAGAAATTGTAAGATACAAGTTTGAGAATTGCAGAAAGTACTAATATACTTAAAATTAAAATTTTCAATCAAATAGACAGCTAACTACACATGAAAATCATAGCAGGGCAGTGCAAGCAAAACAGAAAACTTCAAGAAACGAGAAAACACATGAGTGAATAAAATGAAAGAGATAAAAATGAATTGAAATGAGCAAATGGGCTTCGTGCTGTCTCCAGTTGAATTTTCATTTCGACCGCTTTCGCAAGGTTCTTTTTAGACTTCTTTCTTTATTTGTCACGCTTGTTGTGGGGACACCCCTGTTTGGGGGGCCTCAGGGTTTGAAGGCTGGTCCCCGACTTGGAGCTGCTGTATCAATCTGTATCGTTTCCGCAAGTATGTAATGTCAGAATTGCGTAGCTCCTAGTCAGAAATCAGCCAGCCAACAAAGAGAAAAGACGAGCTGGAATAAGGAGCTGAAAACGATGGAGCTTTGTTTTGAGCAGACCATAGGGATGCAGGTCCTGGACCGCAGCAATCACAATACCGCACTGATCTGACGATCCGTTCTCGCCAGCGTGAGCTCACGTCTCGCCGTTCGCCAGGCTCCGCGCATGCGCGTTTCGCGGTAGCAAGGCGGAGAGTAACGTTGACGAAAATCTCGGATTAGAGGAAACGTCACTCTGCGACAGTTTTTATACTGCTTTCGGGAAAAAGAAATAAAAATAAAACAACTTGACACATTTCAGAGAAGAACGTACCAATACTATGGGATAAGAATTTGCAGAAACAACCACATTGTTCCGAAACGGAAAAGAAAAATATATTTAAAAGTATACTTCAATCTGTGAGCTTACCTATTAATGAACCTGTGATGATTAAAGGGCCCTCTTCTGCTATGTCCAGTGGAACGTTCGAGCATCGTCGGAAGTGCTCGTGCGCCACTTCGTGCTCCTATGGTGGACATATGAGAAAACAGTCAAATTTAGCGCAATGAAAGCCGAGAAAAAACACCTGAATCATTTTTCTGTCGTTTTTAACGAAAATAACGTCAAGCAAGATTGCGTGAAAATGAATTATGATTTACTACGGAAAAAGTGACATCAGGCTCTTTCGCAAGAGACTAACGAACTAAACTAACATGGCCGGACGCCACTCGGACGTGAGTCTTAATCCACTCGTCGAGAAGGTGAAGCTCCCGGTTTTGAGTCTCCAGCTGAAAAATACCTTTCCTTACTGATAAAAGGGTTTTATTTCATACTTCTTTCTTTATTCATCTTATTTAGTGCAACGTTGTTTTATTTCACTCGTGTAGGTATTTTTCAGCCAGAGCACAATCCCAGGGAGTTTCACCTTCTCTTCACATGGTTGTAAATTATTCTTAACAATTATTCCTTTTTTTATTTTTACTCGAAACAACATTTTCCACTTGTACACTTGCATACTTAAGAGTAGGCTTGGCGATGAACTCTTTTAGGTGTACTCCATTCAGGGTTTCATCGAACTCCTGAAGATCTTCCAACTGAGAGAAAAGTGTGAACGTTTGGATGCAGAGCTGGCAACAAAGTGAAATTTTGCCATCCCGCTGCACTACGCCTAGAAGCCAAGGTTTATGGGTATATTAGGGATTTGGGTCTTAAAGTTCGGAGGGCATTTGGAGAGAAGTATAGGGCATTGCAGTATGAAATTCGAATTATGTTTGTGACTGACGTACAATCATTAATATTAATATAATAGGCATTACTCAGGGAATAATATTTTTACGTTCTCTGTGGGAGTGCTTTATCGCGCCACCAGGCTGCTGATCTGGTTGCACCCAGGTTTTGGGTCAGGCCAGGCTTTGGGTCCGTGAGCCAGCTAGTTTCGTCACAAACTACAGAGCAGCCAACAGAGCTGAAGTGTCAACTCGAGATTAGATTTGATTAGGAGTCGAGATTAGCAGGAGAGGAAGAAGGAGCAGAAGTGACTGCCTTGTAGCTCTCTGATAATAGGAATGACTAGAGGGGGTAAGGAAAATTCTGGAAAAACCACATCATCCCAACTTGACCGGTTTATACAGACTCAACAGCGAGGTGCTGAAGAGAAAACAAGAACAGACAATGAGAACCGACTCTGCTGACGAACATGATACATGCTGATGGCAGCATACCCAGATGAGTTATTTATGAACTGACGGATTTAAATGGTCTTTCGTTTCTGAATGCATTGTCTGTCAGTCACTATATTTCCATTGCCTTACCTCTTTTAATTACTGATTTTCCTTCTTTGTAGGAGAAGATATCTTCATGAAAACGTAGATCAAGGTACATTGAGAAATTTTTACTTCAAAGCTTACTTATCTCAGTTACAGCGAAACACACACTTATGAACATACATCTATTCTACTTTGTTGCCAAATGTATACAGGGTGATCCAAAAGTCCCTTCCACCCCCTCTAACTTTAGATCATCTATTTAATTACTAACAGTTGATGATTCCATTTTAGTTGCAAAAATAGAGAAAACTCTCAAGTTTACCTTCAGTTAATTTTTATTGTACTGCCAACAAGGTACCTGCAAGAAATCAATGTCCCAAAATAATATATCTGAGTACTTTCTACTGCTGTCATTGTGTATGGCTGCCATTTTTGTCATGAATACATTTGTATTTCGGAGAATAAGGAGAAAATTTCTTAAAAGAATTTGACCATCTCATGCATGAAAATTTTATTTAATTTCGTATTTTTTGCCATTTTGACACAGGATTCCTGGCTTCTCATACAAATTACTCCTATTTCTATTGTGCTTGAGTTTATACATTTCATTTTATTTTTAAGCTCTTGACCTCTCATATGTAAATCTGAAATAATCGAATGTCCCTATTTTATAAGAATAATGCAAATATGTCTGAAAAATTCTGATGGTAATTTTATCGTCTCATGCTTATTTCATTTGACCGTTTTTGGTTTTATTTCAGTCTCATTTCATTTGTTAATTTTTTTTGGAATAGTGAGATAGCTTCTCTTATAAACTACCCTGTCTCTTGTGATATTGAGACAGGTACAGGTTTTCTGACCTCCCTTGTAATCATATTAACCCATATCAGTGAAATGTATTTTTTGTGCCACAGAGCCTCCATCAATCTTGAATCTTTATTCAATCTTTTATTTGTGCATACCTTTCATGTCTTAAATATTGAAATTTCCACCTGTTATTTTCAATAAATTTGTTTTCAATCACAACTAATTTCAAATATTCTTTCTGTCCTCCTTAAACATCTTTATAAAGAACCATATTAAACTATGCTTAAAGAATCAGGATTTGTTGATTTTTGGGGAAGCCTATTTATTATTCACATGCTTTAAATGCATTTGAAGGAGCTCATTAAGTCACTTTCAAGCAGCTAAGGTTTAGCACCCTGTCAATTTAATCTCTGCTTGTTTTATCAGAAGTAACTGAGCTGCATTTAAAGGTACAATTTGGGCTAGACTCTTCAGCAGTGTTCGAAACTCTCAGGCGCCAAATGCGCCTAAGAAATCGGTCATGGCGCCTAAAAACTGAAGGCTCTGCGCCAACGTGACCCCTAAAAAAAATCCTAATTTTTCTGTTTGGTGATTTTTCGAAATTTCCCACAGCTACAGCTACTAGTTCTGTGACTAAAACATCTTGCGTCCAACTTTTCACTACATGCGCCTTGATACGTAGGCAAAAAGTGAATTTGGCCGCTAAAAAATCTTCAATGGCCCCTAAAAATTGAGCTTGCTGCGCCACATGGTCCTGAAACTCAAAAGTGAGTTTCGAACACTGCTCTTCAGAAATGTCCAGTATAATCAAAATTCTCATAGAAAATGATTAATCATCCTCTAGCATAAAAAAGTTTTCATCCAACCGAATTACTAAAACATAATTCCGATTCAAACTTGTAGGCATAGAAAATTAGGAGAGGACATAACTCGGCTCCACCATGCTGTCATAAAAATAATAAAGAAATCAGTTTTTATGAAACTGGGAAAGGACATTTTGAAAATCAGCCAATCGACCGAGGTACCTCCTTCAAAAACATTATGCCTAAAACGGGAAAATCCGGGAATGAAATAAATTTCATAGAAAATCAGAGTATCTGTTTCAGAAACCGGGAATCTCTTCTTTTTTAAAATTCTGGTGCTGGTCCATTTTTCATCGCGATGAAGAGTGGATGGTTTTTTCAACCAGAAAAATGCGCGTTTCTCGTAAACCATTGGTCGAAGAGCTAAAGGGACAAAACTTCTCAACTCCTCCATATTCCTGAGCCCACATTATAGTGTCTAGCCCTGAAAAATCCGGGATTTTTCAGGGAAAAGAGGGTCGTTGGAGACAAGTCAGGGAATGTGTTTCAGAAACAGGGAATCTCTTCTTCCAACGTTCAAAGACTAATCTCTCCTTAACTTCATCTGAACTTTCTTCAATCATTTATCAAACATTAATGAAAGTAATAATGAGTTGTTTCAAGTATAAAAATAAATTTCGGTAAGGAAATTTTAAGTACATATATCGGTATTAATTTTTACGTTATCGCACCTGTGCTGCCATTATTGACTTCTTGAACCGTCAAATTAAGAAGTTTCAATATAAACATCAGGAACCCTTCTTGGAACTAAAGAATCAGCTTAAAGATGAAAAAATAAATCGATATTCATATCTGGAACTCCTGTCAGTTGTATAATCATTCCCTCGGAAAATCTGGGCAAAGTGGGAGAAAACTTGGATTCCTCATCAAGGAATGAGCTCCTAAAAATTAGGGAATGAGCATGATTAAGAATTCTAGACACCATGTTTGAACATTTCATACGCTACATGTCTAGGATGAAATAAAAAAGACATGTATTCCAAGAATGAGAGTCAGCTCAAGTTTTATTTTTCAGCGCAATAATTGCCTCATATTTTTCATGATTTGTTTAGAGAATATTGAAAACAGAAAGAAAAATCATTGAAAATTGTATGCGATATTGACCTTTAAAGGTCTTTTAAAAGTGTGAAACACGAAGATAAATCTGCAACAGCTCTAAATACATTATAAACAAATGCCTCTCTAGTTTTAAATTTTAATATCGATGGCCTAAGTGCAAAACAACGTGTCTCCATTTGTGATGTTGCAGATTTCCTGTCGTACCTTATTTTTTCTTGGAAAACTAGTCTATGCAATTTATTGAAAACTTCCTGGACGTTCCTTTTCTATAAGCAGAATGTTCTGTGAAAATTTTAAGCTTCGAAATTGGCTTATTTCTCCATTTAGAAATAAAATAGGAACAGAGATTTTGAAAAACTGCAATGGAGATAGGTGGTGCTGCACTTTAGCCATCGGCATGCACACGAGTTGATTCAATCTAGAATGAGAATACAGCTAGGAAATGTTTCAAATGATGTTCCGGAGTTAAGAAGAAAAAAACTCATGAATAGATAGATAAAAACTCATGACGATTTTTATTTTTTAAGAAAGTCATATGATAAGCTTCACAAAAAAAAACAATAATTCTCGTTTTGGAAAATTCTGCTCCAGGATTAATGAATGGAATTTCTCTTGGGGAGACTCTCTTCTCTATTGGAAGAATAACAAAGCAAGATTTTTCACTTTTTTAATTTCATGTTTTACTATCTTGGAATTCATGTAAAGTATAACATGTGAAAGATCAAATTTGAGGAGAGAATGAAAAAAAACTCCCGATCACAGAGACAAAATTAAGTTTAGGATAAAAATCGGATACATACTGTACATTTCCAGAATTTCACCAAACTAATCAGAACTTACATTATGGAGAAACTTTGGTTAAAAAATCAATAAAAATGGAACAAACTTTAAAAATAACCACATTCCTAAACTTACATGATATAATAAGTATATAAAAGGTACACCAACAACAATGATTCTTTCGTTTTGAGTACAGAAATACGTAACTTCTAATGAGTGTATAATCTTTCTTTAATGATTGAGCATTATTCTACAAAGTTAAAGCAGGAAAAGATTTCAACATTTTTGATCTCTTCATAAAAATCAGTTGCTATCTTATATGATAATTTTGGATCGTCTTTTTCCTTCCTCTTTTTATCTAATTTCAGAATTCAAGACGATTTTTTTATGTTGAACTGTTCGAGAAGAAAAGCAAGGTCTTCAAAGTTTACGGAGTACTGGAAGAAATGCATTACGAAGTCTGAGTATTACCATTGAAAAATTGATATCATGATATAAAATACACGTTATAAAAGTAAGAAAAACCATCATTGAATTAAATGCGATGCATACAACCAAAACATGAATTTCAAGGGAGGAAAAAAAGATGCCTGATAGTAGTTCATTACATGAAACTTGAAGGGAGTTTCTGAGAGCAAAATTTCCTCTTCCGGGTCACACTTAAATACTATACTATCCTGTCTTCAGAGACTTGAGTATCAAGGGACTGAATGTTAAACCTGCAAAACAACTGTCTTCCACATTAAAAAATGTTTGCATTGAAAATTCCTTCCATATTCCTTGAAGATGTTACAATTCTACTGCAAGCTGCGTGGAAAAATTCAAAGATAAATAAGTACTAATCACACGCTCTGAGGGTCTGTGAGCAATAGAGGAATACTTAAAATAAAATGCTTATAAAAAATAAAAATGCTTAATAAATTATTGTGCTTGATAAAAGCTGCCGAATTCAGAATTCACAAAACAGAACATAACTTGTTCTCAACGAGAGTGCTTACATGCTTTTATTCTTACTCAGCTAACAGACTGATCAAAGTTAACCATCTCAATCGATGCCTTGACATTCCCTCGGTCAGCTTGACAAAAAAATGAAACGCTTTCTTTTGATGATCAGCTGATTTACTGGTGGAAGTAGGGCCCAATTCTGATCAAAGAAATCAATCACTCTTACTGATTAATAAAAGCAAACCCTAATTTTTTGTTGGGGGGAGGGAGGAATTTTCTAAACAGCGATGATAAAGATTGAATCGTTGAGACCTCCTTGGTAAGAAACGCATCGTAAGGCTCAATAAATTCAGAGGAAAAAACCCGAGATGTGATAGTACAGTATGATCAGTATCAAAAAGTGAAAACGTTTCCTTAACTTAATAAGCGATAAAAATAGTATCTGTTAAGAATTTAAGGAGTAACAACATTTAGTAAAATAACTGCCAAAAAAATAATGAAGTACAATACAATGATAATAATTGAAATACCCTTAAATGCATGGTGGGAAGTTTTATATTTTTCATCACATTCTTACAAAGGAGACACACAGAGCATGTTCAACTCATAATAATCAGTCTTTTTCACTATTTTCAACCTTTACCCCTTTTTTTCAAAAAAGTTTCGAGATTTCAAGAATATTAAATAGATTTCTGTGCATCACGTAACAGCAAATTCTAAGCTTATCACTACAGCAAGGCATCGTTACTCTGGATCAAGCTGTATTTTGTTTTCTCCTCTACTCTTGCAATTATACATAGGGTGTTCAATCAGTACCCGCATAGTCTGATTCAAAAACTAAGCTGGCTAGAGGCTTAATGTTGGGCTCATTTGAACCATAAACTCAAAAGCAACCCATTGAGTTCAAGACTAACCATGTCAAAAATTGACAACGTTATGTTAGTGTAGGAAAAACAAAAATTGGGACACCCCTACCGTTTTTAACAAAGCATTACTCTCTGTAAACATAGTCTCTAGAATGGAAGTCGTAAGCAAATTTTCACATGAATCAACACGGGGAAACCAAAATTACCTGGCAGAATCATTGACTAACTACATATTACGTTTGCCAATTGCTGCCAGTACACAGAGTTAGTACTGTTTACGCAGCAGTTGGTGAGCGATTTTGGTTATAATTTTGCCAAAATTGACACATTGACTCATAGGAAGGGACATGAAAGAGGACAAAGAATAATTTTTTGTGATTCGGTACTGTGTTACACGATAGCTATTTGACAAAAACTGTTTAGATGCCCTACGGATGATCAATTTCATAAACCCATTACGTTTACCCTTTACTTGAAAAAAGAACTTATCACAGAATTAGAAACGAACATTTTTTTTTAAAACAAAAAACATAATTACTTCTTAAGGAATGTCTTAAGTTAAGAGAGAAAATTCAGTAAAAATAGATTCAAGGTGATTCAAACGCTGGAGAATTTGGGATGAAATGAAATGCAATGTTTCATGGAAAAGCTCCACATGTTCAGCAATTTTTAATTTTTTTTTTTGTAAAATGTTGAGATTGCCCTTCTCTTACAACATGATTTAAACCCAGCTTATGGTCCAAATAATATCTCTTGATGCAAATTTCCAAAGCAAAATTCTGATAAAATAAGAATGTTTTTCTTGGATGTAAAATTTTATGAGCAACTGAAAAGTCCACACCTGTATCAAATGCAATTTTATTCCTTTGGGTAATAGAATTTTACTTTCATAATTTAAGGATATATCAAAGGATTGTGGTAACAAATGTGCACTCTTGAAACTTGTAAATTAATGGTTACTTGGAAATGCTAATCAGTACAATACATTGCATATCCACTAAACCAGCCCTTGAATCACCTTCATGAAGAAAATCTTAACCTTATGATCCAGGATACCCAACTTTCCCTTACCCATACTTAAAAAGTATAAATTAATCTAGCTACAGCTTCAAAACCCAGTTATTTTATCTCACTCTGACTCTCCCTAAGAAATCATTGTGAGGCGAACCCAAATAGTGATACCCATTGAGAGTGACCACATCACTCACAGCTGCGATGTCTCCCCTTGCATGCAGACTTTTCAAGATTTTTCCATTCTTGTCGCAAAAAACGGCAATTGAATGGCGAGTCATGAATGGTGCTATTGAACTGTAGTGGCCAATCTGAAAAAAAAAACAAAAAAAACGATGTAGCAACAGTTGAAGTACTGACGAAATTAGTGTTTATAATGGTGGGTAGCGTATCAAGTGTGGTCAGGGTGTCAATAAGCCCATTACAAACGGAGAGTCTGGAATTTTTGGGTACCAGCCGGAAGTATTTAAAAAGTACTGAAATTCTGACAAAGTTCTGGATATTTTACGACTCAACATATTTGCTAAACTCATGATCTTCCTGAAAATTAGGCATGATGTATGAACGCATCGTTTCCTAATTTTCGGATACACAGCCAACCAACTGTCAGTTGAGTTGGCATATCTCAAGCATTACTTATAGAAGAAAAAATACAAAAGCTTCTCAATAAATGAACTCTCTGCTTCAAAACAAAAATAAACCAATTGGTTACAGCATTAATCTCACAGCAGCTCTGAGATCTCCTGGAAGTACTGAGTCGGAAGCGAAAATGGGTCAGTTGTGTTGGTCACAGAATCGTGTTTTAATGCCTGATTCTTGTAGATTAGCTAAATATAATATCTGTTGAGACAACGAATTTCAAGTTCAATATTGACGGAGATATCGCCCTTTGAAAATTAGGGTTTTTGACGTCATCCTCGTAGGTAGTGACATCCTTGATTTCTTCCACCTTACTTTCATCAGTCGGTGCGTCCGTGTTGGTTATTCAACGTGAAACTCGGATGAAAGCAATGTGGAAGAAACCAAGGGTGTCATTACCATGGTGGATGGAATCAAAAACTCGACTTTTCAAAGGACGATATCACAGCTGATATTGAACATAGAAAGTTGCTGTCTAGACAGATCTTATTATTTTTAGCTAATCCACAAGAATCAAGCATCAAAACACGATTCTGTGACTAACGCAACTGACCCATTATGAGACATTTATTGTTTGTTTCTTAGTTCACATTTCTATTATATTTCTAGGTGATTGATAGTAAGCTCAATCAATTTAAAAAATTCAGATTTATCAATTTATCATTTTCTTGATTTCGTCGGCAGGAATGACATTGAAAAGGTTGCATCCTGTACTACAAAACTTACATGATATATCGATGAAGACCAAGAGTTTGTCTGTATCACTGCTCTAATTTTGAAGTCACCGAAAATGATCTCTAACATAGTACTCGAAGCACTACACTTGTAGTCCTCTACATACTCATTCAGAAAAGAAAAACTTACCGATGCCATCATGTTTTTATTAAAATCGTTCGGATAGCGTTCATCTATTTTCTGAAACATTAGATCAGCTAGACACAGGATGGCTGCGATGAATCTCCTCACCGATTTCCAGGCAGCCAGTGTGTCTAACGCTGCACTCCTAGGTTGAATGAGGTTGATGATAAAACCGCCGTCTTCTGTGGGTGATAGATTGTCTGGAGCACCAGGAAGCCTATCAATGAACACCTCAGATTTTCCTTTATTTGGACCTTTCAACCAATACCTAAAAAAATGTCCACATTTCAAAACCTAGGAGAATATCAACGGTAAGGCAGAGGAACGCAAATCTTGGCTTACGACACTGCAGACTACCAGTCATGACTTATTTTTTAAACGGTAAAATACTCAAGGTTAATCCTTAAAATTAAAAATTTCCCTGATTTTTCCTCGCTGTGTGAAGAATATTCAGTGACTATTTCGAGCACCAGTGTTGGTTTGTCCTCTTTTTATAAAAAAAAAAATGGGAGCAGAAATTTTGGAAAACGGCTAATGGGATACGTGTTTTTCCGGATTCACTGTCAATTTGAGATATAACGTTAATAGCTGAGCAAATTTGAATCTCTATCCCTTTAGGTACTCTGGATATACATGGAGATGTTTTATAAACTTAAAGACAGTCTTAACCAGGTATAAAAAACAAAGTTCATGACAGTTTTTCAAAACCTGAAGATGTTTCAAAGAGTCCTAATTTGTACAATCAAGAATTTTTATAGACTTCTGGATATTTTTTCGAGCACTTTTAAGAATGAATTAAAACATTTTCAAGGTCACACAGTGTCTCAGAACAAGAGGTCTTTCCTCATTATACCTAAATTCTCCCCTACCTAGAGGTAAAGAAGTAAATGAATGGTTGAACTCTGAAACAACGTGCCTTGTTAAAAGGGGTAATTATCGATTTCCAAATTTAAATTGTTTCAAAAACTTTACTCAGTAAATATGTGCAAGTATGTCGTAGACAGATCAATCTGATTTTTCCTCGTATTTCCTAACTTTCTTGGGTTTAAAAATTGAATCCTTCAGAAGTGATTAACCTTAAATCACAATATTGACTTAAAAAATGAAAGCAAAAAGCAAAGCCAGAAATATCCAACATACCTATGAACACGGAAGAGAAATGTTTCAGCGACTAAGATATATGACTCATCTGGAGCTAAGAGCACTCCATTAGCAAACCTCAGGCCACTCATTAAAACCGTTGATTCACCTGTCTTTGGATTAGTTTTGATCAACCTGAAATTTAAAAATAATCTGACTAGAGACTGCCAAAAAGAAATTTAATGATGAAAGGGAGTTGCCAAAATATCAAGATGCCAGTTTTCATTTCTCAACCAAATTGTTGCAACAACTACTACACAAAACTAGTTGACCATTCCAATTTTTACAAGAGTGCTTTTGTACATAGGATTTGCAATGTAAGTCCAAATGGCTGCATACAATTTTTTGGGGAACCTGATTCAAAATTAAAATCAACGAGCAAACTTAAAAAAACTTGATTAATATGTTAATTGTCTCAAAGCATCTAATTGCAAACACTATAACTGTGTTACTTGTGTGGTTGTTTCACTATTCCTCCTGATACTTAGCCAGGGTTTCAAGCAGTTTGGAAAGCTTCGTAAGTTGAGGAATATTCAGGGAATTTAGCGAGTGGCACGTCAAATTAGCAACTTCTACCAGGGCCATTCGAGAGAGCGCTAATAACCTCCAAGTGCTTTTTCCTATAATTTGAATCTTTAGAGTTGAAAAATTTGTCCAAGCCTTAGCATAAGTCACAGCAAATAAGAGAAAAAAATCTAAATGGAAGTTTTGAATGAGGGTTGAAGGAAAGTCTTGGAATTACAAAATTTCTGAGTCAAGAAATGGACATTCAGGGAAGTCAGGGCATTGACTTTCCTGTCAACTCTCAAACAAATCTTCCACTTACAGGGTGTCTAGGTTTTTCATTAAGGAAAATCCCGATGAAATCCTGATTTTTTATGATCTTTGACTGGTAAATCCTGATTTCAAAATTTTTCTAAATCCTGATCAAATCCTGATTTTTTGGGGAGAAAAATTAAAATTTCTGCATAAGCGTATGCGAAAGCAAGAAAAAATCCGATCAGACAGCCGACTTTTCTCAAATCCTGATTTTACGACCGATTTTTCCTCAAGTCCTGACGAAATCGGGATTAAATCCTGATTAACCTCAAATCCTGATAGAATCGGGACAATCCTGATGCTAGACACCCTGACTTAGATTTGTTTTCTCTCATTTGCCATGACTTTTGTTAAAGGAAAGAATTATGGAAATCCTGTGATCGTATCGTGTTTGTAGTGGAGATAAGACCACAATGTACAAAAACAACAGCAAATCCAAAACTTCTTCTCGCATGGAGTGAGTTATCGAAGTAATTGTTCTTATGGTGAGTTACATTTGTGATTATGAAGTCATTAGCAGTTTCCGATGGTCAGTTTTGTATTGTATGTTAATGATCGGTTGAAAAAGTAAGAAAACCCAAAACAGGAATGTTTGTTATTCATGGTTCAGTTTATGTTCGGCACTGTAAAGTTGGATAAGAAAATAGTACCTGCCACTTTTATCTCCAAGCACAGAAACCACCAAGTTGTGAAGCGGGACATTCGTCGAGGAGTCTGACCAATAAAGCGACCCATCTGTCCCAATAGCGATAGAATTTGGGAGTAATGGATACTCCTCTAACGATTCATTTGTCTTAATTTTTTTATTTGTTGGAACAACTAGCTTATAAGCTTCTGTAACAGTCACAAAAAAAGTGAGATGAGAGAAAATAAAGAGAAAAAAAATAACAAAGAACATACATTTTTTGTGGCTTGAGACAGCTCCGTAGGTATATGTTTTGCTGATTTTAATAGTTTCCACTGTAACAGACAAAAACCTGAGGGATGCAAGTTATGGAAATCTGTCCGGATAGAAAACTGATTTTCTCAAAAATTTCAGTTACATTAGCACTATTTACTTGACAAAAAATAAATAGCAGTAAAATCCACTCATAAGATTATTTATTCTGATATAGTTATTTTATTTTCTAGCGATCTGTGAATTCAACAAATATTACAAAAACTTTAAAAATAGTACTCCCTAACATAAAGTAGATGCAAATTTTTAAGAGCAGCCCAAGACAATGATAACAGTGGAAAAAACAAGGGGGAAAACGGGAAACAAGGCTAAAATACACAATTAATAAAAACCGAGACGTTTCGACTCAAAACTTAGTCATTTTTAGTCGGAAATACAATACACATTTTGGGTTTGTTATCATTTTCCTCTTTTTCTCACATCCTAGCCACCACCATGTAGGGCTCAGGTTTTCATCGTATTTTTAAAATTTTTTATTGTATTTCTGACCGAAAATGACTCAGTTTTGAGTCGAAATCTCTCAGTTTTGATTAATTGTGTATTTTAGCCTTGTTTCCCGTTTTCCCGCCTTGTTTTTTCCACTGTTAACATGAAGTAGTCTGACTGAATGATCTGACTGTAGAATTGCGAAATTTCACACATTTTTTCCTCCGCTTAGATTTTACAATGGAAAGAAAATAAAACACTATTCTCATCAACATTCATCAATGCATTTTTATAACACCTTGATAAGAAATTATTGAAATAAGTTTGATGACTTACGCTTCTTGGATTTAACATCGACTTTGTAAATTCCATAATATGCATCAGCAACCCACAAAAACCCTTCCTTGTCGAATGCTAACCCAAGAGGTCGTCCACAATTGTCTAAGTCCCATGCTCCACCTGATGAAAAAAAGGTCTAATTTTTCATAATTGAAAAAAAGGATTAAAAAAAAAAGGGGGGGGGGGAAACAAGACTAGGTATAGTAACGAAATTGTTAGCATTATTATTTTCTTCCTTTTTTCATTGAATAGTTCAATTCCTGAAATGTTTAAATATGGGATGAAGAGTATAAGATCATAAAAAGTTAAGGAGGGAAAATTTCAACATTTTTGCTTATTTGCTGTAATGTCAATTGAAGATTTTGACCATAGAAGGGCATCTTTGAAAAATATCTATTTTGAACAAAACTCATTAAAAGCCTTGAGATAGTGACTTTGCACATTTTAGTCTTTAATTCTACATAGGAGCCATAGGGGCCAATATAAAAACATGACTGTGTTTCCAAAGATACGCTGATGCTGTATGATTGATTTTTAAAAAAAAGACCAATTTATCAATGTGCCCTTCTGTGGGCAAATTCCTCAATCGTAGAACATAAATTCACAACCTAGCAGGCACCATGATGTTGCTAACAATTAGATGATAGCCCCAGGCTGGTCACTTAGAACAGTGATGCCACTTGGAGCTCTGAAGATACCATTTTTTATGTAGAGGACATAAACCTTGATTTCGAGCCTCTCAGAAAGAAATCTCCATTATCTTGTAATTTAATTGGATGGAGATAAGTATTTTCTCGTAAATCTATATTCACATTCTTACCTAGTCAACAAGTGCCTACCAAAGTTATTGATTGTAATTGGAAAAAAAAGAAGGAAAAAAAAAATTGCATCTAAATTTTTTTTTCTCAATGAATAGGTCCTGACAATGGCAATTGTGCCGAAAAGCTTTGACCAAAAGTTATATCAATACACCATTTTATGTGAGTAAACACTTGCGCATTTTTTGGCTCTTTGGCTACACACCTACCTAACAAGTTCAATAAAGTAGACGTATTTTGTTTGGCGTACCTAACAATTGTTTTCTGTTACCAATTTTGTGTTATTTGCGTCACTTTTTCACAACCAATGAGAGCAAACCAGCTAGAAGTAAGGTTAGAAATCTTGTTAACAAATGTAACACAACAGTCGTAACTTTCTGCAACCTGCTCCGAACACGTTGCAAGTGATACATATCAAAATGTTACGACAGCGTTGCCATGTTGTGCAAAAAAATTCCAATTAAATAAGCCACGCCCCCTCATTTCCGGTGACACTCAAACAAAATACGAATGTCACACACTGATGCGAAACAGTTACGATTGTTGCGCCAAACAAAATACGTCTGGTGTTACTATGTACCAAGATGTTACAAATTAACAATTTTCTCGTAAGGTACAGCCAGCAATGAAGAAAAGAACTTCGGTTATCAGACTACCAAAATGAAAGCAGATACTTACGACACGGCTGAAGGAGGTCTGCAACAACCCACCAATTATCGTCCTGGACGGCTATGATCTCTCCAGTTGCAAGTCCTGCATAGAGAATGCCTTTGTGCGCCACTAGACTCTCAGGACCCTTGATTTGACCCTTAAATAGCTTCTCACCATCATTCAAAGCATCATTTATGCTGAGAGGACCCTCCAGAGGTAAAGCAGGTTCCACACTGTAAACAAAAATGGACATTTATTTAAGGGCAATCACCTAGAGCACGTTCGCAGGGCTTCCCGAGCTGCCCCTCCGGCCGCCTTAGGCGCAGCTTGACCGGTTGCTTGACAAGCCTCCTGTCAAAACTTCTGCCAAACTTGCGCTTAAGTCATGAACCAAGAGAATGGATATTTAATATGATTCATTTTATTCATTCTTTCTGTCCATATTACAGTGACAATAGAAAGAGTTTTAGAGGAGCACTCGTCAAGTTAGATGTCAGGCAGCCTGCCGAGTAGCTTGGTGCCTTCAAATGTTGATGACCCTAAATATTTTATGATGATGAGATAATATGGTAAATTTTCTAGTGAAAAATGTCTCTGGGAAAATCGTCAGAAATTCCAAGAGGAATGTTACAAATCATCAGAGTGTAATTTGAAATTCCTAGGGGATGGAACACTCAAACGGAAGAGAGTAAGTGAACACTAATTAATCCAAACAGGTTGGCGTCTTAAAGACAAGCTGCAAACTTGATTGTAAATCCAAGCAAATGATGATTAAGGACCAAAAGTAACTCAAAAATCTTTGATGGATGGACATTCATCAATGAAGATACCAGACTAGGGGCTTGGAGGACAAGGCGCATCAGTGCAGTCTTGAAAACATTAAGATATTAATGATTTCATGAAAAACTAGTCTTAATACGTATTCCGTGAAAAATTCGCTTTCAAATTCCAATTTTTAAGCATCATTAAGTCAAAACTTTCTTTCCGCCATAGGGTCTATGTAATTCAAAAACTTCGAACACATATTCTCAAAGTAGCAAAAACTGCAATTATGCGCCTTGTCCTCCAAGCCCCTCAGACATCCTATGAATATAATCAAGAAGCTGTAAGCAGTCCTCTGCTAAGGACATTAGCGCGTGAATTAGAGAGAATAGTTTACTTACCTGTAGGAATCAAATTCAAAATATGGAGGCCCGAAATTTTGTAATAACAATGGAACAGTAGCTAGTAATAAAAAGAAGATGTGGAACTTCTGTTGAAACAAAACTCGGAGCACTAAGCAAAGTACGCAATAAACACCACGAACAACTTTGTATATAATGAAGAGTGCAGCTATGATGAGTATTAAGGATATCACTGCAGTTGCGAAAGAGTCTAAAGAACTACCTTCTTTTCCACGAGTCATAATGACTAAATCAAGATTTACTTAAATAAAGGAATAAATGAGTTAGAGCTTTAGGGAAGAGTTGGTGTACAGAAATAAGTATGAAACATCATGAAACATATTCAACAATTTTGGTGTCAAATCATTAGTGATACCCGGAAAGTAGAGTGACTTTGAATCCTGCTGAATAAGCGCGATCAACGAACAGTTACGAACTTTGAAACATGAATTAAATCTTCCTATTCTTTTACATAATTTATTCCTCAATATGACCTGACGACCTGCCAGAACTTGTTTTGATAACAAAACATAACCTGTAAACCATGCGGATGGCGAGGAGGGGGGGGCCACGAAACAAAAACAATTTTTACAACCAACTATAACCTATTTTTCCGATTATTCCTCTATTCGAACAAAAGGAATCTTAACCGCAAATTCTGAACCAGACGCTTTGATTGGTCCAGAGCGGTTCATTCCAATTATTCCGAGTTGAGCCAAAACAAGCGGGAATTTCAAATAATTCCGGATATCCTGTCTACTAAATCGTTTCCGTTTCCGGTAAACAATGTTGTCAGTTTTACGAGCATTTGACAAATAAAACTGACAACGCCGCTTTACCGGAAACGGAAACTATTGGGTAAACAGGATATCCGGAATTATTTGAAATTCCCGCTTATTTTGGTTCAACTCGGAATTAATGGAATGAACCGCTCTAGACCAATCAAAGCGTCTGGTTCAGAATTTGCCGTTAAGATTCCTTCTGTTCGAAAAGAGGAATAATTAGGAAAATGTAGCAATTTGAACCAATCACAGGGCGGGCGTCTTTGAAACAACTGATAACAGCAGCAGAGGAAGATTATACTCATGCTAGTTGCTACGGCATTACGGCATTACGCCTTATCTTCTCTCCTTTTTTTGCTCCTATTATTCTTACTCAATACAGCTAGTTTTAATATTTTTCCTCTGTGTCCTTCCTCAATTTTGCCGTCACCTTCGGGTCCAGTTTAGACAGGTGTGGAGGTTGTTTTGAAGCTTTGCACACATACGTAGGTAAGAATGATCTGGGTCCGCTAAATTTTTTTCAACCGAGAAAGTACATCCCTGTGCCTATGATAAAAAGCAAGCTATTCATCCTCTAACTGTAACTATCCGATATTTCTGAGTGGTTTGATGACACTCAGACAGTAGAAAGTTCTCCTGAAGAGGATAGTTTTTCAACTATCGAAATTTCATGGCTCTTAAGTATCGGGGGCTCAATTGTGATAGTTCCATATGGTTTTAGTCACTGCCCATATTCCCATGTTGAGAGCTAAAGTATATAATCAATGCTTAAATAGCGATGAATGAACACAACCCAAGAGCTTTTAAAATTTCTATGAAGTTAGAGACTGTTTCACTGTCACTGGATTTTAGTCTACCTACTAAGTAATAGTATATGTTTCTTTTTGTTTAGTTCGGAGCATCGGAATTTTTACCACAAAGCAGCTAATTATGTCAAATGTTACAATCAAAGGATTCAAAATGCCCTCCGAGGCTGACAAACTAAAATGCTTCATTTGCGGCCGTATCATTATGGAGCGTTATTACTCTCTCTCTACTGTCAAGTGCGAGACCTCTGGAATGAAAGTGACAGAAGTTTTAGGCCAGTTAATAGGTGAATTGTAAGTATCGTAATAAGAACTGAATCTCAGTTTTTGATGGAAATGGTTATGCACATAATACTAAAAAATTTGGCACCAGCTTAATTTCGATACGATTTTATATGATATTTTTTTTGACCTCCTGAGCAGGATGCACTTTTAAAATTGAACTCTCTTTGTGTCAATCTTTAGAAAAGCGGCAACGATAAGTGAACATCCCAACGTATTTTTGTCGTTGTCCTAGACTGTCAATCATTGCCTCATCCTCCTCATTCTACATCACAGAATAATAATTACCAGATAGGGCAACTGCTTACCACCTTAGCTCTGATCCTTAGGCCTAAATTCACGATCAGCCTGAGCTTAAGTTTGGCATCAGTTTGATGAGTTTGTTGATGTTTTCAACTCAGTGTTGTTGAATTGACTTGATAATTTTTTTACATTTCAACTTATGACAGCTTTCGTTGATGTTTGATTGTTTGATGAGTTTGCTTGGTGAACGTCAGGATTTAGCGGGCTGCCAAATCCTGACCTTCAATCAACATTCCGAATTAGATGAATTCCACTCGTCTTCTCACCCGTTATCTATTTAAATACTAAATTCAGTCGAAAACGATCAAATTTAAGAAATCCGATTGAGCAAATGCCAAACTGACGCTAAACTTAAGCCTAGGCTGATCGTGAATTTAGGCCTCTAGAATTCCCCTCGACCCCAGCTTGACCTACGGCTCCAAGTTTACTGATCAAAATGGCTTAGTCTTGTCCACTTTCACCCAGCAGGGCTAGCTCTACACCTGCAGTTTCAAATATTGTGCTGAAATGGTTGCAAGTTTGCTAAAAAAAAAAAAAAGCCATCATATATTTGATCATACGGAAAAATCAGACAGTTAAGTACCCCACCGGTTGGTTAAGATTCTACGCCTGTATTCCAAAACCAGACCTAGGCAACCATTGTTTGAGACCATCAAACTCGGATCATGTAGCCGGGAATCGAACACGATCATGCTGCCTTGTGTTGGTTCTTTAGAGGGTATAAAATTTCATTTTCATCCAACGATTTTGAGCCTTGAAAATGGAAATTAAAATGCAAACAATTTTTTCTCAAAACCATCTTTTTGATCTTCAAATTCTGAGCTGTCATTACTCTAATTTGATTTGACAAATTTGAGAGTTTTTTATACTCCGAATGTTCCTTCTTGCAGTTGCGCCAATATTTTAATATTGAGTTCTTGCAAACCAAGGCTCTCTTTCCCAAGGATGGTCTCATATGAATAATATCAACTTTTGTTTCATTACAGGTTCTATGTGGTTGTGTCTGACAGTGATGTCATTTGCCGCTGCTGTACGTCTTTACTGAACACTTATGACAGACTTGAGTGCCTAAGAGCTCAGTTGAGCTCAGTCATACGTTCAAATTTGAATGAGAACTACCTGTCAAAACAAGTCGCAAATCATTTAGGTAAAAGACATTCATAGACCAAATGGACACAGGTTCTATTTCAAGATGAAATTTTGTCTGCCTGAAAATCGAATAGTTCCCTCTATTTGATGACACTTCGCTTTTACATGCTTTTTACAACAACATTGAAGTAAATTGCTCTCCATGCTGATCCTCTCTCAAAAATGAAAAAAAATGCATCAATTTTAAAAGGATTTTAGTAGGGAATCTGCTCTTGAACGTCCATTGTTTTCAGATAGTGGAAATATTTCCCCTACTTTTATCATGGACAACTGAACAGATATATTGATCAATTTTCCTGTTTTTTTTTTTTTTTTTTTTTTTTTTTTTTTTTTTTTTTACGATTTTCTACTGGGAAAAAAGCCAAAAAAATCTATTGTTGTGTGCCTATTGCCCTCAAAAAAATGGAAAAAATATCTGCACAGTTTCAAAACTTTCCAATGGATGTTGGAGATTTAACTTACAATCTCCTCGAACTATTTCCTTGTATTTTCAATTTCCTAAAGATGGAAAACATTTTTTAACAAAATTTTTATACCAAAAATATCTTTCAATCCTCTTTTTTGTTTGAAGCGAGTCTAATGTAATTTTCTTCAAACTCTTAAGATGAGGGGAAAAAAATTAAAATGCACCACCTGCCAAACTTTTCAAAAGAAAATTTATTAGAAATGATCATCTCAGAATTCTGGAGTAGTCTGATAAATTTAACATCATAAAGTTTAATCTTCTGTATTCAATATTAAATCCTGAGATTAACTATGCTGAAAAATCAAAGGGTGTTTAATATTTGTTTCTGCTGAAGTCGTCTCACTCATATAATAATTATCGGGGGTAAAATAATTAGTATACCTAGGTATTGATTTTATTTATTTTAGAATGATTATTTTTATTTTTTATGATTTTTGCAGTAATGTTGTATAACATTGACAAGAGTTTGTTTTCCTCCGAAAGATGGAGTTTTTCTGTGAGTGATGGAAAGAAAATTAGTTATGTTAGGGGATCTGGCACCATCTGAAAACCAAAATCCTTTCAAACAAAAAGTGTATGGTGACTGGGGAACAAAGAAATATTCACAGATCCAACACAGCTGTGATACACAAATACATTTATGAAAATGCTGATAAGAGTACCTTTTTAGCCTACGTTTTCTGGAGACTGGTCAGCAATTACTAAATCTTACGCATATTTTGTGTTTTCCTTTTAATGTGAACTCCATAAGAATATGCTGCCACAATATCTAATTTACTTTTTCTTTTGTTTGTATCCATTAGAATTTGATCTCGCACATTTAGGTCAAAGTATCTCCCCTTCCTGTCCTTTTTCAGAGTTAGAGTTGAGTCAAGAACTTCTATCAGTGAGTAATCCCAGTATCAAAATCATCCATGATTCCTGAAAATCTTGACGTGAAATTAACTTAACTTTTTTCCTCAAAAACCTATCATGTTTCCAAATCTTCCTTGAGATCTGTAAAATTATATTTTCTCGTACTCCTTGCAACCCTACCCTCTCAGACGGCTAGTTTTGAGGTAGCAGATTTCCAGTGTAAAAATCTACTGAATATATCAGCATGTGACAAATTCAAGTGACACTATAAACATGCAGTTGAAGAGTGCCAGAGGTTAAGAGAAGTTAGATAAAGTAGTAGCCTGCTTGTTTGAGTGAATATGTATCAGAGGAATACATGTTCAATGGACTGCATGAAACAAGTAAAAAGAATTGATCAAATCATACGTTGTAACTCTTGATTGAAATCTGTGTAAAATCTCAAAGGATTAGCCACGTGAGAAGGAGAAAATATCCAAATTATGTCAGTCGATTTTCAAGGATCGCAATTGCTTCCTTACTTCCCTTCAGGAGTGCCGTTATCCTTCAAGTATTGATGGCGAACCTATAAAAAAAACGTATTTCCATTGCAGTGTCGCCAAATTTCCACTCCTCTTTTATTTTTAGAAGAACACTATTTGACTTTTTTGTGTAAAAGTTTCTAAAGATGGGTATTCTTGAAAAGTTATTGAAAAATAACACAAAATTTTTCCCCGTAACGGTAATTAATCACCCTTTACAAAAGTGGAATGTAACAAGAACTTTACAACATCCCTAACTGAGATACGTAGTTTTGTAGTCTACTGTGGTTATATTTTTGTTGCAATATAACTCTTCTTGTCTATTTCCCATTTTACCTCTGGCCCCTTAAAGTATTCTCTCCTTTTTAATCTTCAGAGCTAATTTCCTACTTTTACGATAGTTTTTATACTGTTCTCTACCTGCACTCATTCAATATTCCAGGTGATCCAAGTTCCCACTAAACCAGTACCATGCATCACCCCTGTAACTTTTAAACAAATTGAGATAGAGACTAGAAATTCTGTTTGCGTTTTTTGTCAAAGGAAACACATTTCGGGAACCCCCAAAATTTTGAAGGGACCTCCTCTAAAGAGGGGCAAGAAAACTAGAAGTTTAACAGAGGCACTGGACTTTTGTGGCACCTTGTTCCTGTATTTAGCGGCAGCATTTTTTTTTTCAGGGAAAACCGAGTCCTGCAGATTCAGTCTCTTTCATTCCGACGGCGTCTGTGGAGCCCAACGTAGTAAAACTTGAACCACGCTCCATTATTGAAACAGCTTTTGAAACGCTTCAATATGATCTAAGCGAATTGAACCGAAAAGAGCCATGTTTCTCAGAGCCAATCACGCCTTTCTCTATTTCTCAAGTTAACTTCACGGAAGGTGACATTCAAAATCAAATTAATACGCTCACCGATATTGAAACTCAGTACATTCACGACCAACTCACCTTACCTTGTAGCTTTGGCCATCTTGAAACCGACTTATTCAGTAAAGCCGATTCATCTGGTAAGAAACTCTTTCATGTTTGCCCTTCATGAACTAATTTTTTTTCCTCCCTCTTGCACTGAACATTGAGTGACAGGTTTTGCTCAAATTAAGTTTTCCCAAATTTGGTCAATTTTTTCTGAATGGGACTTTTACTTCTTGAATACAGCTCAATAATAACGAGGACAAAGCTATAGCTTTAGCTTATTGATTAGGATTATTTCTTGCCTCCCTGAGGTGACACATATTGAAGGTAGTTTTGCAGACTTTAATCTGGAGAGAGTATTTTGTCAAGTTGAGTCAAACAGTGAAAATTCGAGTTTTTTTTTTTTTTTTTTTTTTATGGAAAACGTTGTTTGATAATTCCAAAAGTTAAGCTATTAGCAGTCAAGTAGAAATTTGTGCTTCTGTGAGGCAGAGTTTCATTTTGATTTAGCAATTTTAAACTCTGAACATAGAAGATAAAAATTTTGAGGAGCCTCTTCTCAAAATGGCATTTTTCAATGGTGAATTTTTAAATGTTAAACCTTTAAAACTACCATACAGTTTGACATCCTTGAGTATTCTCAGCAACAAAATTTTCGTAGAGCTCTTTTTTGCACTGTAAGATTAACTTCTCAATTTTAAGTTTATGGCACTTCAGTTCCGTTTCCTGAGCAAAGTCAGTATTTAAAAAATATATTACTGTGTCCAACAAGTCTAAAGTTTAAAGTTAAGCCCTACTATCGTAGAGATATGAGAACTTTTTTAGATCATTCGTAGACTTGCAAAAAAAAAGTCAGGAAACGACAATCAATTTTACCCCTTTTTTAATTCCCCTTTTTTTATGTTTTTATCGCAGAAACGACAAACAACTCCTATCCACTGGCTTGCAACATTCCTCCAGACGGTGAAAGCTTTAAGATGGCTAACAAAATCAACCCGTTGGAAGAGAGTTTCAGTGATGGTGACCACATTGCGGATCAGGACTCAGCTGAAAACTTTTACGTTCAGATTGTGAGTGAATCTGGTGAGACCAGTAGGAGCGTTCTCACACTAGATAGTGACTCTGCTCAAGTCTTGAAACACAAGTGGGAGGCATAGCTGTGCGTAGTTTTGAGACAGACAGGTCTTCTTAAACCACATTGTAATTTTAGTTACTCATCTCATCTTTCTTTCTCAAAAATGTTGATATGGTGTGCATAAGACTAATATAATTTATTGAAAAAAAATTTTTACCACGATAATGGTATTTAATCTAAAACCTAATTATGGATTAAACATTCATCTAAATTAGGGCCTTTTTCTTCCGAATGAAATGAACCGCGTTAAGCAGAAAGGAATCAAACCACATCAACTATTGCCAAATGTAACACGGCAAATTAATGTTTTACATGAAAACGGTTGTGCCGTTTTTGGTGCAAATTTCAGTGGAATTTCTGCATAGTACAAAGCAAATTCCTTGAAATTTTCGAGAAATCCGCACAAATCTTCTCATGTTAAAAATTAAATTACCCAGTTAAATTTGGCAATAGCTGATGAGGCTTGGTTCCTTTCTGGTAAATGCAGTTCAAATGTAACTCTTCCTACCTGTAGTGGAAATAGAGGAGCTGCCGCTATATTTTTTATTTTGGAATGAGCCTTGCCAGAGTTGACCTGTTTTTGAGAAGTTCATTCGACTATTGAGCTAATATCTAAATGGCAGCTAATCATAACTGAAAACTTAGATAAAAATTTCAAAGCGAGTGGAGAAATGGTTTTTGAATTTTTGTGTTAGCCTCCATTTAAACCTTGGTGCAATCGTCAAATTGACGCCCTAAAAGCAGGCTATAATTTTTTCTAATTTTTTGTGAGGCCTTTTCAACGTGTTGTGTATGGAATATAGATAGAAAAAATGTTTGGTGATGCTGTAATTCTTACTCAGTTTGGTAGTCCACTGTAGTTGAATTTTTCACAATTGGTGAACCCCTCTGTTGACTTATGAATCTGATTCTTTTCTGAAGGGGAGGAGAGATTTGAAAGAAAGAGAATAATTGCGTAGAATGTAATAATTTGTATTGACTTATTTATTTGATCATTTTTGAAGGCTACATTTTTAGAATTATTGAGGTATAAAATTGAAGGATCTCTGAGAAAATGTGAGCTACTATGTACCGATATTTTTCATTGAAAAATTAGCAATAGTTTACAGTCCTGTCAGGAAAGAGACAGTAATTGATACATTCAGAACTTCGATTAAAATATTTAGTTTTATTACAAATTTATTTTTTTAATTCAGTTGTAGAATTACTCTGTTACATGAGGCTGCGACACTAAAAATTGAAAAGTTTGGTCAGAATGCTAAGTTGTACATACAAAATAAACATAGATATCACCCTTCCACAAATGGTATGAAAGGGACGTTAAGACAAAGGGAGTGTATATCACGGTCTTTTCTATCTTCAATTTATCTCCAGTGAAGTAAACATTTGCACAAGTAAGTTTGCGAATGTAATTAAGGTGGAAAAGCTAAGGTTAATCTAGAAAAATCTTGAAGTTTCAGTGTTGTTTAGCTTTCTGTTTAAAATATAAATTATCCGTGACAATTGCCCTACGTCTGATGTAGTTAGGCTTATTCTAGTTAACCCTCCATGGCATAGTATTACTCATTCAAAACAATGCATTTTTTGGTTTTTTTGAAAATTTAACTATTTCTCTGTTGCATGATGTTGCAAACTGTTATCAATTTTTTCTTTTTTGAAAAAACGATTACCAAAATTTCGACATTTGAAGGGAGGAATTTGGGACTCAATGTTTTTACAAAAGCTACAGCATAGATTTTATGCCCCAAGAATCCGAAATCCGAAGTTGATTCATGCCATAGAGGGTCTGTCCATTTCACGCTCCATGATCTGCAATCATTAAAATACTCGTCTGTCGCTTGTTACGTCAGAACTTTCTCATAGCTCGTCAGTCTTTCAACTTAAGTGTAGTCCTTTACATAAAAGTAAAATTTCTTTGCGGTATATGATTGGTCTTAAAATAAACAACACTGTATCAGTAATAGTTGGAGGATTTGGAACCGACCAAGTAATCACTCCTCTCTTACTAAATTGGACCAGCTTTTACATTTTCCACCCAATCTTGAGCAAAAAAATGCAGGAAAGACTGAGTTTTTTGACTGAAAATTTGAGATTGAACCAAATCAGCTTGCATTCAGGATATGTGAAAAGAGGAATTTTATCGTCAGTTGGTGATTTCACTAACCAGAAAGCTTAAAAAATCCCACACATGAGACTGTAGATCTCCTTGGAAAAATGTCTATGTGATATGGAATTAGCAAGAGCAAGCCGTGGCATCTGTTCGTTGTTACATACATAATAATATTCAATTGAAGGAAAAAAACAGCAGCAACAATTTTCAAACTGTCTCATGTATTGCTTTGTTGCGTGTGCCATTTTTAAGTGAGCCGCTTTATCATGATTCATGCAGGCTTTGAAGGAAGCTTATCAAGCATTGTCAGGTTCTATTTTCACCGAAGATGACGGATTGATGGTGAAACTGCGGGAATGCATATCTTGGTTTTCGACATTTCTAACTTTCTATCCACCTTTATTTTTTAAACTGAAAAATGCTCAATTTCATTCCTTAAAAACTCCCCTGATTTTTCATCTCTGCACGAAGAGAACTCTATAACAATTTCAAGCTATAGCGTTGGTTTGTCCTTCTTTGATGAGATTCAACAGGAGCAAAGATTTTGAAACACAGCAAACAAGGTATGCATTCCTGCATTTTCACCGTCAATTCATCTCAATTCAAAGGCGGTCAATTTCGTATCTTTTTATGGAAGCCCTTTATGACTTCCATTGTATAAAAGGCACAAAACTAGAACTTCCTCTCATCAAATGTCAAAAAAGTTGGGGCTACAAACTAAGTTTTCTAGTTCATAAAATGCAGTATCGGCAATTTGGTGAAGAAGGAGAGCTCTATTTTCTTTGCTGTTTTAAGAAAATAAATGATGTGTGTCTTAATATTCATGCACTCTCTCAGTAGCTGGTGGAACTAGCCCAACAAGTAAAATAAATTAAATGAAAATTAAAAAGAATAAAAACTCTCCCGAATGATACCAGACCAGCCCATATGGTTGGCTCATTTTGTGAACAAAGGTGAAAACTCCAACACTGTGAAAATACTACACTTTCAATAGTGTACATGTGCAAAAAAATTCACTTTTCAGCTTCAATTTTCTTGAAAATGGCAAAGAGAAAGTTTTAATTTAAGAACCTTATAGGTTCAGAGGGGTATGAAAACATGAACTAGCAGAAGAGCATAATTCAGCCAACATTGAACCTCTTCGTCAAACGGGTGTCATTTTTTTGGTGTAAATGTATGTGCAGTCAAATTTTTTTTAAAAAAAATTCATTACTTCCTAGTACCTTGAGTGCAAAAAGAATTGGCGTTTCGAACAACTTGTTTGAAAAATTTTAAAATCATCAACTGAGCAAGTAGCAAACAACACCATTAGCGCTTTGGCCTATTCAGCAAAAATACTCAAAGGGATAAGAAAAATGATGCTGCCTCGTATCTGTTAGTTTTTTCACACATTCTGATGAGAGACTTTGTTTTCCTTGATAAAAGTTTCAAGCATGTTTTGTACCAAGCAACCTTAGAACTCAAAGTATCTGCACAAATCATGATTACTAATATTAAAAAAAAAATATGGAAAGATTTGGCCGAATTATTTTTGGCACCCATCTTAATAATACGGAAAGATACAAATGAAATGGAAGCTGTCGCTTTCTTTTTAATTCATGATTCAAATAGGGAATAAACACAAGGTACACTCTACAACAGGTAGAGTGTACCTACCAAAAATGAAAGAAATGAAGTTTGCGAAAGGTAATAATTGACATGACAGAGGTACTTCAACTCATTTCATGCAAGAAAGCCTAACGACACTGAATATTCATTGCAGTGAAAGTACTTATGCATCCTATTACTTTGAAAGAAACTAATCAAATGAACCAAAGGGCAAATTCATGGATCCTGGCCATTATAAATGTGCCTCAAAAACCTCTTGAAAATGTAGGAAACTTTTGAGGGACTTGGTTGGACTTGGACTATAAAATTGCATGACATTTACTACCTTAATATTGACAATGTGTAAAAAAATTCGTTGACAGGGATATCCCACACACAATTGAACACAAACATAGAAGGCAGAGGCGTCACACAAACAAAAATTTGTAATTTGTAAAATCTGAGCTACGCTGATACAGAAATTTGGAGCCTCACATAAAAATCTGCAAGCTCTCATGACCTCTCTTCAAAATCTATGAGCAATTGTAATTGGTGGGAGCCTATCTTAACGGTTCTTAAACAGTGGTCGGCCAAAGCCTATCAAAAATTTTAAAAATGTTGGTTTGAGAAGCACAGTTTATATGGAGAGGAAAACCTTATGACCATGGAAATTTTGAACTCTCTTTTGAATTCTTCCTGAAGTAGTAAAAGCGATTTTGACATAAAAAGGTTGTTAGTTTTTGTTGGTGGTCCGCAGCCTCTTTGCATGGTGGAGAAATGTTCTGCAGCCAAAAAAGGTTGAGTATCACTGCCCTATTTTGAAATACCTGAATTTACACCAAATAGAACCACTGACTAACTAATTTGAGGTCACTATATTGCTTCTTTCTTTTACATTGCAGAATCAGGTCTATTCTGGCGGTGCCAGAAATACTTCCATCTGATTTTCTCTCACGAAGAGTCGATAGTAAACCGTGGAAAATTTTCTCAGTTTACCATTCAGAATAACTCTAATTGTCTCAATGTAATGGAACACTAATTACAGACTTAAAAGTATCAGTAGAAGAGAAAAGTACTGACCATAAGAAAATTTTCTGCCTGGTTCAGAGGCTAACGTTCCGACACAGTGCTGTACCCACTGGGTAAAATTTATAGTATCGATATCTATCAGTTGCATTCAGCCCAAGGGCTGTTAGTATCAGTTTGTAAAGAATTGCGCATAGTTTAGCTAAGTAATCTAATTTGTAAGCGCACGATTTAGGGTCAAAGCTCATAGATAGTTGGGCATCGTAGATAAAATCTTATTTTTTCCAGATCTGTTAACAGCCAGGGTCAAGCAAGACAAACAGTTAGGAGCCAACTAAGACTGGGACAATACTCACAAAGAATTTTCCTGTCTTCCTTCCTTCCTGTCTTCCCGATTCAAACTTATCGAAGCTCCTTTCAATTAATCTCTCCTTGATTTCAATCATTACTAAGTATGCCGGGGTCGTTTGTTTGACCTGCAATTAAAAAAGCTTGACTATATTTCAGAGTGGGTAAACAAGAGCAATTGAGCTCATGTAGGTAAAAGGGATTTTCAGTTTGATCAACTGTTATTTGTCAAATGTAGTGAGAAACTCTATAGTGCCGGAGATTTTATCGGAAGCCATCTTACAAGCTAAGAAAGAAGTGCTCTGAAATTTAAAGGATTAACTTTATGAGCTTTTTCTAAGCTTAAGATTTGCTTCAAGAGAAAACCAATGGCAGAATCAGTTCTTTTGAAAAAAACATTGAGATAGATCGTAAAATCATGGTTACTGAGCATTGATAGCAACCCTCTTGTGCCGACAAAACAGTGAATTGAACAGATTCTCTAGCTCAGTTCAGGGAAGTTTGGGGGTATTTATTAAACATTTGATAAAGTTTTAAAAAATTAGGGTAAGATTTTGAGACACGATTGAAACTACAACTCATCAAAAACAACGAAAAAGAATTTTTCATACAATTTTGCAAGAGGATTAGAGGAGTATACTTCCAAACTTTGACCACTTTCAATGATAAAACTTCAAAATAGAGAAGTCACAATAACTATCCTGCTTGTATCCTTAAAAAAGAAAAGATTTTAACTTTACATTTCAGACCAAGTGAAATTACACATTTATTGATTAATCAACAAATACTCATCAGGTATTTTAGTGAAGAAATCTTACTGTTGAAAATTTGCAGTATTTCGCCCCCCCCCCTTCCCCTTCGTCTCTAGCTTTTTTCATAGCCATGAAGACATCTCTGCGGAGATTTTCGGAATCGCGATTTTGTGAATACTTCTGCCATTTTCTTCTCTTCTTCTTGGTTCTTCGTCTTAATCTCACATTCAAAAATTATATTCTTGTTAGGTGCGGAACCCACAAAGTTTGTGTTGTATTTTCAAAGTATTATTATTTTTTTTTGGGCAACTTTTTATACACGAGCTTTTTAATGACTGACAAGTTATTCAAAAAGCTAAGGCAAAGTAAATGTGGGAGCATTACATAGTATGTATAACTACAAAGACCGTTACCTTCGACCTTAAACTCCGTCATCATCAAGGAACATACTTCTTTCAACTATCCAAAGGTTATTTAATTCCTCACAGGAATGATTGTAAAATATTAACGACTAACCTCCAATTGAGAAAAGAGAGAGATTAGAAAATGTAAAGAAGCAGTTGGGAAGATGACAAAGTTGAGTGTTACAATTAGAGTTTTGTTCATGTTACCGAGAGAAGCCACCACTCGGCATGTAAAAAATATGAGTCATTGACAATTGATAAGAATGGGATTAAATCAGAGGGAACATGCAAAAAAATTTCCCAAACAATACAAAAATTTCAATATGCAGCGGATAAATTGCAAAAAGGACTCTAAGTTGTTAATATTTACCAAAGAATTACATTAAAATAATTAAAATTTAACAGGTTCCCTTGAGTGTCCCCTTCTGATCGATGATTGACTTAAACCCACGAGGGGATCAACAAATTATATCCAGTGAATCTATCTTTAATTTCTTTTGTTAAAATATCCTAAGTCATGAGAAAATACAAAATAAAAATTGAATGAATATCCATATTCTGAAGTTCCTGCATGATCACTTGTGAAGAATTGAAGTTTCTGTCCTCTAACGGAAATATAGTAATTTACCTTCATCACACTATTAACTATATGTGAAGGACTTCTTAGCTAAAAAGTAGTAATGAATTCACCATGTGGAAGGTTCCAGGTATCTTAATTCTAATTCATGCCTGACAAATAATCAAATGGATCAGCAAGCATAGCAATTGTTGTTCCGACAAGAATTCGCCCTTTGGATAATGGACATGGAGTAAAAAAAACAGGATTTTTTACACGCAGCTGTTGCTCGTGATGATATTACTGAACATCGAAAGTATTGAAACCATTAAGGGCGTGGCCGAAGGAGTTAAGCCGAATGGACGTACTTAGACCAAGGGGAAATATCTCCACCAAGACATGAGCTCTGCGTGCATATCACCATTACATACTTGACTTGATGTGTCCATGTGACAATGAAGGTAGTCTTTTTTGATTTAGTTACATTTAAATATGAAGTATGTTGCTGAGAATTTTCCAATGTATAAAAACTGAGAAAATACAAAAATAGGAATAAAAAAATAACTTTTTGAAAGCGGTGTAGAAAAGTATGATAGGAGTCAGTCTATTTAAGTTACATCAGATTGTTACAGAGGAATCTTTGAAAGAGGCAAAAGAAGTCTTCAAATTCATCATCCATTTCACACACAGTGATCATGTATTCAACAATCCCTATGCTGTGAATAAACATCACTTGGCAATAATAGCTCGGGGTAGTCAAGTCAGATAAAATGTTGGCCATCAAATTTATTCAATTTGATTTAAAAAAAAAAACATTTTTGGTTGTTAAATAGCATTTAACAACAAAAATAACATGCGCTCAAGTTTGGTCTATAAAAGATGATGTGTTGGAGTGCATGTAACAGTGAGCAATCACAAGTATGAGTTAATGTTAGAGATATTCCACTGTTGTTGTCGAACGGAGGTTGATAAAGCTCTGTTAAGAATAGAAGCAGGAAAGAAGGAAAAGGAAAACTAGTTTTGAAAGTGATATCAAATGACGAGGAAAAAAAGGAAATTCAATAAATTTTGCTGGAGAAACATCTGTACATTTTCAGAAATTATTTCCAAGTTCTGTCAACTATGAAATTTTGAATCCATCTAAAAAAATACAGTGCCAGGGGAAAATTTATCAGAGGTAGAAAATGACGAAAGCGCTAAGACCTGAGAGTATTTCGTTCCGAAAATAGGCTTTATATTCATCCTCAATTGGACCACATTAAGCAGTAAGGGACCAAGCCACACTAACTGGTGACAAATTTAACTAGGCAGTTGAATTCTGTACAAGGAAGCGGTTGTGCGGATCCTTCTGCAAATTTCAGTGAATTTTCTGCACAGTACAAAGCCAATTCCTTGAAAATTTCAAAAAATCCACACGAACATTCTCTTGTAAAAAATTAAATTCCTCGGTTAAATTTGGCGATAGCTGACGTGACGTGCTTCCTTTCTGAATAATGTGGTCCAATTGTTACAGCAAAACTGAAAAATAATGATGATGAAAAATATCTTAATCAGATTCTGGAAAATAAATTATTGAGAAGGTACCATCTTCTCACCTATTTCTCATCTATAGGACCGTTTATTTTTATAAAATATTGAACGCTATAGAGGGGAAGGGAGTTGAGAAGAGTGTTCAGGGATTTTTTTTTAGCGTTAGAGGATAGGGACCTACATCACAAAATCGTTGCTCGGAGGGGGGTCAAAAGTTCTGAAATTTGGCGTTACGTACTTCAAGAATGACCCCTTAAAGAAAATAAGATTATGATTAAGTTGAAAGTCAGTAGTGCAGAATTATTCCACTAAACAACTACTTTCATGATATATATATTATTAGGAATCATTTTTTGAAATCTTGTTCAAGATACCACTCACTCATACTTAAAAATAAACGCCTAAAATAAGTAATTCAGTGAGCTTTACATCCTCAACACAAAGGGGTTCAACTTCCATTACTAAAACTCATAAAGCACCAAGCACAAGAAGCACATCAGTAAACGGGGAGGGGATCAATATTTCGGGAGGAATTTATCTGAGCACACAAAATTTTTTTTACAGAAACTATGTGAAAGTGCAAAGTCAAAATTGAAATATTTTTGAAAAGTTCCAGAATTTGCAAGAGAACCCCTAGTGTTGGGGAGACTGGATTTAGTTATGCTGAAAGGAATTACGTATACAGGATTTGCATGCAATTAAGTTCCTTTCGACATAAATATGTTAATCTGAGTATTTCCGAGCCATTTACTGAAAAACTATCTATCCCTCATGGATTCTTATAAAAAGTATTAATAGTTTCCATTATAAAAAGTCTTTAATGAAAAAAATTGTTCTCAAATACTTCAAAAGCAATTAGATGAAGCATTTGATGAAATGCAGAAAAACTGAGTCACTTTTAACTAAGAAAATCAAAATTGTTCGTTGGGGAAAAGATTAACTACAAAACAGGATTACCAACAAATATGCTAGTGCCTGATAATCAAATCATGCAGTAACAACAGTTCGATTGATAGTTGCCAGACTGATAAGACTCATGAAATTTCAAATAAACTTGCAATAAATGAGAATAAAAACATGGAGTAAAAAGATAATAAAAATATATTAATATGCAATATAAACACAACATGAAAATAAACCTATGCGTACAAAATTTTACAAAGTTCGTTACATTTACGAGTAGAAATATTTTTAAAAAAGGCTTCTTTACAAAATTTTTGTCAGTTCAAATTCAATACTTGTTCTTCTTGAGTGACCGGGGAGCAAATACTGGAAAAGCACCGATATCTATAACTACTATGAACAGGTTATCGGTTGTGAGAAACTTGAAAACAACACTGAAGCCTCAGAGACCGAACATTTTCAGCTAAGGATGAAGGTAACAATAAAATAGGTCTGGATAGGCTGGGGCAATTTTACTAGTTCCAGTAAAATAGATTGATGACCGACTCAAGGCAAAGAATCTGATGTAAAACTGCCAGGACCCCCAGAAAATTTCTCAACTGGATAACACAATAACTTTACCCGTGCAAGATGCAACTTAGATCGCATCCACTCAAGAAGTAGAATTTTTTAAGGTGTTAACCGTATTTCTTGACAAAATAATGAAGGGCAACTGAACGATCTAAAAGACTGAATCGACACCACTTCAAGGTGAGCCAAAAATAAAGAAAAAAAGGGATCACAGGAACTAATGATGATACCAAAGGTTATTTACAACAAATTTAAAGCAGTGTGACAACTAAAACGTTTAACAGTGATTCGTTGAAACAGTTTGGGTTATGTACCATACTTTAAATGAATAGCACGGAAAAGAATAGGGTTCCTCATGATTAAACAGAAAAAGGAATTGAGAATAGCCCTTAAGTGAAATAGTTGAAACACTTCCCACTTAAACTGAAGTTGATGCTCTAAAAATTGGGATCATATGAACCCCAATATAATTAAAAGTATTTCCATTAGGCTGAGTGATGGTTCCAGGAAAACCAATCTCAAATGTCCTAATTTTTTACAAGCCTCAAATGAAATTTTGGGGACATAAATAAAAAACCTCTCGTCTGGACTTCCTGCAGCAATCAGGGGCAAAAACTGCTGCTGATATACAAAACTATTGAAAGCAGCAAAAAACCTATGAGTCTAAATTCGGCGGGAGAACGATCATTCAAAAGCTCTGATACATTGGAGTCTTACGTATCGTTGACACTTTACTGATGGTGATCTTCAATACACCAGTTCACATGATTAAAGTGATGTAAAAAGCGACTAGTAACTCTCTTCTTTCATCAAGCTAAATTACTAAAAACAGTGGAGCATTCCCATTGTAGGTCTAGGAATCACATGAGCAGAATTGCTTCAAACGTTTTCGTTTTCTTACGTTTAAAAGGACTATGCACACTGCAAAGAGACCAAGAAAAGCGACGCTGGTTGGATTTTGAGATTTTTTTTTGATGATGTGCCTGACGATTTCCTCCGGAGTAACATGTGCTTCTGATATCAAACTTTCTTTGAAGAATACACCGAATGAATTTTGCCGAAGAATACACTTTTCTGGCCCAATTTTCTCAAGATTGGCCCAGAAAAGTGTATTCTTCGGCAATTCACACAAATTATTATACAGCACCGTAGTGACGGTAAAAAATTATCCTCTTATTATAAACTCAGTTGACACACTATTTCATCTCCCCAGCCACCTCGAGACGCAGCAAAAGAAACTCGCTCCTTGATCACCTACATTTTTCCACTTAAAACAGCCGAACCAATTTTCAAACCCGCTTTTCTTGAGACTGGCACGAAGAACGTTCGATTATAAAAGCTTATCTTACTCAGGAGACCTTAAAAAACTTCACACCAAAAAATCTCGTAATTTAACCAGGGTTTTTCTTAATATTCTGTACGTGGTCCTTTCACTATTTGATGAATTCAAATTACCGTCTATAGTTTAGGGCAACAAATTAATCAGTTATAGGCTAGTTGATGGTTTGAATCTGTTACTGAGTAGTCTGAGCAAATTTTATCAACGGTTTAAAAATACACAACAATGCGTTAAATCACTTCCATTCTAGAATATATGTGCACCCACCTCCACATAAATTGGTACCTACTGACTGACTCAACTGAATAGGGGCTGACTCTTCTTTAGATGGGAAATAGTTTTACAAATGAGTCACAGTGTAAGTTGAGTTAACATAAACATTTCATCAACCAAATGAAAGATCGTTTACAATCAATTTATGAGTTGTGTGCTCTGATCTGAGAAGCACGGAGCATGTTTGATTCAAACTGCTCCAAGAATTTAAGTGAGTTAAATGCAAATTTTGATGATTATTCCTAAAAACAAAGAATTCAGTCTTTTCTAAATATCAAAAAAAAAAAATATTTTAAGTAAAGCTCAATACACTTGCAATTTCTACAAACTTCTTATTCGACAATGGATCACTTTTCATTTGACAGTAAGATAAAAAGAAAAACTTCTACACAGCAGTAAAAATCTGATGCACTGATGCATTCAAGTACTCTTTTGGGGTTTTTTGTTCATTGGCACCTCTGTCTGAATGGAAACTTAGAATAAAAACTAGGAGAGTAGATAGAATTGATCCTACTTTGGCACAACAGAAGTCATGATTTTACAACCTGGACTGGGCGAGACTAAAATAAACGCATTGTACCGACTGGAATTCACTTTCATGTCAGCCCATTTACTTTAATCAGCTTTTACCCAAAAGTCGAATAAAATGTTCAAAGATAAGAGCAAATCTGTAAATTGAGCTTTAGTGTTCTCGAATATTTCACTCTCCACATTACATTCACATTTTAAATTAAGCTGAACTTAACAAACCATAAAAGAGCCTGGGGGAAAAAAATCAGCGACTCCACATATTTGTTCTAGGACTGCTCGGAGAGGCTGTATTGTTAAGAGTCAAAGAACATTTCTTAAATCTATGCGCAATATCTTTGAGTGGTTCCAATTCAAAAGAAATCGACATTACAGATTAAAATCCTTGTTGCAAGATACGACCGAAAGGTTTCTTCACAATCATGAAGAAAACGCTTTAAAGTCGGCTGACTCTCCATATTCCAACCTGCCGTGAAGAATTTTCGGTACGAGTTCGAAACAAACAAAAAATAAATGGATACGGGTGTAGACTCTGAAAAGGAGAGGGAGTAATTTGAAGGAAAGGCCTGGTAACTCGTGGAGACTAAATGAATTAACCCGACTAGTTGGAGCCCCGTGGCCCAAGATAATAAAAGGCTAGCCCTCCAACACCAATTAAAAGAAAATTTACGTATGGTTTTAAAGACCTTTTGATCCGTTCCCAGTACTCTGCGTCGTCCTGTTTGCGTTTCATCTCCTCGACCTTTTCTGCCAGACGCTTCTGCTTGTCTGCTTGCACCGCTTTCCTCTGACGCACTGCTTCTTCCCCATCTCTGCAAGAAAAAGAACAAACCACAACATGTAGAAAGCTGACACAAAGTAAATGTGAATAAAAAGAAAAGTTACAAATGACCAAATGTGTGAGCTATAGAATAATTCTATGATGGTTGCAGTGCAATTATGTTGTAAACAATCACTCAATTACAAACAATCAAGAGATCTAAAAAATGTTGATGGCAAAAGTGCGAAACTACATATCGACGGTGTAAGTTGGCAATCACATAACTCCGTTTGCAACATCGCATACTTCCTGTCAAACTTTATTTTTTAAACGGAAAACTACTCAATGGCAATTCTTTAAAACTGCCATATTATTCTTCTCTGTGCAACGAAAATTCTGCAAAAACTTCAAGGAATGATGGTAATTTGTTCTCCTTTAAAAAAAATAACATAGAGGCGGAGATTTTCAGACACTGCCAACAAGATATGTGATTGCGGACTTACACCGTCAGTATCTCCATATGCAACATTGCTGACTTCCTGTCATACTTAATTTTTCTTTCGAAAACTAGTCGGCGTAATTTCTTGAAAATTGCTTTGATTTTCCTCTGTAGGCGAATATTCTATGTGGATTTCAAGCTATAGCTTGGCTCAACGTGCCATCTGGGCGCACCTTCCTTGTAAGTGAAGTGTATATCAACCTTTTTTAGCATGCTCACCTTGATTTTAGAGCATTATTAGCTCTTACAACTTAATTCATTCATCTGTATTTCTTGTGCACAACAATCTTATTGTGAGGTAAGAAAAGCTGGAGACTTTTTCCTTGTGTCTTGCAAAAATTGAGAGTGGGAAAAATTGTTTACACCTTCGAAGAGGAGATCAAGAGAGAGAATATCTGAGTTGCCACAAAGTTTAGAAAATGAATGTCCCCCACACATTTTGGACAAATTTCTTTACAGTTGAAGATATCAGGGTTGCCACAGAATTTGGAAAATTAAATTCCCTGACACATTTTGGTGAAATTCCCTGACAACTGAACAAATGCCAGATTGTTAAAAAGACATAGTTAGAAATAGTTTTCAGGCAGAATTTTTTGTTCGAAACGTCAAACCTTTCATAGAGAGCTAATAGAAGTGTCTTGACAATTTTTCCCTGACAATGACATTTCTTGGTTTCCCCTGCCTGTAGCATCTCTGGATGAAAACCCGTATCCCTAGCCCATAAAATCCAAATAAAGAAAGCGATACTAACTTGTCAACACCATTTTCAATGGGTTTGCTTTCCCCAGCTGCGCCTGTTGGTTCCTCGACAGCTGGTGATGCTCCAGGAGGTGACTCTTCATCCGGTGAAGATGAGGGAGAGCTTTCGACTGATATCGGTGCCGGTCTTTCCGGTCGCAAAGACTCAGTTCGAGGCGGTGGCAGTGGAGGTGGTTCTTCTTCGCTTTCACTTTGAGAATCCACTTTTTCATCATCTTCAGGTGAATCCTTAAAAATTGATGGAAACATTGAGCAACTCAGTATTTCAACACACAACTCAGTAATCTCTAAAACATCATTTCAGATTTCACAGCTCAAGGGATTTTGACGAGTTTCAAAGAGGAAAAGGTAATATGTGATAATCCGAAAAAAAAAGGGGCACTGAAATGTCCAGGCAAATCATGATGGCAATTTTTAAGGGACGTATAAAAAGGTTACGTAGTGAATTCATATCAGTGGTAGAAAAAAAATTCGGGTTTGCCAAAAATGACACTCAACAAACCTAGGTTTGCCAAATGACCCTTTCCGCTAGCCTAGGTCTGCCAAGAGATCAAGCTTTGCCGGTCAGAAAAATACACTTCTCGAAGCAGAATTTCAAAATTTCTGTTCCTAATTTTTAACACATTGACTACCAAACCAGTCACAGCGGGCCGGTAATTGAAATTCTTTTGACTCAAAAAAAAATCTTAAGAATTATTGCAAACAAAAAAAAATTTGACTCTTGTAGAAAACTATTCCCAGAGTTCAATGTGATGACTGTCTTCTCTAGGTATATATATTCAACAATAAAGGAATCAATTAAATTAGGCTACATCATCAAAGAAAAATTAATTACTAATAATCAAATACAAACCAGAAATATCCTAGCAAAAATTGAAAAAAAACGGGGGGAAAAAGTAGACTGGGATAGCTTAGAAAGCAGAGGTATCAGATATTTTAACAAGCTTCCCAAGCCATTAAAAGAACTTTTCATTAAATCAGAAAATTCAAATCTATTCCTAAATAACATAAAAAATTACTTCATAGAAAACCCTTTTTACGAGTTAAAAGAATATCTCGACGCAAATCTCCCCAATCCCTAAATTGCCTGAATGTAGTCCCCTAAGTCTTAAGTCTTAGTTCTTCATTTACTGTTTTCTTTTTTTTACTTGTTTGTTAAAATTTTGTTACATTTATTTGATGTTAAATTTTGTTCCATTAAATTATTTGACGAGTGTTAAGCTCATAAATTTGTATGAATTTCATGAGGCTGTTGCATTAATAAATATATTATTATTATTATTAAATTTACTGACGAAGAAGACAAATGGATATGGAGGGATCCCACTGGCGGAAGCAGACCGTTGCAATGGACAAAGAAAGTAGGTAATACACTAGCTAACAGCAATCTATGAGAGACCCTAAACTTAGTCCATCATTTTCTCCCTTATTCTGTAGGAACCACCCCTTTCGACCAATGGGATTGCTCTATACTACCCTTGTCTTCTTTGTCTGTAAAATCTAATAACTAGCCTGCAGCTGTCTTTTGGGTTTTAGCCACAACAATCAAAGTGACCCATCTTTCCTGCGACCTAGGAATAAAAATGCCATGTGTAAAATTGTTCATGAAATTTGAATGATGGACACGGTAGAGAAGAAGCAATAACGTCAAGGTGATCTTTGGAGATAGTACCTCAGAGCCATCATTTTTCGTTGGTTTTTGGATTGACTTCTTGGCTTTAAGGGAACATGCACATGAAAAAACGTTGGGGGATAGCCAAAGATCATGGATTAGTGATTTCAAAAGAATAAAAAGAATGCAACAATGAGCTCTTAATATTAACTCTTCTAATTTAATTCTACCGACAAAATTAAACACTTACTTCGAGATTGTGAAGCCAGCTAGATTTCATGCCTTCAACGATGGCTAGAAAACTAAAGCGTAATTGTTGAACCGTCTGGACAAGTCCCATGCGATATTTCCGCATATCCAGCAATACCTCGCCAACTTCTCGGACTTCTATGGAATTTTCTCCGTTCTCTGCAATCTGTAATTTTTTTGTTTTATTTAAACTAAGATAAGCTATGAATTCATTGCTGAAGCACAGAAAATTGTTGATTTTGCCAATAGTGCAAACCGAAGCATGTTTCTAATTCTATTACGCACTTCCAGAGACAGGTTTGGAATAAAATGCAATAAGAGAGAGGGGAAAAATTTAGAAAGAGAAAAAGTTATTACACTTCTTTTTTTTTTTTTTTTTTTTTTTTTTTTTTTACTGCTTTAAATACCACACAAGTGGTAATCCTTGCGCTTCCAGTTAGAGCCCCTCCCCCTCCGTCCCTACCATGCACCAGCCCGGTGCAAAGAATATACAAATTATATTCAGTCATTAGGTGCTCAGTTGAAATTTTTGGTTTCTAGAGTAGTTGCACTGTTATGAAGTCAATGCTTTGAGAAAATCTGAGTAAACCAAAAATAAGGGGAGAGAGTTAGATTGGGAAAATTTTTTGTATTTGTTTGATTAAATAGGAACCATCTTTTATTTCAGAACTGACATCAGGAGCAGATTCATGTCCTTTGTAGGGAAACCAAAGAGCCTTGCCAAGTTTCTCCCCTTTTTTTGGATATCGAGTTGTTCAACCGGACAAGGCTCAAATGAAAGCTTATGGTAAGGCAAACTTCCAGGCTAAGTTTCAACTTGAAGTGACACTTCATCTAGGCTGTACAGCGTTGCCGATTTTTCATTTTTTTATACTAAAATCATGAAATTCTAGACTATAAGTCCAATACATTCATAGGTGAGAGAAACTTACCATTACTAGACAGGAATCCACTAAACAAAATGTACCAGAGCGCCCAATGCCAGCCGAGCAGTGAACAATTGGAGCACCAACATTTTCATCCAAAGATCCGCTTTTTCGAACGGCTCGCAAGAAACGCAGAAATTCTTTGGGGCTTTTGGGTACACCGAAATCTGGCCACGTCATATAGTGATAGTGCAACACCTCCCGCTTTTCATCTGTTTCTGTATCAGTTAGCCTAAAAAATAATCAGGAAATAAAACATTAGAATATTCTAAGGAGGTTTAAAGTTTTTAGGAATGATTGAAGCGGCAGCATCTAGTCCGATTTATTTCACACCAGAGTGCTTGCCTCCCCGAAAGTTCGGGGGGTCAGATATTGCTCGTGACACTTCAGGACCATGTGCCTCAGTTCATGATATTGCAGTTTTTTGTTACATCGCATTTAAATGAGGGAATTATGATCATCGTTTTTGCACAAAATGTCATACAGCATGCGGGAATCTGGTATGTTTTGAGTTCCAAAATCAGTAGTGCATCCAAGTTAACCACTGATTACATTTTTTTGCATTCTCATACTTTTTAAGGTCATTTCTAAAAATATCAAACCATAATGAAATCCAGCAAAAACAAAGTCTTTTGTTTTAATGTGCTTTCTGGAACCTGCTTGAAATCCTCAAAGGCTCATTTAGACCTAAGAGGCAAATGCAATGTTGAAGAAATATGAATGAGGCAGAAAAAGTTTAACTAAATGAGAACGAACAAAGAAATACAAAATATCTAAAATTTAATACTTACTCAAAAGTTCGGACAGTGTAGTACTGATAGGCTGTTTCTGATACAAAAGATACCTTTAGAGAAACATCTGATAAATCCAAAGGATCATCTGTTCTACTTGGCCAATACTGATGACATTTAATCTGGAAAAAACAAGATTTCAAGAACATGAGCATGACTGATTAAAAGGAATATCATTGACGCTCAATCTACAATGGGTGATTGAGTTCATTTTAACTTTCCCTTTGACTCAAAGGGATGCAGAAAATGTTGGGGGCCAGGAACCCCAGGACGCATGTAGCAAGGGCAAATTTAGTAGAACAGTGCCTTTGTTTAGGAAATATCCCCCAAAATGCTTACTTTTGAATTTAGTGGATAAAGGAAAGTTCGAGGCTGAGACTGCAACTAATTTTTTCTCCGAAATATCTTCTGCACACCTAATTTGTCAGTCCACAGCCAATAAGAACTGAGATTTGAGATTGACTTTTTCCAGGTATCAATTTCCCGGCGCAGATAATCAGAAAAATTATCAAAATTGGCATTTCTCTTTCTGGTGCAAACTAGAAGTTGCCAAAATTTAATTTCTTAAATTTGCCAAAATTTAAGAAGTGCTAAAAGTACTATAATTTGAGGGATTCATTTCTACCAGAGTATCAAAAATCGATTTTTGAGGGATATTGATTTCATGCTGCTGCTTGATAAATCCTATTGATGATGATGATGGTCAAAATGGGAAACCACGTATCTCTGTTTGCGACGTAGCAGACTCAATACTTAATTTTTCTTTGAAAAACTAGTCAACGAAATTGATTGAATCCCTTCAAGATTTTTCTTTGCTGTTAGCAAAATATTTGTTGAATACAAATTTCAAGCTATAAAGATGGCTTGTTTCTGTTCAAAAAAAATATAATAGGAGCAGAGATTCTGAGACACCCATACGTAGTTTTGAACTTCCGTCAGATATTATTCAACAAATTAATGGTTTCCAATTAAGGAAGGGACAGAGACAGCTTACCCGGTTGTTTTCGATTATTTTATTGAGCATCACTATTGATTTGCTGTTTTGCTCCCAAACCATAGCCCAGAAATGTGATATTGTGTTGGGTAGGGGTCCTTGAGTTAGAATGTATTTCCTATGTGCTTTCTCCACCTGAAAAAAATCAAGTGAAAAGAGATAAAATCTAAATGCAATGCTAATACAAACCTAATATTCACAAACGAATAATCATAAGAAATTATTTATCCAGACACACATTAGATGAGAAACCCTGGCTTTAGTATTAAAAAAATAGATTAAGATTTTATGTGGCGTGAGGAGTCTGGGATAAATCCTGGAAACAATTTTCTTGGACTTCGAACAAAGATGTAACCCTGTAAAGGTGTTAAACCAAACCGTAGACTCATAATACAATCTAAACAGCACATGAGCTTTTTTATGAGAAGATAGGTGGGCAACCCGGATTGTAGGTAGAATTAGGAAATTCTAAGGGTATACGATTGAATATTTGTTGGTAAGCTATCGTGTACTACTTGTTTCTAAATACTAGTGCACTCCATTACGACTGCTCTGGTCAGCTTCATCCAAACTGCGCAAGCTTTACGCGTTATTTCCTCCTATGTCTGTTCGTTGGGTTCCTTGGCCCGTGAAATTGATACAATTGACAATAGCTCATTTTTGCTGGCGTTGAAAACTTTGATAGCTACTAGTAAGGGTCGTCTTATCATTACTACTTACTTTGAGATGGAACTGTTTCGAAAACTTACTGAAAACGGATAGGACATCCCTAGGAAATTAATGGAATCAGCGACAGCTATCTAGGTGAACGAATGCGAGCAAGGCATGCTTAGCTTTGAGTGACACTTAGTACTAAATGTATACCAGGTTGCAGCAGTTTACATGAAGGCGCATGTCACCTTCCAAGCTGTCTGACCTCTTCCACTATGTGTCAAGCCTCATGCTCTGTCTAGATTGCATTTTAAATCTAAAAGCAAGACAAATTGGACCTAATACTTTTGAACTGTTACTCTCCTCTTGCATTCCCCCTTGGGGACTTCCATCAAAGGACTATGAAGGTGATTTTGACAGTCTAGTAGAACTGCGACCTCAGTGCAAAAAGGAGCAGATTTTTCATGAGAGACATTTGGAACACATTTTGCAATAGGGTACCACTATTTCTGGCTCATTTTAGATACGGCATATATGCCATTCGTTCCTCTATGCAGAAGGTGCTCTTACGGAGGAGCCGGAGATAGTGGTTCCTTATTGCAAAATGCAATCCATTTATCAATAGGTCGCATATCGGAGTCAAGATATATGATGGAATTTGTTATGTTCCTCAATTGACTTTGAATGACTGGATACTTGCATGTGTAATTAGATGTATATTGATTGGAAAATTGAAATATTTAAGATACGAACAGGCACTAGATTTGCGTTTATGAAGTCACAGCTGCCCCTCGTAAGGATAATCCGAGAATAGTCGTAGGGGTTGACATCCCTGTAACGATTGAGATTTTTGTTTTCCTTTGCTGCTTTGATGGAAAAATCATATTTGTTTGATTCTTCTTTGATACTCTGCAAAAAAAAAATAGAAAAAGAGAGAAAATTAAAAACAGAAAAAAAGAAATGGCTGCGATAATCATTTTGTTATCATATTAGATTCTTCAAAGACAAATAAAGTGGCTGATGGTATATCAACGGTGAAACTGCCGAACCACGTATCTGGGTTTGCGACATCGTACGCTGCCTGTAATACTTTATTTTTTAGATGGAAAACCACTCAACGTCAATTATTGAAAACTTACGTGATTTTTCTTCTGAAAGTGAAGAAAAATCTGTGAAAAATTCAAGGGATGATATTGGTTTGTTCTCGTTCACAAAAGCGAAATAGGAGAGGAGATTTTTATACACAGCAAACGAGATATGTGGTCTAGTAGTTTTACCATCCATATAAGAGATGTTGAGATCAATCTCAGTATGAAGCGCTGCCAGCACTAGAACTGGAGAAAGAAAAGAATGGACGTAAGTCACATCAGTCTGAATGTATCAATCATCAGTTGGCCCATTGGTTAGCATGTAAATATCTGTTGAATGGTGCGATTTTTGGATGTGACATTTTTCTATTCTTTCCTTACCCCAGTTCTACCCATTAGTGGGACATCAAAATAACAGATCTGAACTTGGTAAAGACATATCTATGCTTCGGAATTTCGCACTTTGTAGCATCTAGCAGATTTTTCAGTACGACCTACTGTTGGCTTCCAAGCAGCCGCTACGCCTGTCTGAAATGTGATGAAGGTTAATGGCAAGAGCGTGGAACAGGAAAGGAACAAATAGAAGTAGAAATGATCTAATTTATTCCTCACTCTCCCTTAAGAGACCAGCAACTCAAGTTAAGGTGATTTGAGGGTTGCCATTTTTTGTGTCAGTGCGATGTATCACATCAATTCGTTCCATGATTTCAGCTACTAGTCATTTTTTCGAATTTTGAGATCGCACTTTTGTTGCCATGAGACTAAAGAATTCATGTACCAAATCTGACAAAGAAATGCAACATAATAAAGGCAGGTTTTTCTAAGAGGAAAAATATCGCATTCGATACTGATATCGAAGCTCCACTCGAGTGCGATATTTTTCTTCTGGAAAAACCCTGCCTTTAATACGTTGAATTTCTTTGTCAAATTTGGTACATGAATTCTTGGGTCTCATGACAACAGAAGTGCAATTTCAAAAGTCGAAAAAAATTACACGTAGCTGAAATTATGGAACGAATTGATGGGATATATCGCGCGTCGCTCTGACACATAAAATGGCAACCATCAAATCACCTTAAACACCAAGGCTGATTAACCCTCGCAACCTAACCTACTAATGATGGAGTTTGGGCTTGAAGATAAACCTTCTCAATAAAAAAATATGCACTCAAGGGCTTAAATCTGCTCGCCGTTAAGTAGGGGAGTTTGAAGCTGACTAGTCCAGTCAAACTGACCTACGGATGGTGGAGTACTAACTCTTGAAGTTAGAATAGAGAGAACTGTGAATAGACCCAAATAGTAAAAGTTAAGGATGATTAAACATCTATCGACTTAATCTAAATCGCAAATGTACTTGGGAGGAGCCTAAATTAGTCATAAAGTGTAAAATGTCCATCTAATGACTGTGCACTGAGAACTAAAGCACAGCCCATTACAGATAGTTATACATACCTCAAAGAGATTGAAAAAGTCAAGGTGTTTGCAGTCTTTTTCAAAATTACTCATTGTCGCAGAATTCGCGCTGACGACTCGCAAAATAGAACCTAGAGAAAATAGCCGCGTATTGATTACTTTAGTGCCTTCGGATTCCTTCTTCTTGGAAAAGCCATGATGATTCTGTACCAAGACACACACACAGCGCGGATGATTCGGACGCTTGGTTCACAAATAAGAGATTTTAAACGGAAAGCACACTGGTACCACCTCCGAGAAATGAACTCGACGAAGCTTTTCGACTTTCCACGGACCTTAATTCGTTGATTGAAAATTAATAATGCTTAATAACGTAAGGGTCACAGCGTAGACAAAAAATGTAATGCTAACGCTAATGATGCACAAGCACAATTGCACAATGGAGGGAGGGAGACGAACGATGGTGACGAATAATAAAGGGGCACGGGCATGGTACACAGTGACCCGCGTTACGTAGGCGATCTTTGATGACGTCACAAAATATGATTGTTTGACCTTGAAACGGAATTTACAGGTGTTTATTACCGGAAACGAGATTAACTTCCGGTTGCAGGTAAGTGGTGTCAACGTGTGATACTGATAGTGAACTTCCGGGTGACACAAGTGATAAGAAAAATGTGACAAATGGCAATTTTCGTGGAACATTTTCTGATGTTTTTCACAAAGCTAGGAAAAATATGCAAAAATATCCTATTTTAATAGGATGTCATAGGAGAGGGAGGCATCACGCACGAAAAAAATACTAAAATGCGAAAATCATAATATTCGCAATTTAATATCGAATATTATACATCAATGTCCTTTCTGAAATTTTTGAGTTCATAAAATTTCCCACGAAATTTCAAGATTTCCTTTTTCAAGAAAAATTGCAACCCAAGTGGACTTAGATTAAATTCTGCAGTAAGGTACCACTATGAAGGGCCCTTTTATAAAGGGATATTTCTGCATGGGGAAACCAAAGACATATGTTGTTTCTAAAATGAGCCAGAAACAGTGGTTCCGTATTGCAAAATGTAGTCCAATTTACCAAGAGAAAAAAATTATTGTATCCTTATGCCTCCCCCCTTCTCATCGCAAGAGTTTCAATGGTGGGGGGAGGGTGTTGGGAGAATCAAATAGCACACAATATTCTGACCATATTCATAAACTTAGTAGCCTTGATTCAAGAATATTCATTGAGTAGGTATCTATGAATCTCCTATACTCACTTATGAAACATATCAAGTAGCCTTAAAAGAAAAACATGTGTTTTGGATATTCTAGGAATCATCAGCGTTGAAAATGAGAACAAATGATTTATTCACGATCTTTATAAAAAGTAAAGAAAACGAAATTCTGCGCCTCACTAGCCTGCTGAAAGGCTTTCAATGTCCCAAGTTCCATCAAGTTTGAACAAAAAACAGAGGCTTGAAGTTTTCATCCTGAGAAGGACTTAACTTAAGAGGACCAAGATTCAGGAGTATTTTTACGTTCAAAATATTCGAACTTATTTAACAATTATTACTGGGGCTACTCTTGCCGACGTTTTTTGGGATCCCCTGATTCCTCAAGGCTATCTCTCTCAAATGACATACCTCCATTGAAACGTTTCAAAATTTTCTCTCTGCCAGTTTTCTCTACAATTCCGTGGTTAAGCTGTAAATCAACGGTGAAACTACCAAACCACGTATCTCGTTTGCGGTGTTTAAAAATCTACGCTCACATTTTATTTTTTTGAAGTAGACCAAATCAATATCATTCCTTGAAATTTTCACGGAATTTTCTCTGCACAAAGAGGAAAAATCACGGAAATTTTCAAGACTGGATGTGAAGTAGTTTTTCAATTAAAAAATAAAGTATGACAGGAGGTCTGCGACGTCGCAAACCGAGATACGTGGTTTGGTAGTTTCACCGTCGAAATGTTTTAAGCCTAGTGGTGATTTTTCTTTCCTTAAGCAAACTGAAGTATGAACAGAAATGTTGAGAAGTTCAATTGAGATATGTTGTCAGAGAGCAAAGCCATAAATTATTTTTGAAAATTTTGGCACTTAATCGATAAACTGAAGGGCTACTGTGGAATCTTGTGGTTTCAGAATTTCACAAGTCTTTTTTCCCTTCCTCTTCCTTTGTATAAATGGCAACTAAAGACAAGGGTTTTCCTCTTCTAAAAATTAGAGTTTGGATCTCTATCCACGAGTCAATCGAACTTCATTTTAGTTTCTGGTTTTGATCACGGGAGACTGACTTTGTTTTGACCATGGTGAAGGCAAGGAAAGTGGACACCTGGGAGAAAAGTTTCTAACATTCAATCACATAGAAAGTGTCTTCCGAGACTAAATCTTTTCATGATTTTTTTTTATTTTTGGAAAATACAGATTCTGACTGCAACGCAGCTTTATTGTGAGGAATTAGGTAGAGTCAAGAAGAACAACTTTTCAAATTACAAAAAAAAAAAAAAAAGGAGTGTACTTCAGATATAGGATTCTGTTCTTAACAATAACAAAAAGGAGATTTCAAGAGCCGTATTCATGTTGTCAACTTGTAGAACTCTGAAAAGAAAACAAAAAATAAGAAAACTATTAGTGTGATAATATATTGACCTTAAAGAGTTTCATTTCCTTCTTTTGGGATAATTTATCTTGTGATCGGTTGTAATTTGGCTGGCAGGCAGTACATCAAAAAGACTGGGTCAGAAATCAAAGTGAAATGTGGATTCTAACCTAGAGAGTGAATCAATGGCCTTCAACAATTGAGAATCATTTAAAAATAAGAAGTGAAATTTAAAAATAGGATTCGGATTGATTGACAAAAAAGACCTTTGATAAGAGAATCAATTGCTGAAAGAATATGTTATCTTTCTTCATCTTCAAATATTCCTATTTTTTTGGTGGCAAATGATTTTTAGTACTCGTGCATTGGGGCAGTTACTGTTTAGCAAGCCTGAAAATTAAATTTTGCCCAGATTTGTTACTTATTCAATGCGATGTAGACTGTAATCCAACCCAGGATAAATTACTGTAATTGGTCAGCAAATAACACATAATTGAAAAATGTTATATTTCGAAAAGGTAAAGTATGAAGACGAAAGAAATTTCATTCTTCAGAACATAGAACTAGACATAAATATAATTTTACTTTAAGTTCATTGACAATAAAGCTTATAAGTCATCCTGGACCACATTACAAAGATTTACAACGAATGGATTTGAACATTTTCAAAAAACTTTCTTCCTGAATTTACATTGTTGAAATAATGGAGAAAATTACTCTAGGGTCAGTTTAACTGCTACTTTGAAAAATGCAATGAAAATAATTGGCTAAAATGACTCAGGATGCCTCAGCTTAAGTTGAATCTCAAGCTTTTGCGAAATGCATTTAGGGTATGGTTGATGTATTTAGAATTTTAACTGTAAGGGGGATTATTTTGAGAAAAATCGTTATTTCTGTCTGTAGACCAATCAAAAAGGAATGTTCAAGCTGGGAATCATCTTCAAAAATTTTAAAATGAAGTCAAAAGAACTGTTTCCAATTGACCATTAATAATCATACATTGAAATTAGTCAAAAAATGAATACAGTACTTTTCTCAACCTATCAATTCCAACTTACTTATTTGGTCAATTTCCGGTCGACTAAATACGATTCAATTGAATAAGAAAAGAAGAAACCACATTTTACACTTACTAAGATATTATTCCGTCCTTCTTTGCCAGCCTGTAGATACAGTCATCTGATTCACCCTGGAAGAAAACAAGAAAAATGAGCAACAAATAAAAATTATAAAAAGAGCGATACAAAACAAAATGTTCGATTTGCCTCCTTTTTGGCAGAGGCAAATAGCAATGTAATAGGTGACACACAAAGCGGCAAGCTACTCTCAGGTAAGAAAGACTATTTTTGTTTTTCTCACAGAGCCGTCTCCTGTCTCTTCTTCAACTCAGCAATAAGCCACTTGAACTCTCTACAATAGATCTTTAGCAATTCTTGAATACTCTCTTAACCCAGAGATGGCATTAATCAAAGTTCTGGGTTTTTTGGAGTTCTGCAGCCTCGGAACTCCTCCACACAAGTTTGAACTTCCGGGGGATGAATTACTGAGTTAAGGTCAATATTAAATTTACATTCCCTCCTTAAAAAAACAATGATATGTAACAATAGAGAGCAACAGTTGAGAGGTAGAAGAAGGTAGTTCTCAAAATAATACTTCTTTCCATGGGCGCTTATACTGAGTTCAGCAATAATTTATCAACTTATTCGGTTGAATTGTACTAAACATGGCACATATTGGTTTTCTTCTACTAAAATGAGTTTCGTTCTTCTCCATTGATCTGGCTTCCTTCATGAGATGAAACAGTTTAGCCGTATGTCTTGAATAGCATTTGGAATACAGACCTATTGAACTTCGTTTCAAGGGCTTGGCATGCTTTACGATGACTCTGTCCTTTGAACTAATGGAAAAGAACCCATCATCAGAGTGTTCAGAATGAACACTTTACTAATTTACTCTTTACCATCGTTTCAAATGGGAAAATATCAATGGCTGATTATTCACACTTCGCTTCTGGTTGGTGCCTCAATCAACAGCGTTTGTCCATGCATAGAATGAGTCATAATTACCATTCGCCTGATTTCGCCGCAGATAGCGTAGTGTTTAACGGTATCAGTCATTCGTCCAGAGGCATCAACATCAGCAATAGCAATCTGGACTGAAGCATGGTCTTTAGCGTGGAGGATTCGGTTGCTCGCAGAGCTGAAAACAAAAAGAGGCAAACGAAAAAACTGAAACAAGAACGGTTATGACATTCCATACATAATTTGCTGAACCTATATAAGTTTACTGCCCTTGTTTAAGGTGATTTGATGGACGCCATATTATGTGTCAGAACGGCATGCGATATATCGCATACATTGGTTCCATTTTTTCAGCTGCTCGTCATTTTTCTCCAATTTTGAGATCGCAACTCTGCTGTCAGGAGACTAAAGCACTCACTTACCAATTATTTTTTTTTAAATCTTCATCTCATTTCTCCTACTTTACAGTATTAGGAAATTTTACTTGAACATCTATTTACATAACCTAAGTCTAACTGGTGGATCAAGGATCCTAGTAATTACTAAATTAATGAGACATTAAAATAGCTTATGTGATAGCAGGACCAATTTTAACAAAGAAATTCATCGTAATAAAGGCGTGGTTTTTTTCAGAGAGAAAACATCACATTCGATACTGATATCGAAACTGCACTCAAATGCGATATTTACTCTCTAAAAAAACCACGCCTTTATTAAGTTAGATTTCTTTGTTAAAATTGATAAGTGAGTACTATAGTCTCCTGACAACAGAATTGCGATCTCAAAATTGGAGAAAAATGACCATTAGCTGAAAAAATGGAACCAATTGATGCGATATATCGCATGCTGTTCGGACACAAAATATGGCGTCCATCGAATCACCTTGAGGATGAAATATGTTATTACTTGATAGTCAGTCCCTTCAAGTACTTCTTCGATCCTGTAAAGATGCAGAGTGTTAAAGTAACTTCAGGGTTAATCTTGACTCCCGGTGCACTGCTAGGTCCAGCCTGTACCATGCATTCCAGTAAAACGCTTAGATCGTTCTGCCGAGGTAGTCGTTGAGCATTACCATGCAATCTTCACTCAGGCTGGGCAGCTTCACACCACAGATAGCCTGATCCATCAAGTTTCATGGATAAAAAAAGCCCTGAGAAAGGATAGTGAACAGCAGTAGCACCAACATGTAATCGTGGACGGCATGCTGCCCTTCAGAGCAAACTCAGGAGTTAGGACTTCCAGTCTACGGTGCTTTTCGTAAGGTGAAGTAATCTGTACTGATGCTTGATAGGCATAGGGGTGCAAATAAATTTTGGGGAAGTTATGAAGGTAAAACAACGCTTGAAAGCAGATGGATCCTCAGCCGAAACGGCTACACGTGTGCTGTCAAGCACGTGAGGTAACGGGAGTACTTACCATTTCCTGGGGATGTACAGATCAACGTGTTCTCCTTGGTCGTTCTGCATGATGACGAGTCTTGTAAAAGAGGTTTCAATTAAACGAGAACTACGATTTTTAACTCCAAAATGCACGAATTCGGCACGAAATGTCACAGAATATAGGCTTGCTCGTGGAAAAAGTAAATATCGGATGTCACCAACGTCACCACACACCATTCACCGATGATTGATTAGTTTCGGGTGGTTCTTATCGCCGATGAAAGACTTTGAGGTTACACTTTTATTTTTGTTTATTTAATTAAATGATAACGGCAGACATTCGAGGTAATTCTTGATTAGAATCAAGATTAGAATCATGAAATCACGCAATTTGTAAATTTTTCCCTGGTTAAATGTCTTATTTTTCTGTTATTCCTGGTGACATAAAGTTCGCATACTGTCCTCAGTGATGTCCTCGAGTAGTGATGCTGAAGAATTTTATGATGCAGAAGACACTCTTAGGAGCTCCAGGTAGGCCTCAAAGCAAGTTAAACCACCCACTCTTGAAACTTGGAAAGCTTTTATTGCTCAAACTCTTTTTTATTGGCCATAATGCTGTCAGAATCAAACTAGATCAGTTTCTTGGCTAGGTAATGTGCTGTCTGACCCGAACCCACGTCTTCAGGTACAGTAGACATTCCTGTTTTTCGCAAGACGACTTTCTCCGGGAGTGGTGCGAAGGTGAAAGTTTGCATTGTCTCAGTCTGACCATCAAAACGCCTCACAACGCCAAAAGTTCTTGGCATTCCCAAGATATACGTTCAGATGATTTGTTGAGGTTTCTGACGTGTTCAAACTAGCATGCAATATATTGCATTGATTGAGCAAAGAATCTTGGTAGTTACTGAATTTTTAGCCAAAGATAGGATGATAGCCCCGGCCCATGAGCCAGGAGCCTAAAGAATCCTTCTTAATCAAGGAATCAGATAAATTCAGAGAGATGAAAGCGGAGTCCTGTCAAGAAAAAAACCTAGCATTCCATATAGTTATCGATAACTGTATCGATTTTGAGCTTTTTTTCCAATCAGGATTCTGCTTTGATTTTTCCAAATTTTGCCAATTTCTTGGTTCAGAATAATTCCTTAGGGTTATGCACAGGAGCTCTTCTCCTTTTTTTGCTAAAAATTCAAAATCTGCCGAGATTTGTGACACAATTTATATGATTATTCGTATTCCAGTTCGACCACGCCAGAAACCATGACAAATTACCTTAAGTGCTGACCCTTCCCAGCATGTAGAGAGGTGCCCTTCCAGTGCACTCTACAACAAAAGTAAATAACAAGGTAGAGAAACGTTGCTGAGTCCACACCCTTTTGTGGGAAAATCAAGGCCAAGAAATTCCAAAAAGTATTCAATTACTTAGTGTCAAAAAGATTATTGCTTACAAAAGTAGATAAGTCATCGATCAATTTATGAAAATATAATACCAAAGGAAAGGAGGGGGTTACTTTTTAAGAAGCGCTTATATGATCCCATGTTTGTTTCAACAGTTAGGGTGAATTTTTACTTTGCTATTCAAGTTACAAAACTCATCAACAGACCAATAAGTTACCTTGCCATAGTTTCTGAGCCTTAATTGAGCCTTCAATTTTTCACTGCATCCTGTTTGGTTTTGTTAATGACTCCCTTAAGTACTTCAATTTTTTGAAGTACAAAAGCAAATTTTTTCAATTAAATATTTTACATGTCTTGGAATGAGATGGGTGGCATTAACTGAGGCAAACCAAACTGATGATTGAGGTGAAAGACACAATATCTGGTTTGTGCTCTTTTTTTGTAGATGATTGAAATAATTCTGTTTTGGATTTGTTGTGGGTGATGGATTCAATTGTGAAAAATATGATGAGATTTTCTGCCAAAAGGACAAATAAAAACGTTTTTTTGCAAGGAAGATGGTTTTGGATTTTCAAAGATAGCGTCAATCATATTCTGTTGCAAAGATTTGCTGCAAATCTCCTCGGAGAGAAAAGTACCTACCTTTCACTTCATCCAGAACTCCAAGAATAATTGACTCTTGATGTAGCCTGCCCTGCTTAACTTTTTTTTGTTTTAACGTTTGGAAGCTGACTTCTTTTCTCTGTTGCAGAGAAATTGTGTCATCTTTCAGTTCAGCTAAGAGTGAACCAGACTTGAGCACGCTAGCAAAACAGAGCACGGAAGAAGACCAAGATGTTTTCACATCAAGTACCTCTGGTGGCTTCACAAAACAGCAATCCTCAAGCAAAATTGTGGTAAGACTTATCATTTATGTCCTCTCTGAAAAAATCACCGAAGAGGTAGTGATGTGTTTGAGTAGAATTTTTCTGAGGAAAAAAAGACGTATTCTTGTTTGCTGGTATTTTTCTTTCATTCAAAACATTATTGTATCGTGTTTAAAAATTTCAAAATATGCGGAGGTAAGTCAGGTAAACAAAATAATGGAAGAATATACCAAAATAACTCTAAAAGTTGGAATGGATAATGTAAATGGTTTAGTTTTCAATTTGCCATTTTTACGCAGGATGCAATTTTTTAGTTGGTTCAACCATGAACTCAATCAGCTTTTGATACAAGTCCTTACGTTTGTTGAGGCAGAATTTTTTATTTTTGGTATTTCCTTCTTTTGTAGTAAGATGCATGTTTTATTGAAATTACAAATTTGAAAATTTGCCTCTTTTTCTAAAATTTGGAATGGAGCAAGCAACAAGACTTAAGAGGGAGACGACCCCTGTCCCAAAAAATGAGAATTAATTTTATTGTTTACGTGTGGTTTCCTTTTATTTTTTTAATATTACTCATGCGGTTTTTCATCTGAAGTAAATTATTGCCTCACCTGGGCAGCTAAACATTGAAGAAGCATTAGTTGTAAATTTGGTATCATCTGATTAAAATTAATATCATTTTCAATCCTGCCTTTAAAGGTCTCTACTCTTAATCTACTTTTATCTGTTATTAATATATTCAATAGGATGAAACAATTCAAAACTTCTCTCTTTTTTCCTGCTCCAGCAAGAGGCGAACAAAGTTGAAGAACTTAAGGATGTCAGCGAACGGAGACGTTTTCGGGAGCTGCGGCAACGTATGCAAATGGATGAGGAGGAGGTCGGCGGATCTCCGTCCGACAGTCAAGCATCATCAGTTGAAGGTGTCTACACTAGCCAAGCAACAAAAACTTGTCACCCTTTTAGGGTGATCGAACATGATGCTCTCTCTCTCCATAGTATGACCTCTCTTGGTCGTGTTGGTCGTATTCTTAGTGGAACTTTTGAACAAGGTAAATTAGTAACATTCAAAAAATAGTTTATGATTGCATGAGTGCGAAAAACTTTATCAATGATTGGGTACTCTGTCATAAGAAAAAGTCAGTAAAAAAAGAAACAAGGAACTTAGAAAGTTTGAAAACTAAAGTAACATAAATTTTGAAGTTAAAAAATTTCGAAAATACAATTTTAAGTGCTACTTAAGTGTCCAGCACTAATACTTTGGCATTACATTACTGATACATTTCAGTGATATTTAATTAATAAGTTGACTCAAACCTTATACCCAATAAGCCGCTCTTTCAGCCTCCTTATTGGCAATAATCTATCCTCAGTAATCAATATGTGTCTGAAATCCTCAGGTAGCAAATTAAACACCAAGGGCAAATTATAGTCCATATTTTTTTAGACTAATAGTTGGAGTCAAGACTCTACACTTGCCCCATATTTGTTTCTTTCCACTCTATTATCAACTTTCATTGACTTTTCTGTCTATTCTGAGGCCTTGATTTTTTCAAAGAAACTTGCGTGCAAACTTCAAATGCTGCGTACTGGGAAATTAGATGAGGAGAACCAAAAGAATAGCGCTTTCCAATAGACACTCTGTGGTACCAATAGTTTTAATTGAATGAGATAGTGCTCCGTATAATTCCTCTGATGTTAAGAAATTAGCCGTACCAATGTTGATCATTTTAGTGCTCCATATAATTCCTCTAATGTTAAGAAATTAGCTGTACCAATGTTGATCATTTTTCTAGTAGTAGGCATGGCTCTGGCTGAACCTATCAGAGCAAACTAGTTAAAATCTGATGAATTATATCTCTTAATTGTACTAAAATAAACTTCACATTTAATTTCTCCTCGTCTTGCCTAGTCATTAGCTATGGCGTAATGTTCATTAAGTATGATAGATGGCATCTCTTTGTCCTGTAGGACAGTCGAAAGTTTGCAGACCAATGCTCAGCCTTAAATGTATGCGGTCCTTTGGCAGTGAAACATGGCAGTTATTTATTTCAGGAGCTAAATCCTCTATCCTAATTCTTTGAATTTCCTCTCCTCTACTTATGGTTTACCTCCTTTGATACTGACTTTCATTTTCAGTGCCTCCTGCCTCTATGTCAGATCTCCCCCGCTCATGCAACAGTTCAACAAGCACGCTACGCAGCCTCTCCACTCAAACACTACGAGAAGATGCGGCCACTTCGTCTTCCTCGTCACCAACTACCAACACGCCAGTGTGTGAAGAGAAGCCACCGGTTCCTGAAGAGGAGCCTCCGCCATCTCAACCAACTCCAGCAAACACGTTTCAAGAACCAGATGTCATAGCTAGCACCAAAAGCTCTAATAATAATACTCCTATACCTGCTCCCCAGGCAATGGCCACATCCAATATGGTACCAGTGGCGCCACCGCGGCGCAAGAAAAAGAACAAAGCGCAGGTCCCTACGACCCTTCCTCTTGCCACTGATGGTAGTACAATACCCAGTAAAAAGGTAATTTTTGTCAATAGCTAAACTCGGAGGCTGTGTAATTCAGCTTGCAACAGCGCAGACTTTCTGTCATACTTTACTTTGAGTCGAAAAACATATTTCTGTAAGATTCCTGTACTATTTTTCTCTATTTAGAGAGTAATCTGCATAAATTTCAAGGAACAAAGTTGCTACCAGATCACTCAGAATTTCTAGAGCTCAGATTCTTTGCTGTACTGTAGTTTGTCTCAGTGCAAGTTTGTTCTCAAAATCCTTTAGCTTCTGGACCTGAAATACATGGCAACAGCTCAGTTTTACAAATTTTCGAAATCCTGTTAATTGTCACTAAGAGCTCTTTAGGCTCTTTTGTCAGTACGATATTGTCACCAGCCAAAGTATCACAAGCGCCATGCATCATTTCAAAATTTCCGCCACAATTTCATTTTTTTACAGAGAAATTGTTAGTTGACCCCGTTTGAAAATTTCACTGAAACTCTAGACAGCAAAAAAAAAATTCAGTGAAATGTTCAGGCAGCTTCATTGAACAATTTCTCTGTAAAAAATAAAATGGCGACGGAAATTTTTAAACATTCTATGGCGCTTGTGATACTTTGGCCGGAAGGCGACAATATATTTCTAGTGTTTAAGAGACTTTCTGGAGAGCAATTATGCACCCTGAGCTAAGGCTTGTTCTGGGAATGAAGCAAATTTTTCTTACATTACTCCTCAAATTTTATAAAAAGGATAAGTACAAGATTGATGAAAAAAGGTTAAATTGGACCCAATGTGTTCCAATCCTATCAAAGAATAACAGTTTGAAGCAAGAAAACTTACGACGATCATATTTTGATTTATGACTTCTCTTTTTTCAGAAAACTGAGACTAATGTTACGTACTCTGAACAATCATCCCTACCAAGTCCAGCAAGCACTATTGAATCGCTCACTCGCGAATTCGAACATTCTCTAGATATTCAGTCTGCGACTAAAGGGAATTCTTTTGTAAAAACACAGGTATGTAATTCTGTCTCATCATTTCAGGAGTTTGATCTGTTTTTGGGAGCATATTTGAATGGATTTTTGGAAGGTGGGCAGTATTGCTACATTTCAGTGATCAAAACTTACCCGAAATTTTAAGGGTCATCGTAGTTTGCAGTGCTCAAAATTCATCTTTGAGTTTCAGGAGCCATGTGGCTCATCAAGCTCAATTGTTTGGGGCCATTGAAGATTTTTTAGGGGTCAAATTGACTTTATGCCCAAATAGCATGGCGCATTCAGTTAAAAGTTAGACGTAAGATGTTTTAGTTACAGAACAAGTAGCTGTAACTTAGGAGAAATTTCAAAAAATCATCAAACAGAAAAATTAGGATTCTTTCTGGGGGGGGGGGGCAATTTTTAGCGGCCATGTTGGTGCAGAGCCTTCATCTTTTAGACGCCATGGCCGATTTCTTAGGCGCATTGGCGCCTGTGAGTTTCGAACACTGGTAGTTTTCATACCAAGTATTTGGGAACCAAAATGGAAGCTACCTCAGAATGACATGACGTACTCCTCAAATATTGAAAATTTCAACTTCTTAGGTTGAATACAAGGATCGTCCAGAAAGTAAGTTCACCTATTCAATACCTTCTAAACTAAGATTTAGAAAGTCTGTAAAAAGCGTTGAAAAGTTACTACTTTCAGCTTTCTAATGCATCATAGATTTTTGAATCTGGTTCAATAAAACTCTACAAAAGTGGATTTTTCTAAATCCACCTCCTCTCCGCACATGTCCAAAACTTCACAGAGCGCCACCAGCAAGTGAGTTGCTGTTAGTGATGTATCTATAGCTTATCGCAAACAACGATAAAAACACATTAAAATACAGAAAAACAAATGGGTATACAAGTGGTTTAGAGATGGTTGAAAATCATGTAAAACATAAGGAAGAACATGAATCAGCTTGGAAATTTCAGGATTGACTGTGTTTACTTTAAAATCAATTGAATTTGAACAAAAGTTTACCCAATTATCAGCGTTAACTCTCACTCACTGACTGAGCTGTTCATAAGCCTTCACCTTATTCTGCCCTCTCTCAGAATAATTGCATCAAAGATGCATCATTTTGAAAAATATGCAACGTTTACAACATCTTCACTGTAAATTAACCTGAATTTGAGCAGCTATAGTCACCTTTTTTGGTTAAAAAACTATCTTTAGAGCGCAATTCACACACCGAGACCAAATTCAGTGGCAAAACTCCACAAGTTAACCAATTGTTGCTTAACTTTTCACGTACTGCAGTCCAGACCCACCAATTATCGAATGAACCTGCAATTTTCTGATGAAGAAATGTGTTTCCCCATATTCTACATCAAATTCAACCTCCTTTAAGCCACTTTCTTGCGACAAGCGAGAGACACAGCAGTTCCTTTGCTGATGGCGCTCCATGAAATTTAGGACCTGCACGGAGAGGAGGTGGGTTCAGAAAAATCAACTTTTCTATAGATACATTCAATCAAATTTAAAATTTTAAAGTGCGTTAAAAAGCTGAAAGTAGTGGCTTTTCAACGTTTTTTACAGATTTTCTTTATCTATTGTAGTTTAGGAGATATTGAATAGGTAAACTTACTTTCTGGACAACCCTCATAGTTGCCTCAAAATGGACAAAAATCGGTTTGCAGATTTTTTTGCTTTAAATTGGGAAAAATTAAAATGTAAGAAAAAGGCAATAAAACTAACTTACCACCTATAAAATACCTTCCTAGCATCAACCATACATTAAAACAAACTACTACAAACGAAGAAGAATGAAAAAACCTAAAGTTTCTAGGGTTTCATACTTTATTTTCTCAGAATGTTGTTCTTTTTTACAGTGTAAGAAGTACTATCTGAATATGCGATGTTGAAAAACTTAAACTATCATAGATTTTTAAATCTTGCAATCTCATGGTCGATTCAAGTGTCATTGCTTTCAAGAAGTAGATAAGAACAAGATGTGTGCTCACGAGCTCCATTGACTTCTGATGAGAATGCCACCTAACAATGCACAAGCACCTTGGGTTGACAGTGATACCACACTTCCTACACCAAGTCACTATAAAAGAGCTCCATAAATACACTAGGTTAATAAGAAAGCTTCATTACCCAGTTTATGATGGAAAATAATGACACCTTTCAGCTCATTTTGTACAATACTCAATTTATCTTCAATAATGTCTTTCTCTTTCTCATGTCATTGCCTTTTTCCTTTAAGGAGCATTTACCAGCAATGAGTCATGCGGGATACTCGCCAAGAGCTAGTAAAACTGAGAGTAACAATAAAAGCCCTTCAAGCCACAAGAACATGAGTCATACGCTGCCTTTGCACATGTTAACCAGCAGCGTTTCGAGCATGTCACGAAATTCCAGCACATACCCATTGGGCTCTGTCAGCAGTACAAATGTTGCCGGAACTAGAGGTGGCCTCGGATTGAGGTTAGGACTTAGCCCACGCACGTCTAGAGAAAGAAGACGCTCAGCAGGAGACGAACAGGGCTTACCTCATCAGCTGAACATGTTTGTCCGAACAAGGACAGATTCTGGGAAGCAGTTAACTGATAAGGTACCTGCAGCCTAAACTTACTAACCTTTAAGCATTTATTTTAATGATAGATTGCATCCATGAAAAAAATTAATGAAGTTATGCGTAATGACTGTAACTATGCGTTACAATTTTAAAGTGTGATGAGATTACATATTTTAGTAGATCAATAGCCCAACCTTTCTCTACAGTAGATATTACGTTTTAGTTTTTTTAGCCATATCAGACATTTTGTCTCTGAAATAAAAAATTCCGAGAAAAAGATCTTGTCTTAAAATGTCTTAAAATTGTCATAAAATGCAGATAAATTTCTCTTATTTTCGAATGTGCCAATCATCATGTTATCATTCGTCTGCTTATAGAAACCTGTGAAGGTTATAGGAAAGTGAAAATTGCGTAAAATTTTCACGCATCGCTTTTCACACAAAATCTCTGTAAGGATCTCTCTCTCATTTAAATACTCCAATTTGCACCTCATACACTGTTTCATCAAAAAATAATAAGTAAATGAATAAATAAATTTTACCATTAATATCCTATCAACTTAGTGGCCAGTCTTTTTTTTCCTTTCTTTTTTTTAAAATAAAACCTTGACTGCTAATGCCCATTATCTCAACTGAAGCAAAGTCCTAAATTTACCAGTATTTGAGCATCGCTGTTCTTCTTTTCCACCTCTCAGGAAATCTTGGAGCAAGTCACCGTGCTCAATCTTGACACTGGGGAGCGAGTTCCGCTCAGCATCGCTGAAGATAAACTACCGCAGTGCATCAACCCTCTGTCTCTGCACATCATGAAACTAACCTCTAAGTTTACCAGCAACACCAGCTTGGAGAAAGAGAGGGAGTCAGATGAAGAAAGCATTGATAGTAAACAGTCCATCCCCGTCCAAGAAGAAGACCAAGACATAGGTCGAGTCAAAAAACGAACGGCACAAATTAAGCATTTCATCGGTTCGACCATGAAGAAAACGGTAAGGAATCCTATTGCATGTTCAATACTCATAGTTGTATAATAATTGAACAAAATCTTCTTATTTACGTCTTTAAAGTAATGATCAAAACTTCTAATTGGATGTATTTATGCTGAAAGGAACTTTTGCCGTTAATGCCAAATAGTCTATTTTGACACGAATGAGAGATTTGATCCTGAGTATTATTAAAAGAACAAACTGTCTAATTTTTTATTCTTCCCCCTCACAGGTGATTAAAGCCATCAAAGGTGCCAACATTCGACACAAAGAAGATATCATGGATATTGTTGATGAACAAGGGGGTGAAAGACCACCAGCAGAACAGATTAAACTACGTGCCTCAAGTAGTCATAAGGGACCTTATGATTTTGAAACTGTCAAGCATCTTCAGGTGTGTTACGGCTTCCTTTATTTTTGTATCATCCTAGCCTCTCTCTAGCATATTTTGATCATTTCGTAGCATCCAACCTCTTTGAAAGTTGGTAGCACCAGAAATATTCAATCTTTTCATTGAAGTAATGGACTGCTATTCATTGAAGCAGGGTGCATTTTTTTTCCTTTTTCAAATTCTAAGAAACTGATTCCTCAAACTGCTGTTTTGAAAAGTCTCCTCTCATTTGCACTGCCAAGAATAGCATTTGAACTTTCATTTGCTTTACAATGAAGTAATCTTTGAAATTTTCTGTCAATTTCTACAAAATTTCATGCAGAATTCTCCTCACCACTTTTTTTGTTATGAAGAAGGACTGTTGAAGATAGCTTTTCTTAAACAGGTGGAAATTTACACAAAATCAGCAGCGTTGGAAAAGAGATGGCATGTTTTCGAAGTTTTGGTTTCAGTTGGTGTCTCTCCTTTCATTTCATTTCCGCTGAAAGTACTGAACAAATTTTTGAAAAAATTATCTTTGTCTCACTAATGGTCTCAACTTTTTGAGAAAAGTCGAATGAAAAGGAAATCTAGCTGAAAAGTCAGAGAAGTGCATACCGAAAAAAAGTCAATTCGTTACTTAGTTAGTTTGAAGCAAATGGCACAATGTGTCACAATTCTCAATGTATCATTCTTTGTCTGATGTGTTTTTTTCTGTAATTGCAGGAATTGAGCGGTGAACACACAGGCCCTGTTTGGTGCATGAAGTTCTCAACCTGCGGTCGACTTCTAGCAACAACTGGTCAAGATCGTATCCTGCGAATTTGGGTAGTCAGGAGTGCTTATTCTTACTTTTTAGAGATGCGGACCAAATACAACGCAGAAAAGGTATCTCCAACGCCCTCACAAGAGTCACTTGTATCACAGCAATCAGTCGAGGATCCTATGCTCCTCCTTGGTGACTCGGCAATGAATGACCGATCACCATTTATGCCACGACCATTCTGTGTTTACTCTGGCCATACCTCTGACTTGTTAGACGTATCCTGGTCGAAAAATTACTTTATTTTGTCTTCCTCCATGGATAAAACTGTAAGGTTGTGGCACATTTCACGTAAAGAATGCCTCTGTTGCTTCCAGCATATAGACTTTGTAACTGCGATTTGTTTCCATCCGAGAGATGATAGGTATTTCCTCTCAGGATCGCTGGACGGAAAATTGCGGCTTTGGAACATTCCTGACAAGAAAGTTGCTGTTTGGAACGAAGTTGAGGGTCAAACAAAATTAATAACAGCTGCAAACTTCTGCCAGAATGGAAAATTTGCGGTGGTTGGATCGTATGATGGGAGATGTATATTCTACAACGCAGATCAGTTGAAGTATCACACGCAAATCCATGTACGATCAACTCGAGGTAAGAACTCTACTGGACGGAAAATCAGCGGCATCGAACCAATGCCTGGAGAAGATAAAATCCTAGTTACATCAAATGACAGCCGCATTCGTTTGTACGATTTGCGCGACTTGAATTTATCATGCAAGTACAAAGGCTATGTCAATGTCAGCAGCCAAATTAAAGCCAGTTTCAGCCATGATGGAAAGTACATCGTCTCTGGCTCAGAAAATCAATGTATTTACATTTGGAAGACCCACCATGACTACTCAAAGTTCACCTCTGTTAGGCGTGATCGCAATGACTTCTGGGAAGGCATCAAAGCTCACAATGCTGTCGTAACGTGCGCAATTTTCGCTCCTAATCCTGAGATCATCATCAAGCAATTAGAAGACACTGCAGAAGACCCAAAACCTGGGAAAGTTGAGGATCCGCTAGTGGCTCAACACACCAAAGGGTGCAGCGGTTATGTCTTGGTAAGCGCTGACTTCAATGGCTGCATTCGAGTCTTCATGAACAAAACGAAGCCAAAGCATAGTTCATTGCCCGCCTCAGCGCTAGCGTAACTGTAAGTGTTGAGAGAAGTTTTTCACTTGCTCCGAGTTCATCAATTGAGGAGTACACTGCATTCTGGTTGCCTTTAAATATTCTTATTTTTACAAGGAGTCCTTGTCAAAGTGTCCAAAGGGTTTCCTCTTTTCATTTTGTTGGAAAATATTTAAATAAAAAATTACTCATGGCATTTGGTGCAGGTGATTTGCCAAATTTTGTCCACTAATCTTCAAAATCAATGATAAATTTAAAACAAAAATTGTGAGACCAACTTCCTCTTTGCAGAATGCTCCTCTCTTGAGAATAGCTTTAGCTATTTAATTATTTTTCTGAAGCAGCAGGATCTAGTTGGTTAACTTAATCCCCCTAAAGCGTGGTCAAACGGCTGGCTAGGCCGCTCAATCAGCTTCATTAGGACATATTTCTGCCAAACGGAACCATGTCCATTATGACGTGAGCCCTGTCATGCATATATTCTTATGGGTCTCAGAGTTCATGTTTTAATACGTACAATTCCGTTTGGCAGAAATACGTTCATTAGATCAGTGCTATCAGTGTCAGCTGCATGAGGCAATTCGAGGAAACAATTACATGCTTGCCAAGAAGCTTGTCAAGCAGCTTGCCGGCCTGTCTAAACGCAGCTTTAAGTGCAAGGATGATGAGAAAGAATGAGTTTCATCAGTTTCTTCAATATGATTTCAAATTTATGATCAAAATTAATGAAGAAATATTTATGTTGGTGTCCATCCCATGCGGCTTTTTATATCATTCAACGACTGATAAGAGCAATTTTTGAGGATTCATGATGACAAAGAAGAGATAAGGAGAAGGAACTTCCGCGAAGATTATTTTTCAAAGTTACAGTGTACGAAATCAAAGCATAAAATTTGATGCGTATCTGGAAGAAAATATCTTAGAGAAGTTTAAAATATATTTGCAACAGTATGTAAGGCTGTACAATAAATCAATACAATTTGAAAGTATTTAAAACATAATTTCTAGGCTTTTGCTGAAAGATCATCATCAGCTAAATAAGCACGAATTAAAAAGTATTTAACCAATCTGAGATTGTTACTTTTCCTGATCATCATCTTTTTCATCACCTCCTCATCACCGGCCCAGCATTTTTTGGCTCCCTTACCATCCACAGGAATCTCTGTAATCACCTCAAGTGAAATTCAATGCTTACTATGCTTTAAATATGAGCTATGAGCTTCTCGAGCTAGTAAAAACTTCAATATTTTTAATTTATTATTAGCGTATGAAAATCTGTGATCAGTTGTGAATAATTTTACAACGTCTTATAGTGAAGTTTATCAATTGTTAAAACATTTCTCTTTGAAACAAGCAATTTTTGTCTAGATTCTAAGCAGTGTTGTCGACCGCTGAAAATAATCTGAAATTGGCAAGCAACCTCTTTTGGACAAAATTCTAATTATTTTCAAGATAGCAACATTGGTTCTAGGCCTTTAGGTCCTTTTCAATTGTATCCCAACTAATTTATTCTTGTTTTATATCTTTTACCAGTTATCGGTTCTTTTGAACTATAAGCAGCTTAAAAATGGTTGTTCGGCAGAAATTCTGCTCAAGTTCCGTTTTTAAAGAAAGAATTCAGGTTATCTGTGCATTTAAACCTGAAATTTAAATGGAGTGTAGTTGGATAATTTTTTAACTTGTTGATACTTGTAAGCTTTTGTTATTTTTTAAAAATTGGCCAAGATCTCTTGTGGTCAATGCTTTTTCATCTTTTAGATATATTAGGGAGTTACTGTCGCTAAGTCTTGTCATTAATTTTTAACAATAAACCTAGTATTTGTGCAGTCTCGTTACCAAGCAAAAATACTTGAGAATGGGATCTGATGATGTGAAAAAGATAATTATTAAGGTCGCGGCTTATCATGATCATGAAGGAGTCATTGTAATATTGTTGGTCCTTGCATCATACAAAAAATAGAGGCAATCATTTATAATAGCAGGTTCCAAGTAGAAGTTGTTCATGTGAGTGTCTTGAATACCCTTCAAAAACTCTTCATTTATTCATGGCAGAGACCTCTTCCCGGTGTTGGGGACTTGAGGATCAAGAATCAAAGCCAAAAAAATGTCAGCATGTGACCAATCAGTTTGATTCTTTTCAGCTAATACGTTTTCAGCTGATTGTCAATTTTCAATTAGAGTTCTTTTTAAGAACTTTCTTGAAAACTTGAAAATTTAGGAAACCAAGAGAGAAAAATATTTCTGTGATGAGACTGGGTAAAAATTTCAGACAACTAATTTCTACACATGGACCCCTGTTCATTTTTAGCTTTTTGCCCCATTATTGCGCCAGTTTTTTTCATCTGCAAGATGATCATTAACACTTTATCAATTAAATCTGATTCACTTTATCTTGCGCTGTGATTTTTGACTCAAGTTGATGTTATTTTGCTTATTTTTATGATATCCCTGTTATCTCAATTTTTAATGAAAAGTCATAAAGAATGTTTTGACTCCTTTATCTCAGCTATCTGGTTCCGCATTATTTTAATAATTTTCTATCAAATCAAACTCTGCCGCTGTACAAAGAATATCTATCTACAAACCGAATGATCGAGCTTATTTTTTTGCATAGGTACATTAGTATTAGTGTCACAATTTCACTTTATAATCAGATCCCTCAAGTTCAATGCTATTAATTTTTACGTGAGAAAAATTAAGTGATCCTTATCACTATTCCTAATGGAGAAAATTATTTACAGTTTAAATTAAGGTTTTTAAACCTGACTTCTCAGGTAGTATCAACTTCTGCATGAAAATTGAATTCTCGAAACAGCTTTTTTTGGGTTTGCACTGGCAATGGAATTAGAAACATCACACCCTTGGCCAAATTTGAGAGAAAGAGCAACAGTCATGCCCTTGAGCTAACCTGCTGTGTTAAAAAAAAATGCCGTATAAACCTTCAGGCGTTGTTGAATTGCTCTCGATAAGATACGAATTTATTGAGAAGGTTGTTAATATTTTCCTTTTAATTTTTCAGACAGTTTTGTTTGCGATTTAATCTACTTTATCTTAAAATTTCCATAAAAAATATTAACTTTCTTCCAAAATAAATCTTTTATCAGAGGAAATTTGGCAGCAGCCAATTGTTCATGCATTGGTTTACTTTAGCACTGCAGCAATGACCTTGCAGATTCTTTGATTTTATAAGTTGGAGTCATCTCTGTCTTACCAGGTTTCTTCCTTACCTGCAATGGATTTCAGTTCGCTAATCGGTTGTAATCGTCAACAGCCACCTGGATCAAATGTATAGGCTACTTTTTGCTAAATGTTAGTAGCTTTGTTCACTTATCGCTCTATTTTAAACTAGTCAGATTCTTTTTCTTTCTTCTTTTTCCTCCCTCTTTTTAATTTGATCCTCTCCATTGACTGCTTTATTTGTTCTGTTTTTTGTGTGTTGTTGGGAAGCTGTTTGTAATTGAATTGTTTTTAAGTAAAAAGCATCCTAAATAGAACTGGAATTGAATTTTTTTGGCATGATTAATTGCAGTTAATGCCCTTTTTCTGTATCAATAATTCATTCAAGTTGTGAAGTATGCCGCCGAAGTTCTGTGTTTTTGAGAAATGGTGTCAAAAATGATCTACATATAATGGCGGAAGCAAACCCTCTTAAAATTATGTTTGAGCTCAGTTCTCAGCATAAAGATGTAGAATACGTTTTGCTGAATAGAAAATACATATATCCATTAACTCAACTTTTTGAACATGAACTGAGGATTCACCTTGAATGTATGTTTTATTCTCTAATTTTTTCTTTGATCATATTTATAAATAAATTCAACTTGAATTATGTAATTAATATCTCAGTACTTCCAAAATATCACTAGCTCTTTGAATCTTAACGGTTTTTTCAAATCATTTGTCAAATTGACTTGTTCGTTTCATCCCTTCCGATTCCGTCCAAACTCATTTGACATAATCAATCACTCAATCAGTCATGATGAAATTTTTACGCAAGGACAATAATAGAACTGTTTAAAAAAGGAGGCTGACCTCTGTATTTTCTGTCTCACAGAAAAGTTACATTAATTTAACCAAAATTTCTTTTTGCCCAATGTATCACTCAAAATTTTTTGTAAAGATGGTGAAATTCCCAAACCACATATCTTGGTTTGCCATATAGCAAACCTTTGGTCACATTTTACGTTTTTAAAGAAAGCCTGATCATTTTTCCTATCAAACAGTCTTCTCTCTTAAAAATTAAATAAAAGCGGAAATTTTCAAAGGCTGCAATCGTGATCCATGGTTTGGTACTTTCACTATCGACATGTCTCTGAATCTTATGGTCGATACTGAAAATAATTACAAGGTTCAAACATTTTAGGTTTGAAACGAGAATAAGATCGAAACTGGATTGTAAAATTCGTCTTTTTAATTCTGATCCGAATTTATTATGATTGTAAAAACAGCAGGTATCAAGCTTAGTTCACCATTAGGATTCTTCTTGCTACCATGAGAGGGAATTTTATTGGCCACCACTCTTTCCAGCAATTAGTCTCTCTCAGGATGACTCAATTTATGTGACTGTCGAAAGGAAAAGGGACCTTAGTGAAAAAAAATTCACTATCAAAACATTGGTACCACCAACAATATGTATAGGAGCTTTCATTGAACAAGTTTGCAAAATAAAAAGCCTTAAACAAATATAGAAATAAAGTTTTAGGAAAAATCCATTTGAAATTTTAATTTCTTACAACTGATTGTGAGGCTTAAAATTTTCAGATAAAAGAGCAACTATCTGCCTTCTATGCCTGAAAATAAACTGAACAGCTTGCAATTTTATTTTGCAATTTTATTTTGTGAGGTAAAAGAGAGATTATTCGAAAATTTCTGATCCGACTTTACAAAATTAAAAACCTAGAAAAATTTGACTCTATGGGATGAGGTCTCTTTTCCTTAGTGTCACAAATGCAAACAGGATTTCTCTGTGAAAACGTCTTCTTAAAGCCCATGAGAATTTCTTTTCTCCGAGTGATTGGTACTTTCGAGCGTTGAAGTCAGTTTGAAATTGTGTGCCGTTGTTACCCAGCGGTAGTAGAGAAAGTCAGGGTTTTATCTTTATTTTTCCAATGTAGAGTTTGTCTTCGTAGTATTGAGGTTTAAAGTCTGAGGGGGAGTGAATAATCAGAACATTTCTCAACTTGTTTTACTTCAAAATATCTGAGGTATTTTTGAGTTATTGTACGGAAATTCGTGAATAAGGTTCTTTCGAATTTTAGTTGGTTAATCAAAACTGTACTGTAAGGGGCAAGAACATCAAACTGACTTCACTTTAATTCGATTTTTATCAATGTTCTAAGGTCAAAAGTATCATTTGTTACAATAATTGTTGACTTGTAGTATTATTGAGACTAAATGATTTTCTAAAAAATATATTTTGCAACTCAGTTTTATGTATTTTTTTAAAACATTCCTGAATGAAATAATGACTAATTCAATAAAAGAAGGAAAAAAAACTGAACATGTGTATTTTTTTTCTGTTTTCAAACTTCCCTGATCTATCAAAAATTGTTATCTTTTTTTGACGTGGATAAACAGGAATGTGGAGAAGGAGAATTACAAAACCGCCCCCTCCCCCATTCTGCTCGGCTCAGAATTTGGAAGAATATATAGAATTAACCCACGGAAATAAGCATTTTATTTATTACACAGATCTTTTGATCTTTTGAGGCTATGGGGCATGTTATTACAGCAACACACCAAAGTCATTCAAAAAGTTTTCCCTGTATCTTCGATCAAAGGGATAATTCAAACAGGTATAAAGCGCATTAGGCATTCTTTCACTTTTGAAACAAGCCTGCTATTTTCACATAGAAGAATTTACAAGAAAACTCAAGTTTAGTAGGATTATTCGCTTCTTATTAACTTCCTCTTGGCGCTCTCACAGCTTGCACCAAAGTTGCCCAACATTGCCCTCAAAAGCAAAGAGTGGTGGAAGCAAGAGAAGCAACTTAGGTTCTTTTATCCTCAACTGCAATTTGTTGTATTGCTTTGACATTTTCCATCGATCAGTCAGCGAGAAAATCGAATTTTTTGCACATAGTCTTTCTTTTTTTTCACATAAAGATGATTACTGACTGTTAAATTTGATGAACAACTTGAAGGATCAGAATACATTTTCGAAAAAGTCAATTAGCTTTGTTTAATGCATACACTTAACTCTTAATTGTAAACAAGACGTCTTGCCTCCCACTGCATAGGTTGATGATAATCACCAATACATGTAAGTAAAACTTGAGCAGATGAACAAAATTCTATGCCAGTTAATTTCCAAAGTCTTGATTATCACCACCACTTCCACCACTAGATTTCCACGGTGGTGTGTAATTATTAATTTTAATATTTTTATGCCTAAAAACTTTTACTCTAATTCCTTCCTCTGGGTTGTCCTCGTCTATAGGCTCAACAGCCTTCAGTTCCACACGCGAGACAAGCAAAAATTTAGGACTATCTGGATGATAACCATGCACAATATCTACTTCGTCTCCCAGCTTCACCTAAAAATAATTAATAATAAGTTAATTGTCTGAAATGATTTGCTGATGGATCAATTAAAACTACTCTGTTACATTAGTTTTCATAATTTTCTTCAATTTCCATGTGCTATGAGACTAAGATATCTACCTGGCAAAATCTCCCATCTTAAGTGATTAAATCACAACCATCAAGGTGGATAGAGAGTGGTTGTCGCGTTTCGATTTTGGCTGCCATCTTGATGATTTTCTGACATCAAGAGGGTACGGGTTTTGCCATGCAATCCTAGGCCAGATCAACCCTCCCAGCCTCAATCGGCCCATGTTCTCAATATCATGTGATGTCAAGAGGTCAAAATGTGATGTCAAAATGCAACCACCATTCTTTATCCAACTTGCACAACCATAAAAAGAAAAAAGAGCTCTAATTATGTAGTTTTGGATTAGTGACTAATAAAAATCAAAAATCTACGCTGACCTCCTTTTCAGAAAAATATAAAAGGGAAGAAAGGACAGAATATTTGAAATGCTTACCACATCACTTTTTTTCAAACTTTTCTTTCCGTTCACCATTACCCTGCTTTCATAGAATGCTTGGTCAACAAACCTATGGAAAAAATCAGTAATATTAAATTCTAAGTGAAATTAACTAATAAAAGTAAGATTGAAATTGAGGAATTTGGAGAAGAAACCCTTCAACCCAAAAATAGCCTCGCGAGAAAAAAGCTTCCTAAGTTATGGTTTTGTTTTTCATTCGTACAAATTTTAAGTACTGTTAAGTTACAAAATAAGTTCATCAAGTTTGAGTTTCGACAATTAAAATTTCCTAATTTCAGGGTATGCTTGAAAAATTCAAAAAGCTATATTAAGGTCCTCCCTCTAGGTAACTAGTTTGAGAGTAACTTTTTTAAAACTTCTTTAAAGAAAAAACTGCACTGAACCAACAAATCACATTTTATTATAAAATATCATCAAGTGAAAGATTATTTATCTATAGTTTGAGATTAATTTGCTTCCTTTCTGTGCATGGAAAGTTTGGCTGGATACAGAGGTGGACTGTTTCCGTAACATAGGGGATCCTCTCCATTTCAGCCTCAACTTTGAGAGTATTTTTTGAGCTCAAAAGTTCGTTTCAGGGAAAACGACTGGCACCATTGTGTTCTTCACAAAATGTTACGGGAGAAAAAGCACCCACTGATGATATAAATCCCTATGGCATACGAGAGCGCCATTTCTGTACAGTGCAAAACAATTAAGCCGAACCAAAGATCGACGGGCCTCCATCTCAACTTCTTCTGAGCACTCTTCTCTTTTAGTTTGACATTCTTAGCAGGTAAGTAGACTTACTTCCTTGAGTACCCTAATCCACTTTTCAGAATGCCATCTAATCTAGTAGAAGTGGCATTGAACTCTTTGGTGTGTTTTTTGTCTGAGAATAGTAAGGTTTCGTCCTTTTCCTCTTCTTCATCATCCAATTCATTTAGATTGTCATATTTTTTGAAACTGCCTTTTTTCTGGAAGACAAAAAAAGAGATATAACATCAGTATTAAGAGATGTGAGCTAATATTACAAAAAATGTAATTTATTGTTTTAGTTCATATGTTACATAGTTTTCGTAGGCTTATTACTACCTGGAAAATTTTTTTAAAGTAACAGGGAGCAGAAAAAAATTTGGCAGTTGTTGCTTTATTAGTGAACTGACACATTGTTAGTGCAAAATACTTTTACAATTTTTTTCTAAGTAAGTAATTAATTTTCAGAAAGTACGTACAAAATGAGAGTTCCTACATTGGTCCATTTTTCATGAATCAAATTTTAGCCAAGAAAGAGATTCTCAAAGTTGCCAAAAATCCAAGTCCTTTTGAAGCAGTAAAATATTGCTAACAGATTTCATGATTCTTTAAAAATAATTAACCATCATGCATCCTTCCACCACATTTGTTTATTTACTGGTCAAATTACACAACCTCTTGCTACAAGAATTGTAGCAAGAGGTCAAGTATTTTGACTATGCAGATACACTATGCGACTGGTCATTCAACAGAAGATTTAACTTGTTGATCATCAGACGATTTTACTAGTCGAGCAGCTGGTCCATCGAAAGATGATTTGACTGGTCAATCAACAGGTGATTCTATTAGTGTATCGACAGACAACATTACTGCTTGATAGGCAGTCAATTCTACTTATCCATAGACCGAGGATTGTCTAATTGATCAACAAAAGACTCGTCTTATTGATGGACAGGGGATTTGATTGGTCCGTTGGTAAAAGATTAGGCTCCGCAATAATCGGAAGGTTTTTCTCCGGCGGATTCGACTGCAAACTCAGAAAGTCATGACTATGCCAGCAATTCCATCTGTACAAGAAGACAGGCATTGGGTACCTAAGGTAAGAGTTTAGTAGTAGTAATGTATGTTTATAAGTAAGAACTTACTTTCAAACATTTATGTGAAGTCGACAGCCATCGATGTTGCCATTCAAAGTTGGCACATAGCGATGCAGATCCAAAACTCGAGGAGAGAGGTGAGCAATGTAAGTCCCTCCATAACGGACAGTCCAAGATGCTTTTGGCTTTCAGCCGTGTCACATGAGTAACCGAAGAGCCAAGAAGGTTGTTATTCCTGATTAGATTTAGAGAGCAGGAGCTCAACCGTTGTAACTCTACACGAAGCAGCATTTCTGACGATGATGAAAATTTGGGCAGAATTTTAGTTAAGGCGTTGAAAGTAACCTACCATTGTGTGGATAAATATGAAAAATATTCTTTGCTTGGAATATACAATCGAAAATTAGTGCAGGAGACACCAGAGACACTTTCAGGCACGGTCGTGTGGGAATTTGTTATCAAACAACAACATAACCTTGTCACTGCCTTGCCTTCTTGCCTTATCAATTCATCTCAAATTCCGTCTGATGAAATTGAGGAGCTTGGTGGAATTTTGCCATATTCCTATTTTACCTGCACAAGATAAGGAATTTTGGAATGACTCCTTACTTTGTTTACCTTTTCCCAGAGACCAGACACGCATTTTTGACAAGCCGAATGAAGATTTTCTTCTGAATTAAACGTTTTAATGTTTTTTTAAGTTTCTAAGCTATTTCTACAACATGCCAGGTGTTATACTTGAAAATCTTAGCGGCAGAAAGTTATTCGTGCTTGTATCTATACTTTTAATTGGACAGTTCATCTGTTTCTTGATCGGTGGACTCATTGGTTTGTAACTCAACTAAGTATTTATTTCACAAGTACTTAATTTAAGTTTTAAGGAGACCTGATATTGAATATTTAGGGTTTTTGTTTAATTGATGGGCTAATCCACAGATAGAAGACTTTCAGGTGATTCGACGAGCTCCCGAGACGCAGTCGAACTGGCATGCAATATATCGCATCGATTAGGTCAAAAATCTTGGTACTTAGAATTTAAACTTTTAGCATAAGAAAGGACAGTAGCCCCTGCCCATGAGCCTTCGAAATCAATTTAAACCCCAAACTCTGGCAAAATTCAGAGAGATGAAAACAGAACAGTTTTTGGAAAAAACCTCGCATCCGATAAAGAAATCGAATGCAAGGTTTTTTTTCCAAACACTAATGGTTCCGCTTTCATTTCTTTGAATTTTTCCGATATTTGGGTTTAGAATGATTCTTTAGGCTTATGCCCAGGAGCTAGAGGTGTCGTCAGATAAGTTGGCCATTGTTTACTTTTGGTTTGCAGGCATTATCGTGTCATTACCATCCACATGAAAACATCCAACTCTCGCAGAAGCAAGAACACAAGCTTAGATAGATTTTACAATACCTTTAAACCTTGGAACACTTCAATTATTAACCACGCAGAAGTCACAACCCCATAAAAGTTGCGGATCATAATTGATTAGTAGTTTTTTTATGATGCGATCATGGGACGGATGTCCCTAAGATGGATAGTAGCGAATGATATTAACAAACAAAAGTAGCGAACGCCGCTTTGTGCTGAGACGTAAATTTGTCGTTGACGTTTGCAAACCGAAAGTAAACAATGGCCAACTTGTCTGACAACACCTCAATCGACCTTTTGTTTGCCAAAGAGACAAAATCTGCCAAGATTTTTGACCTAATTGATGCGATATATTGCATGCCAGTTCGACCATGTCACTAGAGCTTGACGAATCAACTTTTAGTCCACACTTGTGGTGGTACAACTCGTTTATTTTCGTTCTCGTTGACTGTGAATTGATCTCTTTGCAGTGAATCGTTCAAAACCCTCATTCATTTAATTCATGTTGCCCACATCACTCTCTGATGATTCTGAGGCAAATTGAATGAATTACTCAGAGTGTTAGGTGGCTAGTTCAGCAGAGTAACTTGGTAGATTTTTTTGCCCTATGAAATTGGTGTTGTCTTGGATTTCCAAGGCAGTTATTAGTCTTACTCCACATAAAATTGTAAGAATCTGTAAAACCGTGAGCTGAAGAGTATTTAATGAATTGTGATATTGATCAACGTACTTTCCAAAATTTGCGAGACGACTCACCAAATAAATCGGTAAATCTAGGAAAGCGATTTCCCTTAGGCCATCGTGTCATTAAGTGCAAAATTGGACTTAGTTTGGTCCCAAGGCTCAACAAACAGAAAGCTAGAAAATCATCCTAGGATTGAATTCAGCTGGGTTCCAGTACATTGCAACTTCAATGTAATCCATGAGGTGAACTAATGAGGAAAACCAGTGTTTCATTCAATCACTGATTCGACAACTCAAAGAACTATTAAATATAGTTTCATTCATGACTGGTACGCAAACCCAGCCAAAGTGCCTTAAACTGAAAAATCATTCCAATTTGTGAACTGGTCCCCTTTAATTAGTTACGGTTACATTTGTGACTTATTGCAGTAGTGGATCGTTTATACTGTAGTTACTGGACCTTTTTCACCAGTTTGTAGTTACGGCACAAAAAAAGCATGAATTTATCCATAGGCCAACCACTAAGGAATATTCAGCAAATCATATTGTGACTAGGACTGAACATCTTTGTCATCAGTAATATTTACTGTCTAATCAAGTTGATTAACTTTTTTACCCAGCTCCTACTCCATCAAGCGCAGACACAATTTTAGCAACCAAGTGCCATGATGCTGGAAATAATTCTGATAAATGGTTCTACGTCCGAGGCAAAGGAAAGTGTAATACCATTGAAGATTTGAAATTGAAATATTCTGACACCGAAACTCAAAAACACATGGCAAACCATATCGTTTTTGCCTTTCAGGTATGGTATCAAAGTATATGAAAGGTTTTTTTTCTTTTCTTTTTTCTTAAATACCGTACCAGTGGTGATTCTGTGCCTCCAGTCAAAGCCTCATCTCCCTCAGTCCTTACTGCACAATCAGCCTGGCCAACTGTTGTTTGAGACCATCAAACTCAGGCTGCTTAGCCAAGAATCGAACCTGTGACCTGGTTGTAGAGCCAGCGCCTCAACCACGACACCACAGGAGGTAAACTAATTTATTTTTATTCTTAATGGGTCTGTTTCAAGCCTAAGTTGGAGCAAAGACATAAATTGTTTTTATGGAAATTGACTCAAATATCGCAATAAGTACGTTCGCAGTCTTAGAGTATCTCTTAAACTGAAATTGAAACATTTTTTGAGCTTCCCCCTTCCTAAAGTATGGCATTTGGATATCATTTCATATGGACAAGCCACTTTAGTCTTACAGCTCCTTGCAAAATTCAAATTAGCCACCATCATATGATGCAGGTTTCCGCAGATGATTTCTAAATATTTGAAGCCATTGAGTTTATTTTTTTTAGATTCCAACTCCTCGTGACAATATGGTCTTGGATTATTCCCGTTGGCAACAAAACTTGATAGGTGTCTTAATGTTTGAAGTGGTATACAATCCTGAGGCTGAAATGGGTAAGTTTTTGCTGTTTGTTCTAAACTTAAGGATAACTTATCAGTCAAATTTTAGATGCATTATATTTTGACACTATTTTAGAATTTTTTTATTTCATGTTGCAATAGGCCTCTAGGCAAGGTACGAATTCAAGAACTTTGCAACATCTCTTCTCTTCAAAATTTCAGAGGGAAAACAAATCACACAACGGAAAGTCTGGCAATTAACTCCTGTAGAAGATAGCAGTGTTTACAATTCACTGATAAACTGGCAAAAAAGTCAGCCTTAGTAGTGTAGTCGTCAAGGCAGTTCGCTGCTAACACTGAAGTTCCGGGTTCAATCCCTGGAGGTGACTGATATTTGAGGACACTCAAATATCAGTCATCGCGACCGTGAATGACTCTGCCACTCCAACACCCTGATCCTTTGAGGTAACTGGGTGTAGGAGAGACATAGTCACCCAGTAAGTAATCTGTCTGCCCTGTTCGACTGGGTTGTGAAAAAATCGGTGATCACTCATAGTGTGCACGACTGCCAGCGCTACCTATCAGTGGAGATTGAAACAACACAGTCCAACTTGGTGGAGGCATGACCGTACTTCGCCAATCCGTGCTCTGCAGCATCTGCCACAGTCTTTGATAAAACCTACAGCTGGCTATAAGACTGCCACTGAGCCTTGCGGGAATAAAGAGTATACAGAATGTGTCAATACTACGAAGGTGAGGAGTACAGTCCAACTTTGGGGTGTACGGCGGTAGTAGCCAGTTGCCTTGGCCCCTTGAGGGCCCCTCGCCAGTAAGCCTGGCCCTTACTCACTTATTTTACTGGGGAATATACTGATTACAACGTCTCAATGATGTGCATTAAAAATACCTGATAATATATCACTCAGAAGTTGATTTCAGAACATTCCGTTGTGTGAATTGTTTTCCATGTAAGATTTTGAAGAGAAAACATGTGATGTTCATTTCTATCTCTTGACCATGTTTAGTGGTCCATTAATTAAATTGAATTTTAGATGGAACAGTAATGATGGATTTCATATACCTCAAAGCGATGAAGCTCATTTATTTTATTTATGTATTTATCCTCTTATTTATTTATTTATTTATTTATTAGAAATTGGTACATTAGCCTGGATGATAAAACAGCTTAATACGAGTCAAATTAAAAACAATTACAAAACTATAGAATTACTAATTTAAAAACTCTTGCATGCTGTAGTATGTGCTTCGTAAAAAGTGTTCTTTTAATTTATTAACAAATCTGGAGGCTCAGTTTTGACGAAAATCTCTTTCAACTCCTTAAGTTCCTTTAATTTAGCAACCAAAAATTTGTTTTTAACCTATCTTATTCACTTTTATTTCATTGCTAATATCTGTGACCACTATTATATCATGGATAAAAAAATTTGATCTCCTTTAATATTTTATTATTTTTTCAATGTACATAATTCATAGAATTCAGGTGTAAATAATCTGACTTTTATTCATTTATTCAAAAAATTTTAGAGCCTAGAACTGTTATATCCATGGATGCAAGGTTGGGTTATCGAAATTATGGGGATGCAGAAGATGACTGGAAATATTATGCCTCATCATTTGAAACAAGGACTCTGGACTGCTCAATTGAAGTTGTAAGTAGTCTGAAAAAAATCAAACTCTCAAATCAAAGCAAATTTACAACAGACTAAATAGCATATGATAAAGTCGTAGTCAGCAGAGATGTCTTGGATGCAATGTCATTAAGTTCTGTTCAAAAGTTTATTGATTCAATTTAATTCACTCCGAACTGCAAGACAAAAATACAACCTACGATTCTCTGATCATGAATTCGTTTCTGGGTATCAATCCATTCTGCTTTTGCAAGAAGAATTTTGTCTTTCGTAAACTTAAACTCCCAGGAAAGTTGTTTATCCGATAAAATTAAATTAAAGTTCAACCAAGTGAGTATTCTGCTCTGGACTTCTATTCATTCTGTTCTGTGAATTAGAGTGAAACCATTAGATTTCTTTGTTGTAAATGTTCTATAATTGCTTGTGTCTATATTTACAGAAAAAAGCAGGTCACCATTATAACTGCTCCATTGTTCCATTGTTTGAGTTGGGGTCACTTCATCATGACTATTATGTCATCAACATCCGGCTTCCTGTAGACAGTGATAGAAAATTGAACCATGGACTTGGATTTGTCACCGACATGTGGCTTGTAGTGAGTAGAACAGTCAATTTTATTCTTATTAAAACGAAACTCACTGTAATGTACAGTTTTAATGGGAGCCAATCCTTAACCAATAGATGCCAGGCAGACAGGTCATACAAGTGAACTTCCATGGTGAAACTGCAGAAATGCGTAACTTGGTCCGCGACATTGTAGACTTACTGTCGTACTTTATTTTCCACATGGAAAACTACTTAATGTCATTTTTTTCGAAACTTCAGTCATTTTTCTTTTCTCTGTGAAGAATATTCTTTGAAAAGTTCAAGTCATTATTTTGGTTTCTTCTCTTTTTAAGAAATAAAATTGGAGCGTTAGCATTTTTGCAGTTTCACTGTCAATATGGGCTGTGATTCTCAGAAGGGAATAAAGTAATATCATCTGTTGCCAAATTTTTTGGATACCTAATGTTTTATAAGAGAAAATTTGTACCAATCCTCTTGAAAATTTCAGGGAATTTGCACTAAGTCATAGTAGAAATTCCCTGAAACTCGCCCAAATCGGTCAACGAGCAAACAATTGGTACAACCATGCTCTTGAGAAAAAACAAAATGTACCAAGAAATTTCTCATCAACTTGTCTCTCGATTCCCTTTTGAGAATCACTACTTGGATGATTTGATTAAAATTTGAAGCATTCTTTGCAAATGTTCCTTCCATTTGTAACTGGACAGGTTAACAAGTCGAATTTTTTCACCGAAATGTATTTGCGATCATCCAAGGGAAAGAAGAGTGGGCATAAGTCCATGGAGGCAAACTTTAGAGAAGAGCTTTTTTTCTCAATTTGTGTAGAAAAATTGCCTAGTTTGGCTGAAAAAGATTCCTAGTTGCTTGCAGAAAATTCTCTTCAGTACCCCGAAGAACATCAAAGAGTAAGCGATCAAATTAATTTTTTTGCCACAATATCTAATGTTGGATCTTATCTAATAGGCCATCAACCAGAACGGCGGTTACACAAAAGTGTGGATGTCCATGAAGGTAACTTTCTTCCCAATCATTGTTGCGATCATGATTTGGTCGTGGAATCGGATTCATCAATTATCCCGGTCACCTGTTCTCCTTGAATACATGCTACTGTTCCTTGGTTGTGCTTTAACTTTCTTGAATAGTAAGTAACATAGCTTGCTGTGTTTTATAGTTAATATGGGAAAACAAGTTTACTTTGTGCAGCTTTTTGATGCATTAGATTCTGTTACTACTCTTTTGCTCACTTTCAGATGGATTGAACGGTAAAATTTAGGCAAGTAAAAATTGAATATCTGCTTAGGGACTCAGCAAAATGCCTAATTTGAATATCAGCCTGTCATTTGCACTTCTTATTGTCGTGCTTTCAGTCCACGAAAAGTCAGATCGATTCACCACGTGATCAAAATATGAAATGCCTCCAGAAGATACTCGTTAATTTTTGTGCTTATTGATTTATTTTTTGCCTGATGTGGCAATAGCGCAGAAATGTTTTGACTAAGTAACAGATATAAGATGCAACCAATTGGTATCGTGCAATAAAGAGACGACCGCAAAAAGCTGTCTTATAAATATGAGTTTAGGGTGCAAAATTGCTGGCAACTTGTAAATAAAGGGGAAAAAGCAGGTCATCCATTTAAAAATTTCAGGGGATAAGGGGAATTTTATATAGGAAGACCAGTTTGAAAAATGGGGAGGCTAAGAACTTTCTGCGCCCCTGTAATGTGACAATAATCATAATCCACGATCTGTTAAATAGTTTTTGCGACTGTCTGGCACTATGCAACAAATGCAGTCTGCTGCTGTGCAATTTCATGTGTTCATTTTGGATGATATCAACTCATCTGGAGCATGTATGACCTACACTACAGCAATTGCACATACAAAATGTAATCTGAAAATTCTTTACTTTTTCAATCATGAGATCGTAGAATATCATACACAATCATCAAAAGACACAAAAATAAGTTGCTGAATAAAAAAAGATGCTTTCTGAGCTTTAAAATTCCATCAAGGTTTAAGGTTGTCGATTGATTATTGAATCATTATGCTCATCTTTGTGATGCTATTCATCGATCAAGATTATTCAATAAAAATTTAACAATTCAGACGCTGAACTGTACGGTATGAATTGAAGGTGATTAAAATGTCTCCGTTTGATTTTACCGAGCTAATGAAGATAGGAAGACTGATTTGACGCATCTGCTGCAACTGGAATACCAGAACTTGACTCTTGAAAAATTATTACTTTATTTTCAGAAATTTTGAATGTGTCAGGTAATTATGTACTGAAGGAAAAATTGTTTAAGGTTTCGTCAACTTGTACTTTAAATCTCCTATTTTTAATTCAATTTTTTCTTATTTTTTTTGCAATGCCCTGTAGTGCCGCTTGAACTTTTCACATTGCTGTTTGACTTACCATTCATGCTACTTTTTGGAGACATTCGTCAAGGCATATTTTATGCAGCTCTCCTTTCCTTTTGGCTTGTCTTTGCCGGGGAACATTTAATGGTAAGCCATCAATTGTCAGTTTATTCAACTATTATTCCATTATTGTATTTTTGTTTTACTTTTTCGTATCAAAGGAAAAAGGAAAGTATAAACAACTTTTATACCTTCAAATTCATTTAAACATACTTAACCCACTGTTAAAATCCTAATTTATCACTCAATAATGTATGCCCTCAATACCTGTAGACAAATATGGACTCCAAGCACAAGGAAATTCAGCAAGTTTTTTGAAATTTTTAATTGCGTCTGCATTATTTAAAATATCTTGAAATTATCGTTTGGGCCTTCCTGAAAAGAATAATTCTTGTAATCTGTATGATACTTTCAATTTTAAATCCTGACAGTGAATGTCAGATAAAGTTTGAGACTGTCAACTTTTGCTAATTGACATTCAAGCACAAATCTTATCAATTTGAAACAGAACTAGGCTAAAAAAAACTTGAGTCTCTGAACGAACATTATTTTTCAACTAAAAATTAAATTAAATTTCTAACTCTGACCTAAAGATTTTAACCCTCGTTGGTTTGATATTTATTTTGATTTGTTTAAGAAATTTTTGTAGGAAGAATTCTCTTTTACTTTAAATTCCAATAATCTAATCTATCATGTTTTTTTCTTTTTTTCTTTTTTCATGTCGCCCTGTCAATTCGCAGATTCAGGTAAAAGTTTAATTTATATTTATTTTTTGGGGGGGAGGGGGGAGGGGTGTGTCAGTGAAACTTGCTTTTATTAGAATGTAGCCAAATCTTCTGATATTAAGGTCTTCTGATGAAAGAGGCAACAAATAAAATCGGTTTTTGCTGTTTTTTGCCCGAATTCCTCCGAAAATTTGATTTTATACTGTCCGATTGTCAATTTCATATCAAGCGTGATATACAGAGTGCCTACTGGTCTAGATAATCCACAAACACGGAACTGTCCAAGAATTAGGGGGAAAGTCAAGGACTTTTATGAGAAGATCAGGAATTTGAAACCTAAAATTTAGAAAACAACAAGGATAGCGGTACGATCAAGCCAAGTCTCAGACTGATTCTGGGTTTGGTGCTCCAAATCATGTTTTAAACAGCAAGTAGAGAAATAATTCTCAATAAGGAATCGCTATTTTAGTCAATTGAATGATATAATATTTGAAGAAAGAAAGTTGACAAGTAACCGTCATTAGCAGTAAAATTATTGAAAAAAATCAGGGAATTTTGGTCAGGAAATATCAGGAAAGTTGGGGAATTTCTTTTCTTCCTAGTTTGTAGACACCCTGATGAGGCTAATTGTTGTCGTTGTTGTTGTCTACCCTCCCCTCCCCACTCTCATGCATTAAGCATGTTGAGCATGTACACATAACCCAATTTTTTCCCAAAAGCTAACTTTCGATTCCAGCCCCAAGCTACAAACACACCCCTTCGGCCTTCTTTTTGTTGATTGCTTCCCACCGGACTGTATTAATTCTTCATTCATGAATGATAATTGCCACTAACCAGATGGAAAGGGGATCTTACAATATTAAGATGTGGTGTTACTGCAATCACAACATGTTGTATAATTTGTTAATATCATTCATGAATTCACTCTACATTTTTATTTTGATCCTACAGGATGAACAGAAAAATCACCTTCGCATGTACTGGAAGCATTTGAGTGGTGTTGCCATTGGCTGCATTTCATTGTTTATCTTTGATTTGTGCGAGCGAGGCATTCAACTGCGAAACCCTTTCTACTCAATCTGGGTCACTGATCTCGGCACTCATCTAGCTGTATCCTTTCAAACTCTTCCATTCGATGAGCTCGTTCAGTATTTTTCAATTGTTGCATTTTTAAACAGGACAAGGAATGATGTTCATCTCTTCTCCTTTGAAAAGATAAAATAGAAGCGGAGATTCTAAACGCCGTATACAAGATACATGGTTTGGGAGTTTCACTGTTGATGTATCATTTATGTAGCTAAACTTTTTCTGTGATTTTTATTTCTTATTTTTTTATTTTTTTTTATCTCTGTTGTCCTGTATGAACCATTGCTGTAGAATCTGAAAATGAAGCATTAAAGAACAAAACCACATCATTCACTCAGGATCAATTTTAGTTTCACTGTAGAGAATCGCTTTTCCTCTCATCCAATTGCTTTTAAGCAATTCAACGCGTAAGCATGATCGCTTATTCCGATCAATTCACTACTCTAAAGATCTATGGTTCACCCGCTTGATCGAAGCGAAAATATTGCGATCTATCTTATACTTCAAATAGTCCGTTTCTGTTGAAATACTTCTGGACGAAAGAACAGTTCAAATGAGCAATTTTCATAAATCCGAGCTCATTTCAAGTGCATCTCATTTAACTTTTGGGTAATTATTAATGAATAAACAGTTTTTATGTGCGTTCAAAGTTTTATATGTCGATTAATCGATTACTCGATTGTGAGGTTATGAAAAATCTAAAAAGAACTCAGCTGATTTAAGACGTATTAATTTTTGCTCTCAAGGCATTGCCATATTTCAACTCGCCCCCGGTCGATTCAATTTAACAGATAATCTATTGGAGGGAACATTGAATTGCTTCCTTATTCGGCACCTGGGGGCCGGAGGTGTCAGCTTTTTTTTTCCTTCCTACTGTCTATAAAACTTAATCAAACAATTTCAGTTTCTGCAGTGGCTTGACAATGAGGCAGCATTGAATTTTTTATCCTATAACAATATCTCTTTTTCAGAGGTAAAGTTTTTTATGAGAATTTACAATGGTTTTATCCTTGACTTTACATTTCAATGACAGCTTACATTCATAATTCTGGCAGGAATTTCGGCTGCTCTCTACTTTTTCTTCCTGTCTTACATGATCTGGCAAGTTTTTACAAACATCAGTGTGAAACGAGCAACCTTACCTAACATGTCGAACGTCCGTCGTTTGCACTACGAAGGTATCATCTACCGCTTCAAGTTCCTCATGCTGGCCACACTGCTTTGTGCGGCCATGACTGTGATTGGCTTCATTCTTGACCAGGTCAGATTTTTGTCTTGATATGCTCCATTGTCAAAGTCAATATAGCGAACGAGCATTTTTTAGACGGGGGCTCTGTCCCTCACCTTGAATCTTTCTACAAGTGAGCCAAAATACCTCATTTGTGGATACTTTCAAAACTTATAAATGTGACTAACCGTGTAAAATTAATGCAGTAACCTTATTTTAATCAGTGAGAACGAAAACACACCAACTCGGTAACTCGAAAATGCTTAATTTTCATTAAAGACAATCAATTTTAATAAAGGTCATTGAAGTTACGGCATTTGTTCAGACTGGGACCTTTAAAGTGTCCTTAAGTACTTTTCTTTCGACACCAAAAATATTTTTCTTAGACTAACTGCTACACTTACTGTACAGTTTTGTGTGGGTCTTGATTATTTTAAATTTTCGAGTTGGTGTGTTTTCGTTCTCACTGATTCATTGAGGAGTATGATGTTTACTCGCAGTACCAACTCTCATGAAATCGTCTTAATCGTTGCGAACGTTGCCTCTAGGGAACAATTCACCAGATAGTATTTTCCAGTGTTATTGAATAACTAAAATTACTTACTGATTCTAGGGTTCATACGAGAAAGTACACATGTCAGTGAACCAACGCCACTTTTTTCCACATGTAATTCCATAATCTAACCCTTTATAATTTTTCGTTGTTCTGTCTTTGAATTTATTATGATAGTCTGTTTTATTCACCACAGATTTCTGAAGGGAGATGGAAGTGGGATGAAGATCTTTACTTGGAATACACCTCAGCTGTTCACACGGGCGTTTATGGAATGTGGAATATCTACATTTTTGCTTTGATTGTACTCTACTCCCCGTCCCATAAGCAGTGGCCCTCCGAAGCTGGTAAGTTTGTTCGGAGTTTTTTGGTTCTTCTGCTGTTTAATTGGATTGCATTTTGCAAAAAGGAACCACCAGCATTGCAATGTTGCTAAGATTGTGCAACTTCTTTTGTCTTGGAGGAAAAACCCGATTATCCATTAATAGTTTTTATTTTACTCGCTAAAAACTGTGAATTTAAGACAAAAATTACCATCTAAATTTCATAGTTTTTCACAATTTCCGCAATTTTATTGCAGAGGATGAAGTTGCGCAATCTTAGCATCATTGCAATGCTAGTGGTTCCTTTTTGCAAAATGCAATCCAATTTATAAGAGACTTTGTGCCGAATGGTACGAATTTTGTTGAAAATGGAGAGAGATAGATGCCCTCCAAGAGTTACTGTTGTGCTACACAAGTAGACTAATGAAACTGTGTATTCAAAGATTTTTCAAAAAATTTTTAAGGGAGTGCCTTAGAAATAATGGTTCATTGTCTGATCAAAGCATTTCAAGAATTGCTCCTCTACACTTTAGGATATGGTCGTATCGACTCAATATTGGATGTTTTTGTATTTCTACCATTTAACCTATGTTAATTGTGAACTTTCATATCTTATTGAGGAGTTAATTTCCAGTTTTCCCGTTGTGTGAATTGTTCTGCTCATGAAATTTTGAAGTGAAAAAATGTTGCTTATTGCTGTAATAACCTTGTTTAGTGGGCCATTTGAAACGCCAATTTGCATCTGTTGGCTCACCTCCTTCAGTGAGTTTTATATTAGTAAAAAACCTTTCTTGTTTTTACAGATTTAGCAAGTACCACAGAGATCGAATTCAATGAAATCTCATCCTTGACATCATTCTCAAGAAAAGCAGCCTTGGATTAAGTAACTCAATCTGTAAGTCTTACATGCATACACTTTTTTTAATCTCATCCCTAGTCATGTGAAATTAAGGTGTCATTTAGTTGACGTTTTTATGTCATTGAAGAAAGTAGGTTCAAATTTGAAAATTTGCATCAAAGACGATAGCTGGAAAACTTTTATCTGCAATGAAAAACGGACAATTCACCTCTTACATTTCATTCATTCATTCATTGATTCTCTTTCATTTTGTACATTAGAAACAGTTGCAGGATAAGGGACCAAAGTCTACAGAGGCAAGATTCTCTGTAGGATGGTTTTTATTCAGCTACATTGAAAAATCGGATCTTGAGGGCTTATGGGGAAACTCTCTCCAATGTCCTCCCCATTAATTTCAATTTAGTATTTTTGTACTCACCGTATTTATCACAGTATTTTATATTACCTGAGGGTCTTGGAGGACAAGGCACATACATTACTTAAGTGCAGTTTTTGAAAAAAATTGAGATATTAACGATTTCAAGTAAAACTAGTCTTAATGCATATTCTGTGATAAATTCGCTCCGAAATTCCAATTTGTAAGCATCCAAAAGTCAGGTTGAACTTTCTTCCGTACATAAGGATCCATATTATTTCAAAACTTCCAACATGTATTTCTCGAAGTAGCAAAAACTGCTCTTATGCGCCTTATCCTCCAAGTCCCTCCTATTCTTTCATTGAATTTCCACCATTTTTGGTGAAGCAATGATTTAATCTGTGATTTTTATCGTTCTTGCAGTGTGATTTGGTTCCGATTCCCCTTCGATAGCAATGTTTCTCAATTTTGGCAACAACAGAGGTTAACCAGTGAAAATTAGATTAAGTTGTATTTATTAAATGTTTGTTGACACGATTTCTTTACAAATTGATCAAAATCTTTTTTATATAATTTACTCAGTTTTGTATCAATCATAAAGGTTTCCCCCTTCCTTTTCATTGTGTTTCAAACCTGGAGCTTTTTAAGATATTGATCAACGTTATCATCAGCCATGCACTATTGTGTAGCTTAAAAAGAGATCCACAATTTTTCACTTTTATCAAGTAATTATAAAATCCATAATAGAGCAGAGTTCAGTTACTATAATAACAAAGAGTGTACTTTGGGAATGCACTTCATTTTTCGGTAAAAATGTGTGGAAACAAACCAGTATTCAGTTTGTATTGGTCGTGACTAATCAAACAACGTTTAAAGTTTGAAAAATATTGAATGGGCCTTATTGGCAGAGTACTGGAAGTGAATCTCAAAAATTTGAATTCGAATTTTTAAATTGTTTTTATTTGTAGCACTACGGTGTGCGTAAAAGTATTTACCCGGCCGTCTCCTAGTGTTCTAGGTATAGTCAAGAAGTCAAAATGCAATTTTCTTGCACTCATGGAAAAAAAGGGAGAGAATTCTCATTGGCCGTTGGTAATTTAAATAAGCTTTGACGTTTATTTTCTCCATCAGTCATTACATTTTGAGACAATTATGGAAAACTTTTTAATATAGGACCAAATTTAGTTGCAACATAATATGTGCCAAGTTTTTTTCTTTGTTGTGTATCATTAGTTTATTTTATGAATGATGAAAAAATTATCCAATTACAAATAATCAGTGAAACCCATAATTTTTAACTTTTATTTTGGAGTTAAAAAAAATGTACACATGAATTGACTTGCTTTGAGAATGTTCCAATTGTAGCAATGGTTTTGTGAATTCGTCCATTATTTCCTTTTATCTAATAGTTCGTAAAGTTAGACTAAATAATGTTTTCGACAAAAAGCTCTGAAATGAAGAATGTATCAAAATATTTCCTATTTTAAACTGAATTCAACTGTGATAATGAAAATACTTCAATGCATTTTAGTTTTATTTTCTTTCCATGATTGATGATAGACCTTTTTGATTCTGACCCTTGTAATTTTAGAGTTTTTTATAATATTATCATTAGTGGATTTTTTTACCATGTATAATTCCATTTCTCCTGGCCATCAAGCTCAGTATGAATGAATTTTGTCAGTATTCAACTTGCCTGTATTTATTTTAAATGATTAAGCATTGTTCCTACTACTACAGCATTACTGAAATAATGCCCTTTACTTCAACACAGATGTTCATAATGAAAAGTAGAAAACGTAAACTCCCCTAATATCAGTATTTTAGATAGTATTAATACTTTTCTCTCTAAAATATTGTGCAAGCACCTCTCTTTTGCTCTGTGTATCTTTTAGAATGTATACTTTATTCTACAGCAATGATATGGCTTCTGTCAGTTCACCAAAATCCAATTCACGCTATTCAATTTTTCATCCAACTCCTCTTCCCCTCTTATTGTATAGAAAGTTGGATTGTTTGATATTAACGCAAGCAAACAACAATTTGATGGAAAGTTGAATGGGAACTTGAATTTGATGTCGCACACAACTTGAAAGAAAAGTTGAAACAAAATCTTTTGATCAATATTAGCCGAAGCTGTATCTTCACGAACTGAAAGCTGACAGATATCCGAATTCTCTTTGGTGATATCCCCTAGCAATGGCAATTGAATAAAATTTTGTTGCATCCAACCTCTCATCCAACCATTCCTCCGCTTTTGTTGGATGAATAGTGTAAATTTGGCTTAAATCACTAAAACCTGACAAAGTCAATTGTTTGATATTTTTTTAAAATGTCTGAGCATTTCCTTACAGGATGAGAAACCTGTATCCTAGAAGAGATCAAAGCTTTTGATAAGACTAAAATTTATTTTTTTGCGTTTGGCTGCAAATCTTATTTTTTAATAGTTGAGCGAATCGGTGAATGGAAATTAGGGCAACTATATCAATGCAGCTGGAAAGTCTAACTGTGAAGCGCTAATGTGGTGCTTAAGTTTCTTTGTCTCCATAGCTTTATGAATGTAAAATTTTGTAGTGGATTCTCTTTTTTACAAATAGCGATCATTAGCCTCTACTTATTATTTAGATTAGAATATAATTCAAAGACCAGCTTTTTAGTGAGCGTTTTTCATGGTACTTCTAGTTTTCTTTTATATCTTTTTTTGTACTGAATATACCTTTCACTTGTGTAAACTGTTGTTAGCATAATTTTTCTGTATGAATTATTGTACCTCCTGAGAAGGAATTTAAATTCTCCAATAGAAGTTTTATGTCATCCGATTCCGCATACTTTTTTTTACCTCTTTGATAATTTGTTTGTCAATAGCTGAAATGGAAGTATAGGTCAAAATTTGACAGTAAAAATTGAAAAGCATACATCTCGACTTAAAAGTTAGCAGATTTTTCATCTTGGTAAGTTTTTTTTTTAAAAAAAAATATTGGACATTCTTTCTTGGAATTTTTTCCTTCATCCGAAGAAGAATGTTTTTTGAAACTTTTAAACGATAACATTCCCTTGTTTTTTTGTGGAAACATGAAACAATAGCAGAGATTGTGAAAAGTCACAGCTTTGGTTTTTTTACTTTCACAACTATATCAATGACTACACAATATTCATAAAAATAGAACAACTTAAGTCAGAACATTTGTAAATTTAACAGAATTTTGATCAAATTTATACTTTTCGAAAGAAACAAAAAGGCATTGTTTTTTTTTACTCTTTAGCAGGTCAATAGGTATAATCAAAAATGGTTAAGTTTTTTTCTTGAGTAGTTATTTTTTTATTTCTTTTTTTACCCCTTATTTTGCATTGTCGAATTCATCAGTCAAGGAGGGAAACATAACAAGAACAACTAACCTCCTCATTAAAGACTTTACTTTTGTAATATTTTAGTTAACAAATTACAATAAAAACAATTTTCGTAAAAATTTCCCGATGAAAAATATTTCTAAATTGAGGGGACAAACTTTTCTAAAGACTTTGATTTCCTGTTAACTGAACTGATAAAAAAGAAAAAATCCCTTCAGCATCACTCAAATTTGAGATCTTGTGACACCAGAGGGACAAAATATTGAAATACTGCTAAGATCTGGGAATATTTACGTTTTAAAACGACATAACTTTCAGCCCAAGGACAGGCTGTGTTTTATCATTTAATTTTTTTTTTGGCTCAGTAAAAACCCCTATAATATGAGTAGATCATACGCCACCACGCACCGTCCCACTTTTCGAGTGATAATCAAAATCATACTCCTTACTTTGTGCAGTACAAATATGGACTTACCGTTACCTCACGAGGATGCCTCACTTCAGAATTTCTTCAAGGATACTAACCTTTCTACTGTAAACCTAAAATCAGTATTTTGAGAAATTCCTTTAGCTTTCAGCACTGATTAACCTCTTAGAAAATACAAACAAAACAAAATAGCAATAAGTCTATTTAGACTCTCAATTAAGAAAATATATATTCTAAAGAAAAACTTCCACATCCCGTGCCTTTTTAAATTATTCCAATTACACTAAGTGAATGATAGACTCACCTAAATAATGATAGAAACTATCTTGAGGATAGTTCACCATGTAAACTTTTCCTCACCTGCGTAAATTTGAAACATACGCAAATCACATGATTTTAAAGACCTTATATAAGTTTCAATTTTGGTTTTTTGGAGAAAAATTAAGTTATAATCTGCCTCTCAATACAGGTTGTTTGAAAGAGTATACTCGAAGATTCTCATGAAAAGTAGCAGGATGACACCTAGGAGATTACACAAAAACAAGGATACACTCCTAGAGACAAAAAATTACTCAAAGCATATTTGTTCGGTTACAAGAGAAGAATTCTTCTCCTAGTGTCCTTTTAAAAGAAAACTTTGCACCTTCATCTTGAAAACAGCAAAATACTTTCTCTTGAGCAGTTTATAAAGTTTTAGACACGTCAGTTCTTCTTAGAACTATGATGGATCCCAACTACGATGAATTGGTACAAACTCAACAACTGATCCTCGATTCAAACACTGATGGGTTACATTACACCCGATCACAGATCCAAATTGAAATTATCCATGGTTGAATTTCCTCTTGATCAAGCAGGATCATTCCTCTTCTATGATGCATTGTTCGACTAAACTTCGAAGATTTGGATTCTCCATTGCAGCAGCTACACGTTCTTTATCATTAATTTGTTTGTTAACTGAAAAAAAAAAAGGAAAATAATAGTTTACATTGGTAAAAAGGAAGGACATGTTGGACACTATAAGGGGTGTTTCATCAGTCATCTTTCAAAACAATGGATATTTCAGCAGCTTGAGGTATATTTCACAAGTATGCCCGGACAGAAACTTACCTCAAGCATTTGCGCTTGAATGCAGCTGTGCTGCGCTTGAATGAAGCATTTGTGCTTGCGTCTTTTTTTATGGCGTAACCCACCGAAGATGAGCTAGGATTTTCTGCTGTCCAAAATGCAATTTTCTTCATTGAAAGATGGACTAAAAATTAAAGAATTAGAATTAACATAATTACGATTGGATTTGGATATATCTATTTCACAGTGGTAATGACACCATGCTTGATCTTAATGTAGAGGAAGGGCTTTTCTTCAAAAACTTTGCAGCATTCTCTTTCTCCCATTCAGCAATTAATGCAAATAAATAGTTAGAAATGAAACAGGCTGGTACATCAACTCCAACAATGAAGCTCATAATTTCACTCCGATAAAAATTCAGTATCTGAAATAAACTTCGGTGCTTCTCTTGTTGCTAATGACGGATTGTCAATTATTTCAATAATGCTACGAATCAGAACTTTATTAATAGCACTTTTCCAAAATAAACAATTTAGAATCATCATTATTGTTTTAGAGGATAGCAGAGGTTTAAGAAACAATAGGAATGAAGTACATACTTTCTTCTTCAGTTGAATGGGTGCCTTCTTTGATGTAGATATCTAATTTGAAAGGATCGACTAGTGCACGCTCTAACTTGATACGTATGCATAATCCGATGATTGTTGCTAAATTACAGTGAGGCACTGTTGGATTAAATTCAACCTGAATTACAGATATGCAGCTGGGAGTGCTTGGCTTAATCTGGAAATTAATGAGACGAACATTAACAAACAATTGAAAATCAATAGGAATGAAGTACATACTTCCTTCTTCAGTTGAATGGGTGCCTTCTTTGACGCCGCATTCTCCCAGCAATTTGTGAGTTGATTTACAAATAAACTGCATGAATTATTGGACATGTATAAATTCAGAAATGTTTGATGCTGATACATGAAACATGAAATATTAAATTCATGCCTTTTCCTTTTCCCTTGTTTTTGCATCCTGGATTTTTAGAGCAAAATATTTTGATAGCATAAAGGTGGGTGGTGGGTACTTAGAAATCTGAGCTTGTGTGGTCCCTTCATACAGTTTCCAACAAAATTGTCAATACACAGGAGAAAAAAAAAGATCCAGGTAGACTTTTCGATGGAGGTGATCCATTTTTTTGAAAACCTTTGCTGAGCTGAACTTACTTTAATGGAATCCTCACTAACGACCTCTAATTCTTCTAAAGTGGCAGGTTTTTCAGGGTCTTTGATGTTCCTGATAAAATCTGCAAAAAAGAAGGATGAAAAATAATGAAAATCAAGAGTTTGATTATCTTGTGAAAACAAAAACTATTTGTGAATCATAACACCTTAAATATGCTCTTCCAAGGATGAAATTTTTTCAGAGGGTGATCAGAGACTCTGGGCTAATTGCTGGGTTCGATTCAAATACAGACTATTTACGAGTGAACGTATTTATGCTAAATCGAACTATGTGCAAGTGGAAAGATGGGGTGCCCTCAACAGTGGTCGGGCTATAAAAATGAATGGGGATTTCACAGCGCCAGTGACATCAGCGGCGACGATTGAGACGCATAGCAGTGACAAGCTCGTCATCGGGACGCTTTAACTCATGAGCCCTGTCCACAATGCTCTTGTCATGTGTCCGCGGCCCTTGAGTTAGCGCTCAGTTCCTTTTGATTTAATGTCAAATCCCGCTTTTCCATTTCCTCAAAAGGAACTATATCCACTTTTACATTGTTTCTTATGCAGCTTCCACGAGCACACCCCATCTTTCCTCCTGCATGGAGTTCCTTTTAGCATAAGTGCGTCCAAGTATAATTTCTTAGCAACTATCACTCAGATGCTTTTTTGCTTTTTATAAGTATTTAGGTATGTTTCGATTGGTTCCTTTCTAAACTTTCAGAAAACTGAAAAACAAATAGAATATTTAGCTGGAATATTTGATTCCGAATTTTTGCTTTCAGAATGTTTTGCTATTTTTTGGGGGTTTGAATGAACCTAAGACTTGTCGCAAATTTTCAGTGCCAGGGTAATTCTCTGCTATTTCTACTATTCCTGTCACACAGGCTTTCTGGCACACATAACAATCAACAGAGTTCCGGTAAATTATTTTTGATACAGAATAATTTCCTGAGTCAGACACATACCTACTCGGAAAGCATCATAGACCCAAACCTCCATTTCCTGGCAGACAGAGAAGGGCGGAATATCTCAACTCTGTCCCTGTCACACAACTGAGGTTCCGCAATTCAAACGGCTGGAGAGTGCTGGAAACCCAAGCTAACCTACTTAAACTTGACATTATTGGATTATATGGATCCTCTACTTTTATTTTCTTATTTTGCTTTGAGCATACTGACAATATTCCCATCGTGAAACGAGGTAGAAGACTTGTCACAGGATTTTCATTTCAAATCGGTCCCCCTACTTTTCGTTTCATGGGAGCCACCAGGGCCGCTATTTGTAGAAAACAAGTGGTTGTTGTTATTCAGTGTGATCCTCTTACCTCACCTAATATGTCCAAACCCTGTGATAACTGACAAGAACGTGTTTGGATATTTTGTTTAAGTGTGAACATTAAAATCATGGTGAACCAGCTCAATTCTGTCACTGTATTACTATAAGGTAAACTTCATCAAAATTCAACTGTTTTGTTATGTTTAACACCAAATTTTTTCAGGGTGTTAGTTTCTGAATGCTAGACATTGTGTCTGAACAAACGCAATCAGGTAGCCATTCAGTAAGTAATTATAATCCTTCAAGGCAAGGTACACTCTACTACAGGTATGGACAAACGGGGTGCCGAAGTGGCAGCGCTGAGAAAATCGGCGATCGAGTGACGTATGAAGTCGTACCGTCCATTTGCCGCGCAGGTCTTCGCAGTCGTACTCGCGATGCTATCAAATCTACGCGTTTTGACGACTTTCTAAAATTCCATTTGTCCATACCTGTAGTAGAGTGTACCTTGCCTTCAAGGTCTCAAATTGGCATGTAGCGATTGAACAGTTGTTTCATTTCATGATAGAAGTAAGGAAACGTCGATTAATGAGTTTCACATTTGAACATACTTCTCAGGTGAAGCATCATTTACATACGTCCATAAAGCTTCTATCGTTATGCTCAGTCACCTTCAAACGAGAGTGAAGCTTCTGAGACCAAAGTGCAGTAGAGCATACAAGGAAACGAGGTATGAAAAAAACAATAAGCATTACCAAAAATAGTTCCTTTGAGTTCTTCATTATTACTCTCATGGCATTTGTTGGGTACTTCTTTGTTAGCATTTGGAACATTACTTTTCTTCGAATATTCAGGTGGAGGACGAATTTCACTACTTGGAAATTGACGTAAAACTACTCTTTTTGTCTGTTCAATGAGTGAGTTTAACATCATTAACAACAGGAGCATTACATACAGTATTTCAAAAAAAATCAGGTAGAATAATGAGAACACACTAGAAATTAGAGTCTGGGATGCAGTTTTCAGATCCTTCCTTGCACTTCAAACTTCGCAATTCATATATTATAACCTCAACCTCAACCTCAATGTTTTGTATGTTTTGTTCACCAGCGGATGAGCACCTGGCTGTTTTCTGTCTCTCTCGCACACTTTAGCGTCCCGACTGCGGATTTTCTATCTCCCTCGCACACATTAGCGGGCTCCCTGGGTGTCTTGTCTTCTGTCTCTCTCGCACACTCTGGCGTCCCGCCTGGCGATTTTTTATCTCTCTCGCACACATTAGCGGGCTCCCTGGGTGTTTTCTGTCTCTCTCGTACACATAAGCGGGCTCCCTGGCTATTTTCTGTCTCTCTCGCAAACATTGGCGGGCTGCCTGGCTGTTTTCTGTCTCTCTCTCCCTCATTAGCAGGCTCCCTGGCTATTTTTTATCTCTCTCGCACACTTAGGCGAGCTGCCTGGCTGTTTTCTATCTCTCTCGCACACCCAGGCGAGTGCGGGTAGGGTGCAACCGCTCTCAGAGGGTCGCGGGGGATCGCCACGGCGTGCTTTGCCGGAAAAACAACGCAAGTCCCGCCTGGCGATTTCCTTTCTCTCTCGCACTTATACGCGAGACTCTTGGCAATTTTCTAAATCTCTCGCACACTCAGGCGAGCTGCCTAGCTGTTTTCTGTCTCTCTCGCACACCCAGGCGAGTGAGGGTAGGGTGCAACCACTCTCAGAGGGTCGCGAGGGAACGCCATGCGATTTTCTTTCTCTCTCGCACTTTTACGAGAGACGCTTGGCTATTTTCCATCTCTCTCGCACACTGAGGCGAGCTGCCTGGCTTTTCTCTGTCTCTCTCGCACACCCAGGCGAGTGAGGGTAGGGTGCAACCGCTCTCAGAGGGTCGCGGCGGAACACCATGCGATTTTCTTTCTCTCTCGCACTTATACGCGAGACGCTTGGCTATTTTCCATCTCTCTCGCACACTAAGGCGAGCTGCCTGGCTGTTTTCTGTCTCTCTCGCACACCCAGGCGAGTGAGGTTAGAGTGCAACCGCTCTCAGAGGGTCGCGGGGGAACGCCATGCGCCTGCTTTGCCGGAAAAACAACGCAAGTCCCGCCTGGCAATTTTCTTTCTCTCTCGCACTTATACGCGAGACGCTTGGCTATTTTCTATCTCTCTCGCACACTTAGGCGAGCTTCCTGGCTGTTTTCTGTCTCTCTCGCACACCCAGGCGAGTGAGGGTAGGGTGCAACCGCTCTCAGAGGGTCGCGGGGAATCGCCACGGCGTGCTTTGCCGGAAAAACAACGCAAGTCCCGCCTGTCAATTTTCTTTCTCTCTCGCACTTATACGAGAGACGCTTGGCTATTTTCTATCCCTCTCGCACACTTAGGCGAGTTGCCTGGCTGTTCTCTGTCCCTCTCGCACACCCAGGCGAGTGAGGGTAGAGAACAACCGCTCTCAGAGGGTCGCGGGGGAACGCCACGGCGTGCTTTGCCGGAAAAACAACGCAAGTCCCGCATGGCGATTTTCTTTCTCTCTCGCACTTATACGCGAGACGCTTGGCAATTTTCTAAATCTCTCGCACACTTAGGCGAGCTGCCTGGCTGTTCTCTGTCTCTCTCACACACCCAGGCGAGTGAGAGTAGGGTGCAACCACTCTTAGAGGGTCGCGGGGGAACGCCATGCGATTCTCTTTCTCTCTCGCACTTATACGCGAGACGCTTGGCTATTTTCCATCACTCTCGCACACTTAGGCGAGTTGCCTGGCTTTTCTCTGTCTCTCTCGCACACCCAGGCGAGTGAAGGTAGGGTGCAACCGCTCTCAGAGGGTCGCGGGGGAACGCCACGGCGTGCTTTGCCGGAAAAACAACGCAAGTCCCGCCTGGCATTTTTCTTTCCCTCTTGCACTTATACGCGAGACGCTTGGCTATTTTCTATCTCTTTCGCACACTTAGGCGAGCTGCCTGGCTGTTTTCTGTCTCTTTCGCACACCCAGGCGAGTGACGGTAGGGTGCAACCACTCTCAGAGCGTCGCGGGGGAACGCCACATGATTTTCTTTCTTTCTCGCACTTATACGCGCGACGCTTGGCTATTTTCTATCTCTCTCGCACACTTAGGCGAGCTGCCTGGCTGTTTTCTGTCTCTTTCGCACACCCAGGCGAGTGACGGTAGGGTGCAACCACTCTCAGAGGGTCGCGGGGGAACGCCATATGATTTTCTTTCTTTCTCGCACTTATACGCGCGACGCTTGGCTATTTTCTATCTCTCTCGCACACTTAGGCGAGTTGCCTGGCTGTTTTCTGTCTCTCTCGCACACCCAGGCGAGTGAGGGTAGGGTGCACCCACTCTCAGAGGGTCGCGGGGGAACGCCATGCGATTTTCTTTCTCTCTCGCACTTATACGCGCGACGCTTGGCTATTTTCTATCCCTCTCGCACACTTAGGCGAGTTGCCTGGCTGTTCTCTGTCTCTCTCGCACACCCAGGCGAGTGAGGGTAGGGTGCAACCGCTCTCAGAGGGTCGCGGGGGAATGCCATGCGCCTCCTTTGCCGGAAAAACAACGCAAGTCCCGCCTGGCGATTTTCTTTCTCTCTCGCACTTATACGCGAGACGCTTGGCTATTTTCCATCTCTCTCGCACACTCAGGCGAGCTGCCTAGCTGTTTTCTGTCTCTCTCGCACACCCAGGCGAGTGAGAGTAGGGTGCAACCACTCTTAGAGGGTCGCGGGGGAACGCCATCCGATTCTCTTTCTCTCTCGCACTTATACGCGCGACGCTTGGCTATTTTCCATCTCTCTCGCACACTTAGGCGAGTTGCCTGGCTGTTTTCTGTCTCTCTCGCACACCCAGGCGAGTGAGGGTAGGGTGCAACCGCTCTCAGAGGGTCGCGGGGGAACGCCATGCGATTTTCCTTCTCTCTCGCACTTATACGGGAGACGCTTGGCTATTTTCTATCTCTCTCGCACACTTAGGCGAGCTGCCTGGCTCTTTTCTGTCTCTCTCGCACACCCAGGCGAGTGAGAATAGGGTGCAACCACTCTCAGAGGGTCGCGGGGGAACGCCATGCGATTTTCTTTCTCCCTCGCACTTTTACGAGAGACGCTTGGCTATTTTCCATCTCTCTCGCACACTGAGGCGAGCTGCCTGGCTGTTTTCTGTCTCTCTCGCAAACCCAGGCGAGTGAGGGTAGGGTGCAACCGCTCTCAGAGGGTCGCGGGGGAACACCATGCGATTTTCTTTCTCTCTCGCACTTATACGCGCGACGCTTGGCTATTTTCTATCTCTCTCGCACACTTAGGCGAGTTGCCTGGCTGTT